GCCCATTCTTCACGAAGAGAGCTTTCAAGATCGTGGAGCGTATGAGGAAGTGATGGCCTTGCTCGTATTTGTCTTTTGAGGTTATCCCTTGAATGTTCAATAGGGGTTCAAGTCTGGAGAACCCCCCAGAAACGGGCTGGCCAGGCTAAGACCATGCTGTTGAAGGTACAATTGTACTGGGCGAGCGAGATTGGAGCCGCTGATTTCATCGAGGATAGGCTACGCATCATATTCCAAAAGTTCATCCCCTTAGCGATTGGCCGTCAAAGACCCTACACAAACAACATCCAACTCTGTGCGACTCTCCATTGAAATTCCCGCCCATTCAATCATTGAGCTGCATTGAAAAAGTTGGCAGTGGGAAAAATTGTAGGTTTCTTACCATTCATTTCGCCTTCTCCACACTCTTTCATGGCCATCGAAGATCGTGGAGTAAATGTACACTCAACAGCAGACCAATCGTCCAAAGTCCAATGGCTGTGTTCTCGAGCAAATACGAGCCGTGCAACTCTGTGTATTCTGGTCAATTCTGGTCCTCTTGGCGAAAAGCCATCAATCCATACTGATTTAATCTTCCTCGAGCAATTCGTTCAGAAATTTGGACACCTCGAATCTCCTGGAGCAGATGAATCACAACAGTAAGGTGCCGGTTTCGCAAAATTCTAAAAGTCAAAAAGCGGTCATCTTATGGTTCTGTTACCCTTAGGGCGTCCAGAACCGGCCTTCTATGGCAAGACCCAGTTTTTCGAAAACGTCTAACGGCAGAGTTTTGTAGGGAACTCCGATAGCATTAGCCGCATACTTGATAGAACGTCCATCATCAATAAGTGACACACCACGCGCAAATCCTCAGCACTAAGTAGCATTATTAAGTTTAAAAATTGAAATTAAGAAAACAAAGATGAAGAAAATTAAACAGTTTATCGCTTCAGAATTCAAATGAGACTGAATAAACATTTTAAATTCCGTAAAAAGTAAACTTAGAAAAATCCTTTATCTTGTTTTGAATTCAAGATTAAGTGTGTTTATTTCTAATTATATTCCTATTTAAAACATAGCATAAACAAATATGCATTGGCAAAAACAATAAGATAAATTTAGGGCAGAATTTTCTTTTATCGAGAAAATAAAATAAAAAATCATTTGGGTGGAATTTTTTAGTGTATTTTAAACATATTAAACATTTGTTACTAGTATAGGAGTTTTCCCTACTCACCGGTGGGCGTCGAGGTCAATTTCGAATTCCCCATAAAATGTAAATCGGCGTTTTCCTAATTAGACCAGTTCCAATCCTAGTTGGGGCGTTCAAAGCGTTTTAACTGCAATCCCGTCTCGTAACCGCATCATTTCCATGTTGGTAACGGCGAGTTTAACAAATTATCGTTATAGTTCAGCCGGCCGGAAATATTTACTGCACGTATTACTTGTTCCCCCCCCCTTCTCCTTAATTGGAACGTGTTTGGGATTTTATCCTTTTTCATTTATAACCCAGGCCTCCTAGTTTTATTTCATTTCCTTCTTGGCCGGAAAATGCATTCTTTCCATTTTCCTCTTGTTGGTTTAACACCTATAAAATTGTACATGACTTGAATTTGTGAGCACTAAACCGGCTAAGGGAATACAAACACGAATCTCTTTATAATTTATAAGAAAAGGAAATACAATAGTAAAAAATCACACCGTGGATTATTGTTAAGGTTTCGCACTACCGCTGTTTTATTCGTAGGATTACTATTTTTTTTCCACAACTATGAGGTTAAAATATTTAATTAATAACTTAATTGGATGTATCAACCATTTTTTTACACATAAATAATCTGAATCTTCGTATGGTCTGGATGAAAAAATAAATTCAACGTTTATGCCAAGCTTTCGATCTATACTGAGAGGCAAACAAAAGTGGCCACCCAGGTTTTATATATATAATATATATAATAACTTGCTAATGCTAATCGTTTTCGAAATAAACGGGGAGGGCCATCTTGTTGTTAAAAATAACATAACCCCTCACGCGTCTTCCGACAAGCACAACTCAGAAATGGTCGATCCTATCAAAAAAAGTGTCATAAATAAGCTTTAGAATCAAAATGTACAATAAAAAAATATGGAATTCTCATGTAAAATAACAAAGTTAGTGTCATTTCTCAGTAGATGAGAAAGTTATGGTAAATCTGTTACCACCCGCGATTCCTATCCAAAATTAATTGGGAATTTTATAAGCATTTTTTGCTAAATTTACTGGTTTCCGTATTAATATTATATATATGTATGTATATAAATTAACTCAACGGAAGTGTTTTTAAAACGAACTTTTATTTAATTAACTGAATACAACTGTGGAGACGTTCTATTTCTATGTATGAAAAGAGAGTGAAACATAATTACATATCTCATATATAGATCGGTAAAGGGAGAAAATGCAGTTTAATGCTGCTTGCATAGTTTCTGACAATATTTTCTACACGTGTCCTACATCCATGGGAAATGTGAAACTTATGCACTTTACCATGATTCGAAGATAACAATAACGATAAGATATGTATATATACATATATAACATGCAACTTCTTTACTGGATATTTTTAAAGAAAAATATAAGATATAGCGAAATAAAAATTTAAAGTAAAACAATATTACCAAAACTATTGAAAACTGAAAATAATGAAGAAAATATTCAATTCAGTACGGATAAAATATTCAATTCTTGCGTTGATGATCGCAGATTGCATTCCACGTGGCATCGATTTTATGACATCAGGGTCATTCTTAATTCATGCAGATTCACTGGCATCATTGGGCGACGTCTTACCCTGTTTGACAACACGTTCCAACGGAGTTCGATAGGGTTTAAGTCGGGACTATATGCTGGCTACTTCAAAATTTCAACTGAACCCGTTCAAAACAGTCACCGACGCTCCTGCACAAAAATAAAATCGTCGCCAATTAGTGGCATGTAATGAACAACTTCTTGTGATAACACATTTTCAATGAACGGATGAAGATCAAGTTTGTGCAAGCTTCCATAACAATATAATTGCCTGCCGAAACCTCTATAGCTTCTCCGTAGTGAAAATGTTGCGGGGATATATCGCCCGTCTGTACTGTAAGTTCTGGACCAAGCAGGCCTTCTCGCACGTAATCCAGCTTTTTGGATCATCTTTTCTGGTTGGATCACCAAACCATATAACATTAATTTAATTTAATCGCTGTATTCACTGAAACCGGATGATACCAAAACATAAGAAATCTAACATGAAGCTTATACGTATCGATCACTAGTATTGTTACAATCCTTGTGAATATACTAAGTCGGTCTTCATTGAAATTTGAAACCATCTTTTAAAAAAATATTTATATCAATTGTAGACATAATTAAGATTGTTTTGGAAGATCTGTATAGTTATTGATTGAGGAATTAATTGTACAAATATGTATTTATTATGTGTAATTATTACAGGCTCTGATGATGACTTTGAAATAGATCGAACGCTTGACCGAAACAATTGAATTTGCTTTATCAAGACCATCCTAAGATCCAGATTATCCGTGTATCCAGATATTGGCACCTCAACAGACTAAAAACGAACAATAATTTATATATTTCTACGCCTACGTGAACGTTCTGCACATTCTTTGAGAACGTGGAAAGCCGATTTGAATTCAAACACGAAACGGACTAGTATTTATTATTAGCTTTGGCTTCTTTCTTTACACACTAATTTTTACTGCCTTCGAGTTTCTCGAGTGGGAAGACTGATGGTAAAAAGTCGAGCCGTTAAGTGAAGGCGAAGTAGGTCCATTAATTTTCCGATCTCCGGCTCTCTGTTTAACCCGCTTTAATATTGGACTCTTATTTATTAATCAGCAGTTTATAAAGTGGGTCAAACTAACACTAAATTGAAATGTTTAGCGCGAAGCATATTCATTTTTTCTACGATCATCCTCGTTGAAACAGGTCAAACTTTTGTATGGATTTGAGACAGCAGATGACCTGTTTAAAACCTGCCTATGTACATGTATTAAAGTGCCTTGTTAAACGTGCGCTGATGGTCGTAAGGCAGTGATGTATTAACGGATAGGTCAAGGATGAAGGTGTTGGAAGAAAGGAAACTTTAATTAGATCACCTCTAAAGTCTAGTCCGAAAATATTTTATTAGTTGAAACTACAGACTACTGGATCGAAGTTGTAGGAAGGAGGCGATACGAAATTGCTGTTGAGATGCCCAATAATTTTTTCCCAGATAGAATTTCTCCTGGCCCGTTAAAACTTTTCCGGCTAGGGAAAGAGGGGAGGGAATTAACAGGGAAACTTATCTATTGAACTATAAAGTTTGACAGTGCACGTGGGCTGGCTGGCGGTGAGCGTATTGACTTAACTCCAGGGCTTGACCCGGAAACTTAATGCCACCACTTGAGCTGCACTTAAGTTTGCCAAGATTTCTCCCTTTTTCTGCCCGTCTCACTGTCTCTCAATGATCCAAGGGGCGATAAATTGAATAATATCCCTTATTTCTTGAATTTAAAAAAATATTTAGAAAATACTATTAATTTTTTTGTAATTTGGACTTTACTGATCAATCCAGCAAGTTTAGGCAGGCCAAAATGATTGGTAACAAACAACTTACTGGTTAATCACTCACATACCACATGGAGAAATCTCACAATTTTATTTTTATATAGCACAATCATCAATATGTTTTGCTTAATGTTTAAACAAACTTTTTATTAAACAAACATATTTTCTATCAATTCTAAATTAAACTTTTCTATTGTAAAATAGAAAAATGATTTATTATAGACAAATAAAATAAAAACCAACATATTAATTAATCGAAGTAAGCCTTTTTTCCAGCATATAGGTGTTTCTAATTCACCTTGGTAAACACTACCCTCAGTAAAAATTAAATTAAGTTTATTAAACAATTTAGGTGCACAGTATAACAAAAGATGCTATCGTTTACTGGTTACTAAAAATACTTTTTTCGTTGTTTTTTTTCCAGAACCCCCGAGGGCTCCGTACTTGCTCATCGATTCCAGGCGGCTAGACCCCGGAAATTTGTTTGTCCCGGTGAAGGAAAACAGCAAGCTGTCAGTGGAGTGCGTGGTCGAAGGCGGTTCACCGGCCCCAGGGCTACACTGGCTACTAGTACCACCTCCGGGGTCGACATCGCCACCCGGCCTGAATCAGCAGGAATCAGCACCGGCTGCGACCCAAGGATTTACCCGATCGGTCGCCAGCATACCAAGGGTCCTCAGGGATCACCACAATTCGACTGTGGCATGTATAGTCACGCACCAGACGCTTCCTGCCCCGCTCAACGCTTCAATTCTTCTAGACGTTCAATGTAAGAAGTAAAATAATATGATATTTTCATTTTCAGCAGTTAAAAGAAAATCAATCCTTCGAGGAATGTATTTCATCTCGATTATAGAATATTAATTTAAAAGGTTAATAAATCAACCATTTATAATTTTGAAAATATTGGATACTTTGATAATAACGTTACGATTTTATCAGAGTGAAAATAAAATAATTCCTCCTGAATTATTTACGACCATCGAACAATAAAGAGATAAAGCTGTTCACAAGTAGAGTTTGTTCAAAACTAAAATTATTGACCAAATTGTCTGACTAATTAATCACTCTGTAATACAAACATGCCTCGAAGTATTTGCAAAACATTCTACATGTTATAGTTTTTATTTTTTAAATGACAAATTTTCATTAAACGTCTCACCAAATCACATTTTCTTAATAATCTATAACTTTAAGAATGCACACTGAACATAACTAACATGCATAATCACAAGTTTTATTGGTTTAATTAAAACCTCACGTTTAGAATTCAATAGTATATTTAAAAAATATTATATAATAAACTATACACATTAAACTATTATACAATCTAACATTATTTTACATTACGTTCCGTTTCTTCATATTTATTTTTCGTGATACATTATTCCAATCTTGGTCTATTTGTTTATGAGTAACTTATGTAAGAATAAACATTCTTGCGTTAAACCACTTGATAGATGAGAAAAAGGTTAACGCCAAAAAATAATAATAATAAAATAAATAAATACACATAATTAATAACAGAATGACGAAGGGATAATTCAAAATAGTTTTATTTTTGAACTATCAAAGAACAAACAGCAAAAACTTTTAAAGAGCAAAGTTAGTAGAAAAGAAACAATAAAGAAAGAAAACAAATTAAATACAGATAAATCACTAAGTGCAAATGAAATTAAAATTTAAGAACCCTGAATAATGACTAATTGTATGTAGATCTTTGTACCTTTATATATGTGATATGTGTTATTTATTGGAACAAATGTATTTACTTGCATGAATGGAAGGGCGTATCGCCCAAAGGCCCCGAGGAATGTCGAATACTCCGCCATAGTATGAATGATTTGTATTGTGTGTATGTAATTTAATTGTTTTTAATGATTTTTAATTGTAATTAATAGCAGGTTTATAACCAATTACCCCGAGGAATATCGACGACTCTATTGAAAATGAACGTGAGAATGTAATTTATTAGTATGAATGAAGGGGCGTATCCCCAGATAAACCGCGGAATAGAGCATGGGGCAGCGTGAACAATGTAATTTATTAGAGTGAATGGAGTGGCATATCTTCATCAGGTTTATCCTTAATTGCCCCCGAGGAATATCGAGACTTTGGGGTAGCCTGAATGATGACCAGACTATCATGTTTTTATTTTGCTTCTGTGTATTTGTGTTTGTTATTTGTGTAATTTTATCCTTAATCCAAGACGAGCCCTGAGTTACAGACGGGCTTGCAATAGGATAGAAATAAGGCATAGGATAACACGGACACTCCGAGGTTTCTTTTAACCTAGTAGATGAAATGACCTCGTAAAAAATTAACTTATAGTAAGCTGGTTTTAAAAAAAGCATCCAATAAACTTTGTAAAATTAATTAGATAAAACTATAAGGTCAAATGCCAGAATTTCGCTTTATTGCTAACGGTCGGGAAGCCTCGAAAGCAGTGAATCTGATTCATTACGAATTTCATACCTGCATTCCAGTTTCGCTCGTCGAGATAATAGCGATATCGTACAGCTGATAGTCTTTTTTAACAACAAAAAATATATATCGGCGTTTGAAAAGCAGACGTTGAAATGGAACATGATAAAATGATTGATATGTGTGCATTGTACGAGACCTTTTGGGAAAGTTGACGATCGGATGACGTCTACTTTATCACAGTTAAATCCAGCCTTTCAACGGTGACAACCTTGCACACTGTAAAATTTTCATTTTCAGATTTAACAAAAAAAGAAGAAATAGCGCAAAAAAATAAATTTTATTCCTATTTTGATTCGGAAAATTTGTAGGTAAATGTTTTTATATAATCTGAAAGAATTATGGTACAAATATTATTTTCTTTGTACAAATAGTAAGTGAACATCATTTTATTTTTGAGTAAAAAAAGAGAAGGTCGTTTGCGTTTATGAAGTGAAGATTGAAGAATCATCCTCGGTTGTCAACCATAGTAGGTAGTAGTAATTCTATGTCATTTTCTGTAGAATTTATCTGACGGAATAATAAATTTCCGGCTGTGTTTTACAGAAGAATTTATTCATTCATTCCACCACATTTATTTAGTGTTTTGTGATTAAAATTAAATCTGCCACTTCAAATCGCTACCTTTCTTATCAATAAGGTAATAAATTAGTCATTTCGATCAATCCCATTTGTTTCTTTGTGATTTGTATTCCTTCATCACTATGCAAACCACTATGAGCCGAGAGCGAGCTGATTCTAAGACTGGTTGCTATTATATGCTAATTCCTAGCCCTATGGGTCTTGGGTCGTTTGTATGCGGAATAATGGAATATTGTAAAATTAAATTTATAAAACCATCTTTCCATGACCTGAATAAAAGATATCCGATGGTTAGGGTACGAAAGGTCGACGGAAATCTTAAATTTATTATATAAGTATTGGTAGCGACTTGCATATTTCTTTATGTCCTTATTTATTACAGCTGTCACTAGGTATGTCTTAATTTGGCTATACTTTGTATTTAAAATTCAATTACTACACACAAAAATTGATTCCATATTTTACTTTATTCCACTATACGAAAAGAAATCTATGATCAGTACACTGATACAATTGATAACAAATAAACTTACGATTCAAAAAGCCTTTAAAAGTGTTTTTATTCTCTTAAAATTGTGAGTTTTTCAGAATCTTATGTTATTAGATTATTTATGCTATTCACCAATTAATTGATATCTGATGATCCTATGTTAATAACGACTAACTTTTATTAAAAAGACATCGGTCGTGGTATGCAGAGAAGGAAAACGAGGGTAGGTTGCGCATAGATTATACAAAGATCACACATGAACACCTTCCAGTAGGGGCACATAGATGTCCGTTATGTGGAGAGCTTAGCACATAATAAAAGACTGCAAAGAACTAACTCTGCAAAGAAGTAAATACAAAATCCCGAATGACCAACGCGCGGCCTTGAGGCAGCAGGCACAGGTCACTGACACAATAACTGAGGATCATAAATATTTTTAATTATTTATAAATCTTAATAGACGTGATATGTGTTATTTATTGAAACGAATGTATTTATTCGCGTGAATGCATGGACATATTTTCAATTTCTCCGAGGAATATCTAGTACTCTGGGGTAGTGTGAACCAAGCCTGGTGTGTGAATGTAATTTATTAGCGTGAGTGGAGGGGTATACTCCCGAGGAATTGAGTATTCTGGGGTAGTGTGAATGCTAACTAGATACCTGTTTTTAATTTGTTTCTGGGTATTTGGGTTATTTTATCCAGAACTGACGAGACCCTCAGTTACAGAAATAGGATAAATAAAAAGAGAGTTGGTTGCCGATACATCATAAAACATAACTTGGGTGGAGGTAAAACGGCATCACTGTGAGATAATCCAGCGACTCTACATTCGAAACCGACATATTACAAATGAGCTTTTTTTTAAACACCGACACCCCGAGGTTTTCTTATAATTTAGTGGCAATACCCTCGTACAAAATTAACTTTTATTAAGCATTATTCTTTAAAAAATGAAAAAAGTATAAATTGAGGATAAATTGATCTGGGTGAATCCGCGGCACTCCAATCCAGAGAAAAAGGTATTTTTTCCGGGTTTTTTTTTCTCGCAAAAGCAGAGCAGCAATGAAAACAACTCAATCCAAACAAAGATGTGCCCTGAATCCTGTATGTTTAAATTAGTTTCCATGTTATTTTTGATCAATTTCCGATTAGTCTCTGTTTTTAATTATAATTAATTCGAAATAGCTTAAAGTGGGAGCGGGTTAAAGAGGGGTTCGAGCGCCAGTTTGTGTCGTTAGTTGTGAAAAAAACCGGTTAAAGTTTTCCATCTCCGCCCAGCCTTTGTGAAATTAATCATTTAACCTGGGATTTCTCTCCGTAGGACTTCCGTACAACTGTAAAGAAAAAAAAGAGAAAAAAGGTTATTAATTTGTTAATTAAACTTGGAACTTTCTGTAAAGTTTGTGCTCGCTGAAGTTTAAAAGCTCACGCACTTTTTTTTTCTTCACCCTTTGGGTAAACAGGTTGTCCGTATAAGAAAGGCATCTGGAAGATTCACAATAAATAATTTTTAAAAAATTTAAATGACAAATTCAGGATATATAACATATATACTTAGTACAATATTTGTAGTTGCAAACATCAATAAATGTAATAAAAATGCAAACATAAACTACAAAATTAATATCAAAAATATTGGTATCTCTTACCTGTTTAGAAATGATGCTGCATTGCGATTAACAGTGAGTTAAAAGCAATATCAATTAATCAATGTCTGGTTTTATTTTTAAACATTTTATATTTTGTTAATATATGATATATTTATTTCTGTTCTTGTTTGTATATTGAATTGTATATTTTGTATTGAAAAAACTATCGCTTATCTTGACGTTTTCAAAACTCCAAATGGCCAAAAACTATTTTGAACTTCTTTTTTTTCTTTCTTTCTTTGTCGTAAAGATTATCCTTTTTTGCACTAGAACTTTCGTCGAGTTGTGTTAATGGTTTTTCGGGAAGGTTTCCGTTTCTTTAATAAAGAACAGAATTATTCTCAGAGGTATGGTGTTGAGGTCTACATTGCTGAAGAACGGATTTCCTAGGTGCCATAGCATTTCCTTGTTATTACAGACCAGTTGTTCAAGATGTTTTGTGTTGTCTCTGTTTCCCTCAGTCGTAATTGATGGTTGGTTTTTTAGTGATGTTTTACTGTACTGGCTGTAAAATGCCTGTAACAGTTTTTAGTTTCTTTTTTTTTCCTAGGAAGATCTTTTCTTTCTCCCATTGGATTGTTTTGTGACTAGTCTTGCAGGTTCCATGCCTGGCCTGCGTTCCCAGTGTTTGTTGTGTTCTTTAGCAAAATTCTTTTAGAAAGATTGCCTGCCGTTATTTCTTGTAAATTACAAAAGCTGCAATTGTCTGACTGCGAGGAGTGATAGATTCAACTGCGTACACGCGTTTATGAACATACGTACACACGTGTGCAGATTTGAGCTTATATGAATCTTCAACAATACAGCCAAGATAATTTAGAGATCGTGGTCACTCTCAACACGACACAATAATGACACATCTACACAGAAAACGAACATTTTGATCCCTGAAGATGATCTCAATAAAGAGCGAAACGTTGGCACGATATATAAAATGTTTTTTTAAAACCTACGTCACACCAAACCGCATCTCACGATCTCCAAATTATCATTAAATAATGGTCACTAACACCACACATTAATACAGCCAAGCCTAAAACTGTTCCATGAACTATAAAAATGAATATGTTTGAAAACCTAAAATTTTACAAGCACAATTTTCAAGTTGAAGAACACATAAATATACAAAATCAACAACTCACACTGGAATAAAAAAATACGAACTAACGATAAAACACAGATTTAATCAGTCAAATACAAATATTACTCTGATACAACCGTTACACATTTCACGAACTTATTGAAGGGACTTGACTAAACAAAAATAACACCCAGGCCAACACTGAAGATGATGAAATGTCACACAGGAGGGCTTAATGTCCAACTACCTGTTGGGTGTTCCAGAGAGGGTCGAACCACTTTACAATCCCTTTCTTATATTATTCATAATTAAAAATCTGTGGGCTCTCCGGGATTCGAACCAAGGACGACTAATATATTAAATGCGAGTCGGACACCCGAACCACTTCACCACCATGATCCCCATTCTTTTTTTATATTTGTATAGTTGACCACAAAAAGTATTAAGTTGATGTAGTGTTCATAGATTCACTTTTTAGCTAGGGTGTCTGATGTGTCATTATCTGAAATTCCTTTGGCCTGGTACTAAAACATTCGTCGATCCCAGTTTTTAGTGTGTTTAGGCAGATTAGAGTTAATCTCATAGGCTTAACCTTGAGAACTGCCTGTCTGTCTGTTAGTTATTTCATTTTGACGTGTTGGTTAATCTCATAAGAACTTGTTTCTATGGTGATACCGTATTAAAGATGATTGTAGTGAAGCCTAAGGTTATATGATGTACATATTCAAGCCCCTTTATACATACTCCCCATCTTTGATTCATCTGTTTATCAAGGATGAATTCCAGGTTTAAAAGTCTAGTAATTTTGGTTTTAACCACGTTTATGTTAACTTTGTCAAACAGTTTGGTATGGCCAACATTATATTAATGCTTTTTTTCTACTGTCCTATTAATTCAGTTCCTCAGTCGTTGATTTTGTACTTAATGGGTTTTACGCTTTAATTTTTTTATGAAATATTTCTTAAATATTCTTATTCATAAATATTCATAATAAATATTCATAACAAATATTCAAAATATTCATAAATTTTCTTCCTGGTCTGCCTATCTTTACTGATATAAGCATTTCGCCACCTTCAGTACCTAGTTATTCTGAAATGCTTAAGTGTGTGAAGTCCTTTTATAAAGTTACAAAATCACTGCACGTGGAACTTACAAAAATTAGCATCGTCAGTATACTCATCATCGATTATAAAATTTAGTGACAATACATTAATAGATCAAAGATAGACAAAGGTTCTTTATTTATTTCGAATAAATTACATAAATAAAGTACAGTATTTTTTTAAATACAAATGTCAAATCACAACTACGGTAAAACTGTAGTGCTTAGTATTTCTTTTTTACGGCATCAAAGAGAAAGTAAACAACATAATTATCTTATTAAAATATAGTTCAATTTGTTTTATTATATTTATGATAAAGCAATAATTATATGGACTAATCGGATCGAAATTAATTCGTTGTTTTTAAGGTAAATATATTATGTAAATCTGCGCCCTTGATCTATTGCCGTGACGTTTTCATTCATGACGTCCCTTATCACTCTACTGATTAAAATGTGATATTTTTAAATCCCGTGTGACTATGAAAATTAACATTTTGCATCCAACGGCTAAACATTATGAACAAAATAGTGTTGATATTTTTTTTAATAAATTATTATAACAATTTTTTATACACATCTACGGCGACTTTCAGCGAATTTGACGTTGTGTTTTGTATGCGGTTAAAAAATAAAAAAAAATTGTCATGTCAAAAATGAGTGTGTCTGTCTTTTTAATTCAAATTTTAAACAACTGATGTAAACTGTCAACCTTGATCTGTCCAACTTTCAGTTTTAGGTGTTGGGTTAACACTCGGATTTAGACAGATCGCACAGTCATTTTCGTTTTTTAGCGTTTCACTTGGTTTTTAAACACTAATCCGGATTTAATCTAATTTTCTACACTTATTTATAACATAAACAACAGCCGTAACGTTCCTGCTGTTTTGATAATAATAATTGTTTCTGACAACCGTGAAAGAAAAACACCAATAGCTCTGAATTTTATTGGCTTAAAGAATATTCTATCCTTGGAAATAGTTTGTAAATCGCTAAGTTTAAATTATTAAATTTAAACATAGGAACAACAAATAATAATTTAAAACGATCAATCCCACCCGATTAAGAAAAGGCCATTACTTTTCTGCCAAATCCTGAGTACTGTCTGATATGTAGAGAATGCTTGCTCGATATGCTCACCTAATTGAAGGGTGCAACTCATTGGCTCTATATAGAGAGTGTGTAAGATTGCCACATGATATGAGAATCGTGCTTGAGCACGGCAGCGAATATCTGTGTTTCCTGCTCCAATTCATTGAGGAAACAAGGTTGTTTTATAGGATTTATTGTAGTGATAGTTTTATGCCCTAATATGTGTTGAGCGTGAATATATGTACTAGCGTGAATGTAGAGTGTAAGAGGGTTGACGGGAAAGTATTGAGTACCTCATCGACCCTCAATTAGATTAGTTATGTAATGTGTGTAGAGGGTGATGGTGGAATATCGAGTACTCCACCACCCTGAGTGAATGGTATGTAAATATAAAAGGATGTATTTAAGAATGAAGGAAAGTGTGAATGAATTTGTATCTTGAAACTGTATGCAATTGATACGGAATAGACCTATCTATTGATACCCAGAGCACAACGACGGTGGATGGACGGAAAGACCGAGATTTGACCTCGGACTGCCAACACAGGGGCTGGTAAAACTCAAGGCCTGCCGGTAATTTATTATAAAATACAAAAGCTGGACTGGCCAGTAGACTGCGAGAAATGATGGACTCAACTCTGTACATGTGTATACAATGTGAGCTTATATAGTACCAAATCCAAATACAAAATCTTATTTTTAATTTAATGTTTATAATTAATTGTCTCCATTCTTCTATATACAAATAGACCTGAGAGCCATATTTCTAGTTTTTTATCGTTGAAACAATTTTATTGTGTACTGTATATTACAGTTTGGATAATACGCCTAAAAATAAACATTATGAACTGGAGATTTGAAACATAGAGAAGACTGAGTAATCTAATTAGAAAGAAAATTAAAAATTTTCAGTATGGCTGAAATCAAATAAGGTGGTAAAAAACCAGATAGTTAGTCAATAGCCAAAGGCGATTGACATTATTAATACGGTTTCTCCATTATGCTTATAATCCCTCTAATCAAAGAGCAATTTTAATCAAATTCCCAACGCTTTTCCAAAGCCCTCTCCCCATTAATTCCCCTATTAGGATTAAAGGGCTCAATTATAAATCTTGTAAATGGGTCGTCCGTCGCTAAAATGAGCTTTTCTGTTTCAGTCACCCCATCGTTTGCGATAACACGAGTACCCGGCTTCGGCATCCCTCTCAGGGAAGGAATCCCCGTATCGCTGAAATGCGACGTCGACTCTAATCCGCCCTCTCTGCCCGTCTGGCAAAAAGGTGAGACCAATTTTTTTCCCTCTCCCTATCAACCCTACTTATCTATAACTTGAAATGCAACGATTTTCAGATGATGGCGCCCCGCCTGTGGAACAGTCGAACGACGGGTTCTTGAATTTTACATCTTTAAAGCGAGAACACAACGGCTGGTACAAATGCACGACGAGGCATCTCCTGTCCACATACTCTTCGATCGGCTATTTTCTGAACGTCAGATGTAAGTAAATTATTATCAGGAATACACTAGAACTTTTACACACATTAGAAAAAAAATACATCCCAGAGATCATGAACAAAACACAACACGTGTATACGTTGATAACATACTCCCATAGTAGACATCAGTTACAATATTAACAGAATTTTTTCTTCGTCCAATAAAGTCCCTAAACTTAGCAATATACACGTAACGAGATTACCGCTAACACGTATTAGTTAACAGTGTCAGTAAGTAAACCCAATAGCCATATAACTTATAACTCTTATAACTATAAATTAGTAGTATGCAATTTCATTATTTAATCTCAATATTTGTTGCATTAACAAAATTTTCAAACTCGTTTACAGTTTTTTTTTTTTTTTTTGACACCGAGAGGAACATCGAAAGAGTGTTACATAATCGAGGAATAACGTCGCAAAGAAATATCTACTTAAAGTATCAGAAAAAGCAGTATGAGAGAAAGTACTCGTACCAGCCAATGCCGAATCTTTTCGATATCTATATTTGGTCAAGGGACTCCGAAGCCGGTATTTATGGAAGAAAACACAAAACAATAGCAAAAGACATTATACGACTAATTACGTTTGTAAGACAAAAGACATTACGTTTGTTCATAATGAAAAGTATAATTATACAGTGAAAAACGGGATTGTAATTGAGCAAGATTTAAAAGCGTTTTTAAAAATCAGACTGTCTTTAAAAATGATTACTTTTAAAACCACAAGAGCAGACACAGTATGGCAGTACTAAAAGGGGCATAGTAAAATTCGTGTATAAACATCAAACTAATAAACAAAAGACATTTATGTACTATATGGAAAGAGACGTTAAACTGACCTATCTTTAACAAACTAGCCCTAAAAACCACATTAAAGGCAGCAAACACTGGAAAACTGGAAAAGAAATCATAGAAAAAACTAGCCATTCAAATAATTCCATAATGCAGTAACAACAAAAAATGAAAAGTAGATAAACTATCAGAAAATATAAAAATACAAACAAAATATTAGATCATTTAGATTTAGTTAATGATAGAAAATTATCTATGCAGCATACAGAACTCTAGGAAAAACCTGATTACATGATTTTAAAAAAATGGCAGCGTGGGTGGACCGCATAAGTAGAGAAACTCCCTCGTACAAAAGCACTGTCGATAGGTTGCCCTGGGTGAACCTGACTCCTAAAAGAAGGGTCACTCTCTTTCGATTAAGAATAGGCCATTCGAGGTTGACAAACTTACTTTTGGGTCAAAGCCCTCGTATTCCACTTAATTCCTTGGCTCTATATAGAGAGCATGCAGGAATTTTTTCTTCCCCTAAGTATCCCTTCGGGAAGGGAGTTTATTATCCAACCATGTGACTAGGATAAAACTAAAGTTCAATTTGTAGTTTAAAAAATAACAACATCTACATATAACATCGATGAAGCATCCCGCCGTTGATTAATATTTTCTTTGGTGATTGACCAAATAGAACATTTTATTGTCTAACATTTTCATACAGGCACTTAATTAAACCTTTGTGGTGTCTTCTAATAGTGTTGGTTCAGGACAAGGCCATTTTCCTCCGGTACTTAAATTAAATTAAAGTGTCTGTATTGTGTACGTATTGTATGAAATACTATATTTTCAATTGTTTTGCTTAAAAAACCGTGGTGAGTTATGCCCGGTTTTTGAAAATGGAGGGATATTCAAATTCAATAAATTGAACAACTACCTTTTCTACGCTTTCATTAGCATGGGAATTGCACCCAGTAGAATTGATAAGAAGGCGTTTGGTTTCAAGCCAAACTTTTCTCAAATCCCCTAACGCCGGAATCAGTCCTGCCCATCCTGAATCCAATTTCTTTTTATGTTCTCTCTCACACACACACACAAACACTCGTTTGTTCTCCCTACTCAACTGGAGCCTTCACTTTTGCTCAGTGTCTTATTTCTTTTTTTGCGGCAGTTTGGACGTATGCATTTATTTCTGTATCTTCTGGACAATCTGAGTCTTACTAACCAAAACGTGTAAGGGAAGGAGGTAAGAACGGTAATGTTCATCTATATGATAACAATACCGTCATCCCTTTTGTTTATACGTAGCTCGGTGGTATTCCTTATTTGCGCAGATTTACTAAAATCCAGTGAAGCTTCATTTAAAAAAAATTAAATAAATAACAATAATTCAAGATTTTCATGTAAAATGTTACTTTTCTCTTTTTTCAAAATCCTCAATCATTTTTTAATTAGTATGTTGTTTTCCACAAATTATCAACATTTGACGACAAAATAATTACGTTTGTTCATAATGAAAAGTATAATTATACAGTGAAAAACTGGATTGTAATTGAGCAAGATTTAATAGCGTTTTTAAAGATCAGACTGTCTTTAAAAATGATTACTTTTTCACAGTGACAAGTAACATTCAATTACTTGTGTAATAAAAAATTGAATGCCACCTATCCTCACTGCAAAGCCTCGGAACTAACCGACTACGACCAGCAACTTACATCAACAAGATACTCCAATACCTCCAAACAAAAGGATACTCGAAAACTCTCCTTACGTTTACATTCAACTCATAAAATTCCTGTATTTTTAAATTCCACAATAAATTACTCATACCAGTCCATTAGTCCGTCAGCTTTCCTGTCCTACTAATGGATATCCCACGTACTTTGATGCGGCGAGAGATTTCTTTAAGGTTTGACTGACCCAAATCGTGATAGTATCAGCACTTCATATCTCTTCTTATTTAGTAAAACATGATGTATACTGTAAGTTTTCTCCTTAGATCTGCGTGGCGATAAGTCGTAGTTAGGTTGTTTCAGATTGTCATGCCATCATCATAATCAGTACACTACTCCGTCCATCTAGCGTATCATTATCCTCCACTATTCTCGATCTTCAGCAAGTCTGAACATGCTGTAACCTCTTTTATGATCGTCCATTTTCTTATGATTTGTAATCAAGACATTCGTTTCTGTCATATTCCTCTCTTTCCCTCAACTTTCCTTTCATTATCAGTTGAGGTAATAGGCTTCTAACAATATGTCCTTCCTGTGTTTAATATTAGATATGAGGCTTCTTTCAGTATTAGCTGTTTGAAGTACTCGTTCATTTGTTTAAAATTCAGTGCAGGATAGTTTTAGCATTCTTCGGAGAAGCCACATTTAAAATGTTTCTATTCTATTCATAGTATGAAGTATGAACCTTCATAGTCCAGCTTTTGGCTCCGTATAATAGAATTGACCATATGTATCTACACCATATTCAACGGTATACTACTACTAGTTTCTTCTTATCCTCAATACTCTCAGCTAATATAGCAGTGACGTCTGCAAATCTTATCTTTTTATTGCCTAATTCCAATTTTTTAGAGCTTCTTTAAAAATAGTATCAGTTAAAGATTGAACGGTAGCGGTGAGAGTAAACAGCTGTCTTATTCGTCTTTTTTCATAATGATATCACTAGTATCAATGTCACCAATTCTTATTTCAGCTTTTTGACCTCAGTGGCGATTATCTTCTGATATATATCATCAATGTTAGTGCTTGTAAGAATATCAATTAATTTATCATATTGTACAAGGTCAAAAGCCTTTTCGTAATCCAAGAACCAAACAAATACATCCATTTCTGATCGCGATATTTCCGTAAAAGAATATTTATACTTAACAAGGCTTCTCTAGTTCCAAAATTTTTTGAAAGCCGATTGTCATCATATTCAACTTCGCACTTGTTTTTTATATGGTTGCTTATTATTCGAAGAATTATATTCATAACACCACACATAAGTCTAATCAATCCTTACATTGTCTGGGATAAATCTTCTTTGGGTTAGCAACAAAAGTTAACACTATGGCTACTTTTTATAATGAAGAATACGCTGTTATACATCTTACGTAAAAGTTTTGCGGGTTTAATGCAACAGCAGCGCGTCGAAAATACAATGCGGAGGGTGGAGAGCATTTCGAATCAACATTAAAAAACGTTTAATAAATTCATTCAAAATTTCCTTTAGTTTTTTTATTTTTTATCACTATTAAACTTTCCACCTTACCTTCAACCATAGGTTTTTCTTTTCCTTCATCAATTTCTTCATCTTTGAAAAAGTAATTAAAAAAGCAATTGCACCACTAAAAATGATATTAAATGGGGTTCGTTTTCCGAAATTTTCTGGTCTCTAGGTTTGGAAGTTTAGAATCACCATAGTAAATTTTTCAACTTAGAAAAAAAATTTTTTTTCAAAGTATTAAATTCACTAATTTCGTGGTCCGCATGACCAATTAATACTTTACAACTAATTAAGGTTTTTAGTTGAGATGAAAAAAGTTAATGGCACGAGAGGGATTCGAACCCACGACCTTCGGCTAGATACGCCGCTGCTCTACCACCTGAGCTATCGTGACCTCGATCCACTCGGACATCAACTCCCCATCTCAACCCCACCTTATGAGTTTTCCCTCCTTTCCTTTGAAAAATGGCAAAAGGATAACTTTTTTTCATCTCAACTAAAAACCTTAATTAATTTTTCAAAGTACTCGCTACTAAAACGCTTATTTCGCGAAGGTTTACAAGTTTAGTTATTAATCACATCTTAATGGAAAATTAACTTAGTTTTCAATGGTATTAACGGATTTGTCCAAAACCTTTTAGTTTTGGAGTTATCTTTGTTTATTTGAAGCAAGGTCGTGAAATCTTAAAAAATTAGAAAAAGTGAAATATCTCCTAAACTGTTGAGATTCACACCATAGTTAATTAGGACTTTTTGGTTCCTTTTTGAATGTAGAATCTACTGGCAAAGTTTGTAACACGAATAGCCTGTATATTGTTGGGTTTTTGTTTTTTTTATCCCGTTGCATGTTTTACAATAAAACACCAGTACTAACTTTAAATGTATACACTTCGGTGTATACGAAATCAAGCGATTAAGAGAATTGTTTCACTTCAATTTTAGATGGTGATGGAGAAATGAACCCAGGGGACATAGAAGTGGGTGGGAGCACAGAGGCGGCCACTGGTTCGGGAAACGCTGTCGAAGTTTCCGTTGGAGGTGCCGTCCAATTGGAGTGCGGGGGCAACGAGAGAGGCTGCTGGGGACGAGTTTCCACCTCGGGGCAAGTCTCGCCATTAGGACAAGGCGCACCATTGTCGATCCATTCTGTCCTTTATCAGCAGGCCGGCCACTATAGGTGTTACGCCCCGGAACCGGACCGTCTGAATGCTTGGAGAACGCACAATGTCCATCTAAAAGTCACAGGTGAGTCTATCTCCCCGATCCTCCATCCCTAATAATTTGATATAATAGGGGCAATTGAGTGAAAGGTCACGTTCGTTTAATGACGTCCGAGAGAAGGGACAGCCACCTGTTGCCGACCGTTCTACCTGCCTCATTGATTTGCTCTCTTCTAAACAGTTACAACATGTCTACGTGTTTCAGGCGTGCCGATGGTCCTAGCGAGGAACTTGTCGAAGGTGGCCGAAGTCGGTGACGCTATTTCCCTTTTGGCCGAGTACTGCGCCAGTCCCAGTGCCACCAAAGTCCTTTGGATACTTCCCACGGCGAGAGTTATTGCTCCCGGGACCACTTTATGGGGAATAACAGCTCACAACATCACAGTAAGTATCCTATGAATTATTTAACTCTCTGTTTTACTAAGGGCTATAAATCTCCCCTGAGCTTCCTTTTCGTGCTTCCTCATCACGCACTATCCCCTTTCAACTTCTGCCGCTTTATTTGAAATCGGTTTTTCAACACAATTCTCATTTAGGTTTATCACACCTTCGAGCCAGTCGACAAGTTTTCATTTCCGATAATGCTAAACTTTCACAACGCAAAGTTTTCACTATATTATTGTGATATCTATTGAAAAATCAAAAACCGATCTCTTCAGAATTCTTTCAAACGATTCTAAGGTGGAACATAATTAAATAAATAAAACTTTAGAACAACAGAATCTTTTCAAGCAGTTAAATATTAAATAAAAAAATATATAATTATTAAATAAGCAAAGCTAAAAATTTCTCTAACGTAAAAGCACTTCCTTTTTTTTATTTACAATAATATATCCAATTCTCATATATTCAATTCATTCTCATACTCAATTGCAAACCAAACGATGCATCGGACTGTACTTCATCAAATTCTCATACTTCACTCCAACACACCGATTGAAACGTAACATTGCAACTGTTAAAATCACTCCTTCATAAACGATCGAAACTTACAATGGCAAATTAATAAAATGCTGTGAGGTTTCCTCTGGGGGTTTATTAACCTAAACTATACATTCTCTGACATGCAGATATACATATCCTGGTTGTAGATTAAGTACGATTAATTAATTTTTGTAAACGAGAAACATTACTGTGAGTCTGCATATCCCCTTTTTATTTTTAATATACCAGACGCTTTGCGGCTTCTGACCATCTTCATTGGGTCTCGGTGTGAATTATGTTTAGTCTTGTCCCTTTTATCTGTTCGTGAAAGGTAGAAAGTTCCAAAATGATCGAAAACTGCCAATCTAAAATTAAAAGGTTGTACAGTGCCCTTCTAAGCCCTTTATGTGCATATTGAACTGTGCAAGTCTACTGTACAGAATGCAAACCCTTTATTTTAAAATTCTCTGGGTAATACTCCCTTCTATTTCTCCAACCTTGCAATCCATATTCTATATAATGTAAAAAAACTCACACGTCCATCTTTTCTCTGCTTCACGAAAAAACATTGAATCCTGAAAATACATTTTTACCCTAACAGCACCTAACCAAACTTAACCCCTCTCTAACCCTAAGTTTTAATAGTTTAGTAGTGTAGAAAGCTTTTAATAGTGTTTGATCTTTTAATTCTTTTGGTATCAGTCATACCCAGAGACTTGTTATTTTAGCGATCGCTAGATTCGCACCAAAAATAAGCTAGCATACTACCTAAATTACCATCACATTAAAAATTAGATTAGTATTCCCGTGATTCAAAATCAGAACTAACAATTTCTTCTGTTTTGTTCAGAACGGCAATTGGACCAATTGCCACAAGGCTTTGCTGACGGTGGATCGAGTAGGGAAAGAGCATGAGGGAGAGTTCAGCCTTTTGGTCTGGTCAGGACGGGGCATCGGGCAGACAACCATCAGGCTCAACGTGACAGGAAACGGTGACACTTCTGCAGGCAGAGGCATGGCCTCCTCCTCGGCTCTACTTGTCGCAGTCATCGCCATAGCCAGGATATGTTAACACTCGCCAGCCTTAACTATTTTACCTTAAAAATAAGCCTTAAGAATCCTTGGCGGGAAGTGGATCTAGTCATATAGACTTTATATTGTATATGTGGTATTAGTCGTCTCCTATACTTATCATTTATAAGTATGGGACGAGATTGTAAATATTCTAGAGATATGTGCGATATAAATATCAATATATATATTTAATGCCCGATTATTGTTAAATATTGTGTATAAAAAGGATTTTTTTTTTTTTCAATTTTGAAATGTTGTCCTTGTTATGTTATTTGTGCCAAAACGCATGAAATTTTATACGAGGGAATCTTTACACTATAGGAGTGTTGAGTGTGATGATGAATATTTTTTATTTTGTAACGTACCAATTCAAATCTGTAATTTATTATAATGGTAATAATCTCCCCGTGTTTATCAATATAACAACGAATTTAATTTTGCCAGTTTTTATTTCGACTGTTACAGCTCTCCTAAAAATGGTTGAAAATTGGTCTATTTCGTTGTTTTTTTGCAGGGTGGAAACAAATTGTCAGTTAAATAATTTATTTGCAATAAACTTAATAAACAAAATGCTATTATCACTAACTAGAAACACATTATAATATCTACTAAACCCAGAATTCTAGGCCTATTTCCATAATCGCTCACTTTAATAATTTAAACTAATTATTTCTAATTTCTATAAATTGAAATCTACAGTTTACCTTTATTTACCTTTATTTACCTTTCTCTCTCTCTCTCTCTCTCTCTATATATATATATCTCTCTCTCTCTCTCTCNATATAGACGCCTGCACGGAACCACTAATTCAGCAACAAATGATTCTACCCCTATACAAATTCAGAGAATGCATTGTAAGCATAAAATGTAGATTGTATTGTAAGACCCCTCTTCGTCAGATCCACTCGGGACTCCTATCTGTACAGACACTTTTAAAATAGAATCCTTGTGTAAAGTTATAGTTTATATTGAATAAACGTTATTTTTAAAAAAATAGTTTCTTACATCGAAACCATAACTGGCGCAGTCGGTAGGACACTTGCGGAGAAAATTAGGGAATATAATGGGTTTCCTAGTTGGTAGTTCCTTTCGTTAGGTTATACAAAATTTTGTCGTGGGTAATGTTTTTGTGGTGGCGAAAATGGTGGATGTTGTGGGTATCTAAACGGTCTCGGTGTATACGCTTTTGTGTTCCTTACCTGCCCAAAATTTTTGGATCCTGGAGTGGATTGGTGATGAAAATCATTAGTAAGCATATTGAGCGCTTCATTAAGATCTGAGAGGTTTCTAGCTTGCAAAAGAGAACTCATGGGTTCTCTTAATCCCTTTAATAAAATCCGTATACCTAATTTCCTACAGAACTCACCCAGAGTGTCATCATCGTCCGGCATTAAATTATTGAGATAACTAATTTGTAGATTTACAAGTTTTTGAATCTTTTCAAGAAATTGAAACGGTCTTGTTAGTTTGTTTTAATTCCGAAAGTTCAAGGACTAGGGTGTAAATGTCCCTCTTGTCTAAGTAACTGGTTAACAATGCATGTTTTATTTCAGGCCAACTACTTGCGCCTGAGTCGAAGACTATTTCCGCCGCCGGTCCCTGAATTTTCGAATTGATACTTGCTAATAAATACTCATTTTGAAAATCTCCCGGATTCATCACTATGTAAAATTAGTCAACTAATTTTTGACAAATACCAATGAACCTTGCTAACACTTCAGGCTCGCCCTTAAAAATGGGTATCATGTTGAGATACTCGCTTTTTAACGTTTCTGGAAACGGGGGATTCATGATTTTATGAAATTCGGTACTAATTGTATGTGTCTTATGTTTAATTTTACAAGATTTTTCAACCCCTTTTACTCTAAATTTACGTAAAAACTGTTTTCTTAAATTTCTTATAAGACCTATTTTGTTGGTTGCAATGGCAATAGCCAAATTTATAAAAGTTTTTTAATCAACTCACAGTACTAGGTGACACGCTTCCATGTGAATTCCTCTGTAGTCTCTTCGATTGATTGGTCCTTGCGGTAAACAATTGAATTGAAGAAAATTATATTCCCTAATTTTCTCCGCAGGTGTCCTACCGACTGCGCCAGTTATGGTTTCGATGTAAGAAACTAATTTTTTATAAATAACGTTTATTCAATAATATAAACTATAACTTTACACAAGGATTCTATTTTAAAAGTGTCTGTACAGTTAGGAGTCCCGAGTGGATCTGACGAAGAAGGGTCTTACAATACAATCTATATTTTATGCTTACAATACATTCTCTGAATTTGTATAGAGGAATGTAGAGAATCATTTGTTGCTGAATTAGTGGTTTCGTGCAGGCGTAACTTATATATATATGTTATTGTTTTAATTTAAAGCCAATGTTATTCTATGATTTTTGTATTCATCCTGTACAGATATACCATTAACATACCTACCTTCTTTATATTCATCAGATGCTCGGGATATATTTTTTATAGCTTAGTTGGGAGAAAATAATATGGCTCTAAAGCTAACAACAAATGGTCTACTCTAGTTTAAAACTAGTTTATTTATTAAAGCTCACTAAATTAAGAGAAGAAAATATTATTGAGTATAAAAGAAAACATATGTTTGTCTAAATTAGATAAGAAATATGTGTAACATTGACTGATTGCCATTCAATTTATTATATCAACTTATCAGTAGAAATAACTATATTTTCATATTAATATTTAAAGAAAAACGTGGATGTAAAAATAAATAAAATGTATGTATTGGAAGAGTATTGTTTCTTAACTGCCAAAAAAATGTGGAAATATAATTATTACCAATAAAATATATATTAAGCAAAAAAAAAAAGAAAAATATGTTTTAGTCTTATGAGTGTTTATAGAGGCTGTATATTAATAAACTGTAGTAATTTCGTCAAAGATTTTTATATATTTTTCATTGATATATTGGTAAAAGAATGGCTATATGAAAATTTGAATTTTTAAAATGTGAAATTTAATGTTTACAATTATTTTTGTTAATTTAAACATTTAAATAGTTCATTTAAAAAACAAATATGAATTACTTATTGTGTACTTTGCATACCGTTTAATTTTGTTTATAAAATAGGAAATGAAACACCATTCAAATATCCAAAAAAAAGAAACTTTTAGAAAAATTAAGATGATGTATGAATTGAACATTTTTATCAAATGTGATGAGGGCATTTAATTAGATAAAATAATTTTTGTATTCGAAAATCAGCTCGTACTGTGGCATACAGTTTGATAGACTTATTTCCATCGTTTTCAATACTAATCGAAATGTAAAAACATTAATTTAAACAATCTCGGTTTATGTAATAAATAAATAAAAAATAGGTTTCGTAACCATTTAAATAACACGTTAAATAAATTAATTTCATGCAAAGAAAAGTTTGTACATGTCTCGTAAACATAGAAGGGATAATTTTAAATTTAAGGAAATTAATGTATGTAAAAATGTTGGATTCTGTGTTGAAATATTTTTCAGGCCTTGATTGGAGACGATGTTATATAATTTTGTTCACTGGTATCCTTGTAAATATATGTTTAGGTGGGCATGGATGTCCATGAGCAAAAGATGTAGTCAACTGTCAATTCATAAGTTTTAGCTGACGTGTTTCACGGATGTTTTCAAAGCGTAATGATTGTTAAAATTAGTGCTAAAAAATGCAATGTATTCAATGTTAAACTGCTGTCATACGTCCATTATTATAATAAAAGGTGTTGTTATCGAACTTTTTTTTAGCCTGTTACATTTTTATTTTTAAGCCATTTACGTTTTAGTGGTCAATTGACCAAGTTACTTCTTTCAGTTAATTATTCTTTCTATGTAAGGCCTTGGTTGAGATTTTTTAATTTTTTTATTTTTAAAGTTTTCCCGAATATCTATAGTACTGTTGTAAATTTTTGGGCGTTGGCGTTTATTTCAAAATCCTCAGGCTTAAGTATTGTTTTTAGCTTAGGTGGGAGAAAATTAGAAAGTCCTTAAAGAAATAGGAGTGAGGGGAACATAAGAAGACAGTACACTCCGCCGGTGTATACACTACATTCTCTACTGCCGTTGTAAAAATATAAATTCGCGATTGAGAAGCGGAATCGTTGAAAATTCGATGACTTTAATCTTCTGCTATTACGTAAACACGGTGTATAGTCTGCTTTATTAGGCTCAGTTATCAGTTGGAAGTGGCCCGGTTCGGCTCGTAGCGCCTGCCTCTTTAGTACGGACGCGGCTTTGTTTCGGGCAACATGTTTTTTAACAAAGTGACCTATGAAGTGCTCAAGACTGTTCATCTTGGTTTCAGCTTTCTTCTCCTCTTCTCGGCTGATTTCACTTTCAACAATTTAATGGTGAGCTTGTTTATAATTTATTTGACCATGGATAAATACTTCAAGGCTCAAGTTGATGTGATAGCTAAATTAGTCGGCAGCACAATTATTCCGCCTGTTTTCTAAACTTTCTTAATCAAAGTTGTTTGTCGTTATTTTTATTTTTTATTCTAAAAACAACTACATTTACCAAACATCGATTATATCAGAAAAAATACAAACATATGTTTTAAATAAGTTTTAAATAATGCATATGGCCAAAATTCGTCATCCTCTAAGAACACGAAAGAGGCGTCTAGGTGCTTAGACCCTTTTAATACTTTTCATGCTTAATTTTTACTTACAAAACTGAAAAACAACAAAGGTGACAATTATTAAAAACTGTTATACCATAAATTTGATTTCTTAAATTAAAAATAATCTACTTTCACGTAAACATTTAGTTTTTAACTTTATTTTCTACTATTTTTTCTATTCTTAATTTTTACTAAAACATAAACAGATATACGTAACACCTAAGGAAACTCACGTACAACAACATCTCATAAAATATTTCAAGTTGGTGACATAACTCCTGATACTATCGCTATATTTAAAATTTAAAAACTTTGAAACGAAACTTTTGTTGTCCAAGAAATTTAACTGAATCTTCTAAATTTGAACACTTATATTACAAAAAGTATGCTTTTAAGACTTTTGGTAACTTTTGAGTTTTAATTGGAAAATTATCTTTTATTTTTCTTTATTAACAATCTTATTTATAATTTTGACTTGTGGAAACTCACGAACTTATGAAAGAAATATACTAATTATACTTTGCATATAAAAAGTCTGCTTTTAAGAATCCTGACAACCTTTGAATTGTAAAGACTAGATGACTCTGTAATTTTTTCTTTTTATTAATAATTTTGACCTGTGGAAACCTAAAAATAACGCAAAACTCACACATAAAAACTCGTTACATACATTAATTCTGTTTTGGCTACATTGTATGTAAATGTAAAGTTAGTAATAAACATTATTTATACAAGCTATTTATATTTATATATTAACTATTTATTCAAAATCTACCAGAAAATAAGGCCCAATAGCGCACTTCAATTTAAGCATTTCCTACCGAAATTTCAACATCCATACAAAACGTTTGCTTTTAAGATTCCTGACAACCTTTGAATTTTAATGACTAGATGACTGTAATTTTTTCTATTTATTAATAATTTTGACCTATGGAAACCTAAAAATAACGCAAAAGTCACACGTAAAAACTCGTTACATACGTTAATTCTGTTTTGGGTACATTTGACGTAAATAGTTAGTAATTACGTAGCAATTACGTTGGTAATTAACGTTATTTATACAAACTATTTATATTTATATATTAACTATTTGTACAAAACCTACCAGAAAATTAGCCTCAGTAGCGCACTTCAATTTAAGCATTTCCTACTGAAATTTCATCATCCATACAAAACGTTTGCTTTTAAGATTCCTGACAACCTTTGAATTTTAATGACTAGATGCCCTTGTAATTTTTTCTATTTATTAATAATTTTGACCTATGGAAACCTAAAAATAACGCAAAAGTCACACGTAAAAACTCGTTACATACATTAATTCTGTTTTGAGTACATTGGACGTAAATAGTTAGTAATTACGTAGCAATTACGTTGGCAATTAACGTTATTTATACAAACTATTTATATTTATATATTAACTATTTGTACAAAACCTACCAGAAAATTAGCCTCAGTAGCACACTTCAATTTAAGCATTTGCTACTGAAATTTCAACATCCATACAAAACGTTTGCTTTTCAGATTCCTGACAACCTTTGAATTTTAATGACTAGATGACCTCGTAATTTTTTCTATTTATTAATAATTTTGACCTATGGAAACCTAAAAATAACGCAAAAGTCACACGTAAAAACTCGTTATATACATTAATTCTGTTTTTGGTACATTGGACGTAAATAGTTAGTAATTACGTAGCAATTACGTTGATAATTAATGTTATTTATACAAACTATTTATATTTATATATTAGCCTCAGTAGCGCACTTCAGTTGAAGCATTTCCTACCGAAATTTCAACATCCATACAAAACATTTGCTTTTAAGATTCCTGACAAACTTTGAATTTTAATGAGTATATGTCGTTCTAATTTTTCCTAGTCTAATTGTGACATACTGAAACTTAAAAATAACGCAAAAGAAGAATGTAAAACGTTGTTATAAACGTTAATTCTGTTTTGTCCAAAATGGACATAACCATTTATACAAGTATTTCTCAGCACTCTTAGTAAGAAATCATTCAACTATGTACAAAAAAATCTTTATATTTCATTTTAGCACTGTCAATATTTGAAAGAAAATGGCGGATTTCTTTTGTATTAAGCCTCATTTTAAGTTTACCAGGTTTTGCCTACTTGAAAACTCTGAACAAAGCCTATAATTAAAATTATTAGTTCGGAGACGTTTTATTGTTATTCATATTACACAAGAAAACTTTTGAGTTTACACTTTGCCAAAAAAAAAAAAAAAAAAATTTAATTAATACACTTCTTAATCAATTTCAGCTTGTTGTTTTGTCAATTGTCAGTTTGTAATTTACATTTCTACTATTTATTTTTTAAATAAGCAAACATGATGGTCAAAGTCAATGAGCTATTTAATTTTAATTTTAAATCTTTCTAAAAGTCTACGTTCAATAATCATAACTGATTGCATCAGCAGTTGGATTGCTAAGTTGACAATATAAAGAGGATAAGGTGAGTTTCATTTGCTGAGCTACTTATATTTTACTGCCAAATCAGTGTTTTTCATATTTTTTCTGATAATAATTTATTGCTTTATTAGATTTATAACAAAAATTTACAGTTTAAAATGTTTGAATATAATTTCCTTGTTCACTATGTTTATTGTCTCTTTTTCATTGTTTGATCTTTACGTTTAAGGTTTCTATTAGGTTAAAGTTGGGTTTTACAACTTCTGCACTGTTGTTCGTTTTTTTCTTTTGTCTATGTTTAGTGTAACTATTTTGTTCAATTTTTCTGCTTTGGTGTATTGGCTCTTTTTTTATGTCTTTTGTTTCATTTTTCTTCCTTTTTTTAATAAGTGAAAATTGGGAAATAAATTTTACCTAAGACAAAATGTTGAATTACTCGTGTCACACCCACTAATACTTTATCACAACATCACCACCTTTGTTTTCCCATTTAACGTAAAATTTCTGTAATTCGGTTCAATGTATTTAAACAAAAAGATATACCGATAAAAAACTTATTAAACAAAGAAGTTGTTATGAAAGCTCTACCGTGAATTTGTTCAGTAAGGTTGCATATTTAGGTATTTTTACAGATTTTAAATTTAACAGTTTTTGGAAGATTTATTTGTTTTTTACCATAAATTAAATTGAAAGTTCAAGAAGGGTGCATTTTTTCTTTCCTTCTTAAAGGAAATTTAACGCTCTATTTGATTTCTTTCCTCAAAAATAGTTTAAGAGCTACGAGTAGATTTATGACGAAAATCATAGATAATTGAAAAAACAAAATATTGAATATTTGCGAAAGGGTTGAGAATCGTTCGTTGGTTCGTACTAACTTCTTTGTTGCATTTGAGGTGTAGAAGCACTTGACGAACTTTGTCGTACAAGTAGCGAATCACCCTGTATAATGAAAATGCCTTGAGCGGGAGCGGCCAAAGTAGTTCTCAAAGTTACAGTAGGTGAGATTTCAATGCAATACGATTCGACAGCATCCATTAACCATTTCTAGCTTCATCCAACGATTTAGCGAAATTGGAATGGAAATCCTTTGTTATAAACTGCTACATGAGAACGAAACTCTGCTCCTGACTCGCCATACTAAATACTGTCAAGTAAAAGTGCAATTTAGTGCAAACAATTATGTCGCCAGTTTGTGACACAACGTTTCATATTTCGTAGCTTGATGATTGTTCGCTCAACTTTTATGCTGGATTCGGTGTCATTCGAATGACTGAAATAATGACGAATAATGGTAGGTACGGCAGAAGTGTATCATTGACTTTCAGCAAATTTGTGATATGGTTACAATGAATTATCAGTAATCAATTTTTAAAACCACTTAATCACACAACTGAGTTTTTAATCCATAAAGGAAGATCAAATCTAGAAAATGTATGTTGTCAAATGTTGTTCAGCTCGTTTTTGTCTTCATTAAAGAACTAACGTTGATTATTTTTTCTGTAGCCAACTATGTACAAACGTATCTCTTTTGAGAACCCTTCATTCTCAATCGATGGATTTACCGGGCTTGGAGGGCTTTATTTTGTGTACGGGATCACTCTTTGGCTGGCCCCTTCGATCAATTCAGTCATCGGTCCCAGGATGGGGATGGTAATAGGTGCTGTGTTCATAACGTAAGATTTCAGGCCGAGAAGATTGATAGTTAAAAAAAATAATAATAAAATAAAATAAAAATTGCAGATTCCATATTTCTATTGTTGAATTCGAACTAGTCTGGCTGATATACTTGGGCATATTGTTCAGCGGTTTCGGAGGTTCGATACTATGGGTCGGAGAAGGCAACTACATAGTCCTCAATTCGAAAAATATCAATGTTACGAGACATGTATGCATATTTTGGGTATTGTACACCGGATCGTAAGTAATAACAACATAAGCTAACACAACACGAATCTATAAATTTTTGTTAATATATTATTTTCAGGATGATCGTTGGAAACTTGTACATGACCCTGCATCTGCATAATGCCACTGACTTGGACAGAGAAACTAGAGCCCTGTTACTCAGGATACTGACGGGAATTGGACTCGTTTCCGCTGTTTCCATGTGCTTCCTGAGGACGCCAACAGCAGTCGAAGAACACAAGATCATCAACGAAGGCCCGTTAAAAACATTAGTACAAACTTTCAAATTGTACTTGACCCCAGAAATGCGTTTGCTTTTCCTGACGTTCATTTATGCTGGTGATTAAATGTTTGGTAATATCAGACAGACTTCTTGAAACACATTGTACTAATTTATAGTGTTATTTTTCAGGTTTTCAGCAATCTTTCGGCTGGAGCATTTACGAAACGTGCGTTGGCTTCACGAAATCTTTTGGACCAAGAGCGACAGAACTGGTGCCTCTTTCCGGGCTCACGTACGGCGTAGGAAATTCATTGGGTTAGGCATTTTAATGGCACTTGAGTAAAAATAAAAATAGAAGAAATCTTATTTCAATAGAGAGGGCACCCCAAACTACTAAACTCACAATTACAATTTTTGAGTCAACGCATTTTTATATACAGGGTGAATGTAACTTCTGCCCCCTCCATATTTTTATTGGGTCATTTTTGGGAAAAATCCCGAAAGACGTACATTTTTATTTTTTGCCTAGTTTCTCATAAACTGAAAACTTTTGATTTACCTCAGGTAACAGGATACCATAAGGAACTAAATTATTTCTACTGGCAAGGTACCCACTAATGTACATTTCTTAAATGTTTTCTTACGCTGAATTCAGCGGTGCAAATGGATTTTAGTTTGGCGCAACTGTTCTTAAGTTAATGGCAAAAAACCTTTTTCAACCAAGAGCCAATTTATTTAATTGATAGTAAACTACTTGCTAGTGGTACAGAAAGAAACATTTTAAAAAAATAATATCGATTTTCAGGACGCTCTGGATGTAACTCAATAAAGCGCGATTGAGCCTGGTGCAAATTTCAATTCACATGTACAACTTGAGAACTAAATCAATTAATGTTTGACAAACAAAACTTAAATAAAAAAATTAATTTGTTGGTCTTTGAGACTTTTGAAAAATAAAATAAAAAGATTGAATTGTTTTAACACATAGTTAACTTTAATGTGTGGTGATTAGTGACCGTTTGTCGATGATTATTCAGAAATCGTGGGATGCGGTCTGGTGTGATGTAGATTTCAGAAAAACATTTTCTTTATCGTGCCAACGTTTCGATCTTTATTGAGATCATCTTCAGGGCTTGGGATTTACAAACATTGTTTAAATTTAACAAAAACATGTAGGATGTGGAAAAAACTGAATTTATACAACGCAAATAAATATTTTTTTAAATCAAATCAATCCAAAATTAAAGATCCCACACCAATAACAAATAAATCTGACGTAATCTACAAATTGTTTAAACTGGCACTTACATCCGTCTTACATCCCAATATCTGGATAAGAGAGTAAAACAACATATCTATGATTGCAAAAAACCCAAGCAAAATCCTACAGCACTCGCTACCCACCATTTTGAACAACAACACAATTTCGACTTCAAAAATCCACAAATATTACATACAGAACCAAACAAACATAAACGTAATTTCTTAGAAATGGTTTACATCAACCGAGATAAACACAGCATCAATTACAGAACAGACACATGTAAACTCAGTCGCAGCTACGCCAATATCATTAATCAAATTCAATATCGATAACATACATATATCATCACATCACACAAAACATACAATATAACATATAAAACATTCATCACATTCCACACATCAAACATTTTTACATAGTCTAATTTTTGAACAATTTAGCTTTCCTTTTCCTATTCATCCTCGTCTATATAATCCTGAAAGGATAATCTGGCCGAACCATTACCAACGTTTTTTCCCATCGTCGGCTCTTTTCACCACAAAGAAGCCGACTCCTTATACAAAAATGTTTTTCTGTACTGACTTCCCTCCCCACCCCTTCAAAATCCAACGTATATAAACATAAATCAGCAATATCTCACTGGCACTCTCAACACGACACGCAAGAATGGCACAGTTACACAGAAAACAAACACTTTGAGTGAATACAAATATTTTGATTGAGTCTAAAATTTCTAGCATTGTATAAATTCACTTTTTTCCACATCCTACATGTTTTTGTTAAATTTACAAAATGTTTGTAAATCCCAGGCCCTGAAGATGATCTCAATAAAGATCGAAACGTTGGCTCGATAAAGAAAATGTTTTTCTGAAACCTACATCACATCAGACCGCATCTCACGATTTCTGAATAATCAGTTAACTTTTATCTTAAAAACCATCACGCTAAAGTTAGATGTTCTTCGACATACTGTGCAAATTGTAAAAATGTCCCGTACATTACAAGAAAAAATATATTTTTTAAAAAATTTACGAGTCTCGGGTTTTTTGCAAAAACGCCCCAATAAAAAAAAAATAAAGGGGAGGAACAGAAGTTTAACTCACTCTGTATATATAACGTCCAAGATCACATGCACCGTCACTTATAGGTTTGCAACTTACAAGGGGACGATCAGGTTGGTGTGTGACGGACGATTAAAAGGATTTTAACGTCTAACATATTTGAAAGAAGAGGAACGTAGCTTTTTAACGACGTACGTACCATAAAATATATATAAAATATTTCTATATGAAAATACATAAAATAGGAAAATTATTTGTCAGCATTCCGTTTGTTTTGTTTTTTTTTTTTTTTTTTTTTTTTTTAATAGAAATAATAGTACGATTTTGATGCAGTTTTAAAATGCACTCGACAATTTCTTTAAAACCAACTATCAGCCATGAAAGAAGGTCTCCTAGAATTTCAGAAAAATGTTGTTAGAGCTTGCACTAGGAATGTCAGTCACGCAGAAAGGTCGTCGAAATTTTCAATCAATAAATTAATTTACACTAAATCTAAGAACTAGAATCACGGTAATGAGGTTAAATCATCAGAATGTTTGTTAAAATATGCAAAAAAAGCTGTATTTCATTGATTTATGTTTTAAACAGTACTAAATTGGAGTATTCTGCGTTATAGAACATTTTTGTTTTTATGTTAACCAACAATTAAATTATTACACCAAAAATAATATTTTTCAATGTATAAATAAGCATGCTGTTCTTAAGAGGCTGGAGGACTTTTTTTTATCAAATTATCGTCTAAACAAATTTTTAAGCTAGATAATGTTCAAAAAACGAGATTGGATGACAACTTAAAGTCAATCCAATATCCAACATAAAATTAAATTCAGAAGTGGTTATGAAGGAATGTTTCATTTAACTAGAGCCAAGTTGAGCAATGTGTCGTGATTCGAAAATTAACGTTTCTTGATGTATTGAAATACAATTTTTATCATTATTATTTTTTACAACCATTCTTCATTTCATTAATTATCCTGTTAAAAAAATAAATTTAAAAAANTATTTCTTTGATCTACTAATATTCACAAAAATCTGCCCCTGTCCAGAAAACAAATGGACTATTCTTACAGTGTACACTTACCATTCATGAATTTCATGAATGTTGTAACCACTTTTATAAGAGTATTATATTATGATGATGATGAGGCCTACAGGCTTATTGTACTTTCCTAGTTCCTTAGTTCAGTGCAATCTCCTCGATTCTTTTATGGACTATTGATGCTACATTTATTTTTTTCTGTATGCTAAATTATGTTTCCATTGAGGGGTTGCTTCGCATTCAAAGATAATATGGGTGGCTGTTTCTTCCACCTCATTGCATAATCTGCAAATGGAATCATTGTTGAATATGCCCATGTCATAAAGATGTTTTCTCAGATGCCGATGACCGTTAGTCCGATCATTCCTCTGATCTGGCTCTGTCCAATTGCAGCAGTGAGTTTGCCAGTCTTCGTGAGGGTTGTTTTAGAATTAGTTTATTGTGCCTAGTACCCCTAGAGTTTATCCACCTCACTTTTTTTTATTTGGATACTATCTACGATGGAGGATTCTGTATTTGTTTCAAATATTATACTACAAATTACTTACAAGTAAATATATTACTTTATTAGGTCACTATATTATTTGCTACTAATACTTTAAGTAAAATAAAGTTTTAATGCTTTGTATATTTATTCAGATATCGTGAGATGGTGTGATGTAGGTTTCAGAAAAACATTTTCTTTATCGTGCCAACGTTTCGATCTTTTATTGAGACCATCTTCAGGGCTCAAAGTGTTTGTCTTCTGTGTAATTGTGCCATCCTTGCGTGTCGTGTTGAGAGTATATTATAGTTGTAATTCAATATACCCAAAACTATATCTGAATATCTATTGATTAACGGTCACTAATCTCTACACATACCCAAAACAATAATGTGATTTTGTTTGAAGACAAAATTTTGTCATTTTCTTATCTAAAGTGCGTATAAAATTTTGAAAACATATAAATATTTTAAGTTCTAATATTTAAGAAAGATAAGGAGTTTTTGAATTAGGGACTTTGAATTAAATTAATATATATTTGGATTATTTAAACCTTCTAATGATATGAGACAATATAATGATTTATCTATATCTATCACTGTGTGAACGTGTAATATTTGTATTTTACTGTATTGCAGGAGGTGCTTTTCACATGATCATCGCGAAGAAAGTAATAATTAAATGTCAGAGAGGTCTTATTATTTGCGTGAGTGGAGTTTTACAAATCATTGCCCTCTTCCTCACCTTCCTTAACTTACCGAACGAATCCGTTTTCGGCCCGACGAGTCAAGTGTCTGTAATTGAGCCCAGGTGAGTTTCTGTTTTATCATCCGATTAACAATTCACCAAATTAAAATTATATCTCTTGTAACTTTGCCCCTGTTGATCTATAGAGGCTAAATGTAAAACTTTCCTGACTTGGGATGTTAACATTGTAATAAACAGAAAGACGTGTACTTTCCCACAATGACGACCAACTTTAATTCAATCCAGTCCTGCAGATATCCACTGCGGAACCTAATGGAAGTTGCGAAAAAAATTTAATTATTTTGTCATTTTAATAGAAAAAAAAGTTACAAAGAATGGTTAATTTATATTTCAAAATCGCACCTCATAGATTATATGCTAAATTAAAATATTTTCTAAAATAAAGTATTAATATGAATAGAAAATTTGATACTACTGCTCCCGCTTACATGTTTTAGTGACATAACACAATATTAACATCAGTTTTAAGCCTTTTTTTGAATTTAATAGTTTTGAAAATGGTCAACTTCTTATATTTTGTTAATGGGCTTATTTTTGTTCTAGTGTTGGTTTAGCATTGGGGTGCGGCTTTATACTTGGTTTCGGTGACAGCTGCATCAACACGCAAATTTTCTCCCTTCTGGCACATATCCACCCAGACCATAGCGCTAATACGAGTGCCCTTTATAAATTCACAAAGGTAGTATTTTCCAGCATTAGTAATTAATTAGTTTGTAATGTTAACTGTATTTTAAAGTGCATGGCGATGGCAGGCTTTTTCTTCATTGGCATCTCACTGGGTCTCCACTACCAAATTCTTGTCATCGTTGTGATGGCAATTGGAGGAAGTATTGCTTTCTTTTTGGTGGACTACAAGACTTGTAGTCGAATAAAAAACTACCCAGTCTGTGCAGACCAAAGTTAACTTTAAATTTATGTATAATAAAAAAATTTAACTATTCAAGTGCTTTTATTCTTTAAAGTTAAAAATTCAAACCATTCTAGACAAAAAATTCTAAAAGACATTTCCAACTTACTGATTGCTGATTTATGTAAGTTCAAATCTGCACGCTGAGTCAGAGTTACGTTTGACACTGACTGACTGAATCTGTTTGTTCAGTATTTATTTTGACCATTTATGTTCCTCTTTAAATTACAACCTTTTGCAATCCTAGGTTAACATTTTTGTACCTCATGGAACAGTTTTAAGCTTGAGCCTGTATTATTGAGGATTTGCTATTAATGATTACTGATTTATATACACTCACATGTACAGAGTTGTGTCTATCGCTTCTTGCAGACCACCATTAATACCAATTTTTTATTTACAATACTGGCATGCACTGAGAATCACCCACCACGAGTGTTTGCAGACCGAGGTCAGACCTCAGACTATCCATCCAGCCGCCAAGGCTCAACAGCTAAGTCATTTCAGCCCACAATGCAATCAATTCTTAAAGCCAAACACATTCAATCTCTCACTCACTCTAAAATACATTGTTTCTTATTTAAAAACCATCCCACTCAGTTAGAGTAGTGTAATACCCGACATCCCTCCATAACCCTGTACACCTAATAAATTAATCTAATTGAGGATCAATAAATTCAAAGACCATCCAAAGAAGAAATTATATACAAAAGACATTAAATATATTTACATATAAAGACAGGTCATGAGAAAATTTCAGGCAACGAAGCAGCGCATGTCCAAGCCAAAAAGGGATTCTCTGTAAGCCAAAAGACTACTTGCAAAAACCACCCAATGCAAGAAAGAGGAATTCTGTTTTAAAAGGAAGGTACTAAAAATTAATTGGTCATATTTATGGTAAAGCCATTCCTGAACAATGAAAACCTTGATACTGTACTCCTGAGAAAATCCTTGTTCCAATTGTTATTACTACTTTAATTTTTCTCTCATCATCGTTCAGTATTTCATCACGGTAGTGTTGTAATTAATGAAATCATATGACATTTACCCTCTTTCGAAGCTCCAATAAGCATCCTCTTCAGTATCATGTAAGAGATCAGTTATAAACTCATCTTACTTTTGAGTCTGTAACCAATCTCCCTCATGAGTTGAAGCAGAAACTTGTCAGAGCTTCAAATTGCTACAAAGGCACTAAATTTAAATGACATTAATTCATTAATTACAACCCTACACCCCTGAGAAGAATTCTGCACCTTATTAAAAAACTAGAAATTTGAAGTTCAGAAAAATAAGCTGTAATACAAATTCAGCTGAGCAATTATTTGTAAAAGTTATATTTTAAAAAAAAATAGTAGAAAACTTTTTTAGAAAAGTAGAAAAAATATAAATAAGCAAAACTAAAAATAGAATAATGTTTAAAATGAGTGGAAAAAAGAAAAACATCCCGTCTTTCAAGAAATCAAACGATTACTGGAATCATATTCACACGTTAATAACACATAATGCACCCAACGAAGAAATTTGTAAAAACTACGGTGTCAAAACACTTGTTTCAGGATGGTATGACCAACTCAGTTGTTTTTTATTTTTTTTATTCTTTGTTAATTATAATTTTTTATCAAAATACAACAAATTATTAATATTATTTTACTTCCTATCTTCAAAATCATTTGATTATTATAGTCAAAAAATGAAATAATTTAATAATAACAGATTACAAGATATAGTTTAATTAGTGGTATGAATCTTTGCCTTTGAACTTGCAAGGGATGGCCACAAAATAAAATAACTGTTAATATAATACTATAAAGTACACTATCATCCAAATTCTAAACCAAAACTATTGCATTGGGTTGCCAGTAAACATTTAATGAAGAATTGAATTAAATTCTAGTTGTATTTCTAATATATCACTGTGACTGATGGTATCTTACATCTTACAGAGATTGTCATCCTATCTGTATAACAATTCTGACCTTGTAATTCAGTTAAAATGTCCATCCTCAAACATTTGAATAATTTTTCTTGTATGCAATAAAGAATAATTATAATTTAATAAAGAATGCTCATAATAAATTAGTAGGTTTATTTTGAATCAATAAATCGATATTATTTAGTTGTTTTGATTTTTGCAAAAATAGAATAGAATTATGAAAGTAAACATGTAATTACAACTACATAGAGTGTAATATTAAAACAATTTTAAGGTATCTGGAACACTCAGCACTACCATTTGATAATGCAAGTCCCAAAAAAGGTTTTAGCTCCTACAAGCGCTTAGGTACAAGAAATGAACCCGTATCTAAAATGTCTTCATCTCAGGAAGACCAAATTAAAGCACTCAAACCAGAAAACTACAGAATTCCTGACAAACCACGAAAGATGATGAACTTTATGTCTTTTCCAACGACATTGTACGTTTGTAATAATGTTGTAGATTTATATTACAAAAAAATGCCTCATTTTTATTTGTTTATTTTTACAGTGGACTACAAAGAGAAGAGAGCTTCAAACTGGCAGGTCGCGATCAACAAGATTCCAGCTTTAATAAAACTGATTACATGACCGTAACTAAATGCGATTACATCTACCCCTACCCTCAAAAGCCTGCACCAGTTTCATGGGTAAATTATCACACTAATAAATAATAATCATTCTTTTTTTTAATAAACTATTTCCAGAACTACTTTCAACTAGAAACAAAGTACAGAAGAGTTCACACCTCAGTGGTAGGAAAAAATACAGGAAAATTTCTTGACGATCAAGTGGTTTTAAAAAAATATTTCACTGACACTCAACGCCCCTATGGTTTAGATTATAAACCAGAAGACACATGGAAAATAATAAATATGGATAGAAAGGCCAACTAACTGCAAGCTAAAATATTTTAAAAACATTAAACCTTTCCTGATTTGTGAATCTGAGGAGGAACAACAAATGGCTATTTGTGTTATCAATTTTAATTTATAACTGTATTTTTAGAAATAACATTCTAAATATAGCCACAGTAGTAGGTACACCAACATCTCAATACAATTCACAATTTTTTTTTTTTTTTTTTTTTTTGATAAATCTGATAATTTTCACTTGAGTAGTTATAGTTTCAACCTAGAATACTCTTCTAATTATATATTAGTGCTTATATTAATATATTGAATTATATTACTTTTTTTAAAGTTCAGGAAAAAATTATAATAATATGAAACCTTCGGAGTATTTCTTAAGCCTGTACTATGTTACACATGGGCTTTAAATTGTTTATGTTTTAATTAATCTTGTCAGCTGACTAAATTGTATATTATTGTAAATAGCTTCAAATTGTATTATAAAATTGTGAGTTAATATTTGAAGTTTAAATCATCGAAGGATGCGTCTCTCAAAATTAAAAGAATGGGCTTACACACCTAGCTCTATAATGGAAAGCAATGATAATGTAGACACAGGAAGATATGAGTTTTTGAAACAGGTCAACTGGTACAGCAATCCTGTAGTTAAAGTCTCAAACTGGTAAATTTTGACAGTTAAATTTTGCATAAAGGTGTTTCAATTCTTCACTGATAATTTCAGGGAATATCCTCTCTTATCATTGCCTTACGACAATATTACACAAAATCAAAAGATATCACAATATAATAGACTTGGTTTTTCTAATGAGGACAACCTAATATCAGTATCCAGGGAGGCACAGATGCAAGTGTTTGAAAATACTGTGAAACAACCAAAACACAAATATTGTCCTATGTTGAATTTAATTACATACCCAACAACTATGTATGCTACATTTTTATAATTAAAGCACTGCAGTTGCATTAAATAATTTATGTAATAAGGAGTGCCAGAAGAGAAGAAATAAGACGGCTAAACAATCTTATCTGTGACAATTTGTGTACAAACCTTGTAGATTACAGATCAACAACACACACTGATTACCCAACTCCCTATCCTTTCATAGGCAAGCATTATCCAAGGGTTAGAAAAATTTAATAGTGCAGTAGAACCATGCAGAAAATTCTAATTTTTAAAATTTTATAGGAAGAGTGTCTGAAGGTAGAGAAGAAATATGGAAGAACGACTATGCATCCATGTACAGCAATAGTGAAACCAGGATATAACAAATTCATGGATGAAGAACCAGATGATTATTATGCATTAAAAAAACAGCCTCGATCCATTCTTCCATATAACTTACATTTTCCACCAGAAGAGACATGGAAACGGATAAGACAAGACCGGCACCGGCTAGCCCCACTTTGAAAGATCCAGACATTTTAAGAGGTCATGCCCACAATCTATAAAGTTAAAAAATAAATTAAAAACTTTAAATTTTTATATTGGCAGTGATTTCAATGCGTATTTAAAAAGGATAATAAAATCGATATATTTTTTACAAAAGTAAATAAACTACTTTTATAAAGGTAAATAACAGACATGGATGAACTAGACAACAAACTATAATTTCATCACATCATATACATCACCTCATGAAAAAATAATACTCAAAAATCTACCTAAAAACATCTTCAATCATTTAGAAGAAATATTTCAGACAGTTATCTGCATATCAGTGGAATAAACGAGAAGTAAAAGCAGAAGGGACACCATTGAAAAACATGAAAAATAGAAGGTAATCTAAGATAGACCCATGTGGAACTCCAGAATTAATAAAGCCAATGTTTTTGGAGTGATATTGACAACTTGTGAGCGACTAGTGACTACTAACATATAAAATAAAACATTTGCAAGTGGTAGATGTGGTGAAGCTTAGCGATCAAGAGACTAAGTTTATTGATCCAAATGCGTTTGAAAAATTAAGCAATACTAAAACAGTGCATAATCTTTTTTCAATATTAGCACATAGTCTGCTTCTACTCTCAGCAATTGTGTCGAACAACTATGATCAGCACCTGACTGAAAGGGACTAAGTTGTGAAAAATTTTAACTGCTTATAGACAATGTTTTGTAAAAATTTTGGAAGCTAATAGAACAAATTTCAGAACAGATGTTGGGTTGGACAGTGGACATATCAAAGAACATTTCCAATAGTAGAATTATTAATGTGTGTCAAATAGGGTAATACGATAAGATTAAGAACTATGTTTGTTTTCCTTTTACCTTGTATTGAACATTATTCTTTGTATATAAGGTCTTGGTCGAAATGAAAAAGTTAGTGTCACAAGCAGAATTTGAACCCACGACCTTCGGCTCAATACACAGCTGCTCTAACCACTTCAGCTATCGTGACTCAAGTGGTTAGAGCAGCAGCGAATTGAGCCAAAGGTTGTGGGTTCGAATCCCACTTGTGACACTAACTTTTTCATTTCAACCAAGACCTTACATACAAAGAATAATTAATTAAAAGAAGTAATTTGGTCAATCAGACCATTAAATATAATGGACTTATATTGAACATAAGTTTATTCAAATTTTCTTTCAACATTGTCACTAAATTTTTATTTACATCCACACTAATGTTGTACTGATAATATAGTTTTTTACATGAATTTCTCCAAAGAATATTTTTATTTATAATTTATGTATGACTGTTGTAATTTCAGATGTAATTCCAAGGTATAAGCATACATACTATACATTCCTAATTCTAAATTTAAAATATAATTATGACTATTGTAGGGAAGATTGAACAGCCTTTTTACAAAAAATCTCAGCATTTCTTAACTTGATAATATATTTGGAAACCCCAGACCTGATCTCCATAACAAAGAAGTTGTTTGAGACGCATAAAATAATTATTTTGGATTTATTAAAACATTATTCAGGTATAATTAATCCCGGTTTTAGTTTTTCATGATTTGTCCCAAACATGAGTATTAACATTCATTGAAAGCGTGAAGAGTACACCTAAATATTTACTTCTATTTCTTTGCCATTAAAAAAGCATTTTTCTTTTTTCCACTTATTTCAAAGTTTTGATTTTTCTACAATAAACTATAAACCCAATGGGTCACAGTAGGTACCTAATGAATTAATCATTGATTGCAATGCTACTATACAATAAACTACCATTGTACTCTATAAACCACCTACGGTACTATATAAAATAAAACAACCCTGTTTCCTCCAAAATGCAGAACAGGGAACCTAAATACACACTGTCGTGCTCAAGTACAATTCTCATAATGGGTGACATTCCAACTCGCTCTCTGTACAAAGCCAAGGAATGGCACCATTCAATTAAGTGCGACACATCAAGCAATCTTTGAATAAATGCTTTGGCCCAAAAGTAAGTGTGGGTCAACCTCATAAGGCCAAAGTATTAAAAAATTAGGAACGTCATGTGAGCCTGAACGTTCTCTGTTCTTGATTCTTATTCTTTTGGATGTTTTTCAGATTTGTTTGGGTTGGAATAAACTTATTAAGATTAATTAAGATTTTCAGTTGAGATAAAAAAGTCAATGGCACGAGCGGGATTCGAACCCAGCTTTAGTGAAGTATACTTCATTTTAAATCATTAAATTCACTAATTTCGTGGTCCGCTTGACCAATTAATATATTACAATTAATTAAGGTTTTTTTGGTTAAGATAAAAAAGTCAATGGCACGAGCGGGATTTGAACCCACGATCTTCGGCTTGATACGCCACTGCTCCACCACTTGAGCTATCGTGACCTCGATCCACTCGGACATCAACTTCCCACCTCAACCACACCTTTTTGAATTTTCCCTCCTTTTTGGGAAGTTGATGTCCGAGAAGCTGTGTTTTACAATTTCTATTGTATATGCATTTTGAGGCTCATTTATACCTCCTCTTTAGTACATTACTTTTTGATGAGTCTCGACATATAGTAAGTTGATTCATATTTCAATAAAAATTGTAAAACTCAGTTGGAAAAGCTTAATATGTTTTTTAAGGTTAACAAATTTTCTATTCTAAATATTTTATTTTTGTATATTTTTTCACTATGATGTTATAAGAACATTAGTCTTATAAATTGAATTGAACTATATGGAGTAATTATTACTGATTATAAACCAACTTTAATTTACTCTTCCCTTTTTCCCTCTTTTTTTTTCTTTTTTTTATAATAAATTATTTAACTTTCAATTCTGTACATAAATGTATATATTCCATATTTATCTTTATATTATTTCTAATTATAATTTTTACCAAACATCATTGAATGAAGTATGCACAAAATACACTTATTTTTATTCAATTGTTTTCTAATATTATTTATTTTTTAACATATATTAATTTACAATGACAATTTTAAAAAATTTAGTAACAATGATAATTGTGATCTTTTTTAGGTATATTTATATGAAACAATCTTTTGAGCTATTTCCTTATTTTACATATTGTTTAATTCTTGAGTAATTTTTCCTTTGTTTTCTTAGTTTTGCTTATATATTGTTATATTTTCCCTCTGGCATTTCTAGAATTTTAACTGTTGGTAATAAGCATTCTACCATATGTTCAATACAAACAAACTTGCAATAAAGAAATATGTTCTCGTCTATACAATTGTAAATAATTTTTTTTTCTCTTCTTGTAAAGATATATGTTTTTTTTAAATATGTTTATGTTATATATGTTTTTTTTCTATATTTTTATGGCTTTTGTCTTGGTGTTTTTATAACTTTAGATTTGTTATTGTTGTAACTTTGTATATGGGTTTCTTACCCGTCTGTATTAATAAATAAATATACAATAGAACAACTCCTTTCCTCCAAGAATCAGAGCAGAGGACTCAAATATTAACTTGGATTAATTTCGTAAAATATATTATTATTATTATTATTGTTAATTGTTAAGGGTGCTTTACAGGTCATTTCACGCCCTAACATTTAAACCTTCTACCTTAGGTTTATATCCATTCTGTATGCTATAAAGCTCTGATTCCAAACATTCACTCATAAACTAATCTATCCTATTGCCATCCAAATTTTTAATTTATCATTTTAAAATACTTAATTTGGAAGACCAACTGTATGCAAAAAATCCATGTTAAAATTTTAAATTATAAAATTTATTCCTGTTCTTTAATTAGAATTGTTTTCTTGAGGGTGCTATCTTTCCTTATTTAAATTGCATTTTGGACATTGTAGTTTATTACCCTGCAATTTGTATTTTCTTTTATTTCATTTTTCTGCTCTGGCAACCTCAAAAATTCTGGAAAAAAGAATGAAAGCTTGTACACAGAACTCTCATTCAAACACTAGCAGATAAACATTCAAAGGTATAAAGAAAAGGCCTAAATCTCATTATAAATTCCAATAAATTTAAGAATGCTGAAAAGTGCTCTTCGAAACAAACACTCAACTGTGCAGTAACTCCTTTAAGTCACTCAAAAGATTGAGCTTTTGCCTAAAGGGTTGCAAAGTTCGACAGTCGACCAACATATGTTTTACCGTCAGAATGATACGTTCTCCACTTTGAATACATCGAGGTCAAGTTTGAAGGTTGTTGCCAGTTAAAAGCCTATTATGATTATTCTGATGTGACCTATTCGCAATCTAGAGAGAGCCATAAGTTCTTTTCTCTCAGTTGGCCATGTATACAAAACTGGCTTAATTTCTTTCATACTATCTCTACGGAATTCCATCTTGCCCCCTACTTTTGTTTGATAATGTTTTTAATATAAAGGACTATATCATCTGAGCTGAGAAGAAATTGATCTGTTCTTTGAGGATGGTTTGCAGCGTTCCTTGCCTGTTGATCAGCTCTTTCATTTCCAAAAATGCCAACATGACTAGGGATCTAAACGAATACCACAGTTTTGTTAAGTGCTTTGATTTCATATGATATTTGTGAATTTCCAACATGCATGGGTCAACTGAGAACTTATTTTTGATGGCTTTGAGACCACTCTTCGAATCAGAGCAAATCATGAGATTACAAAACCATTGATAAATTTCTAAACGAGTTGCAAAAACAAATCTAGATTTTTAAAAAATAAATAAATAAAATAAAGTAAAATAAAATAATACGAAATTTAAAAGAAAATTTAACTTAAAAACTAAAATTAATTATTACATTTAAAAATCATTAAAACTGGCTGTGACTAAATAGTTGATGAAAAAAAAAATGCGATTACAAATTCCTTGTGATTCTTACATAGATGTAGATGTACTAGTTGGGGTGTAATGTACTCCGCCTTTTAAGAGCTATTCTATCACCCATTCTGTGTCTATAGCACATCGGTGAGTCCTGTTACTTCAAGGAACTGATTAGTAGAACCAGTTTCAGTGGTTGAATTTCCTCTACAGTCACATTGTACATCCCAAAACACTTCCTCCTGCGGACAAGTGTGGGATCACAGTTTGTTAATAGGTGTGTTGGTGTCGCCTCTCTCTATTTGCAGAATCTACATGTGCCGTCTTGGATTATACCGTTTTTTTTTTTTTTTTTTTTTTTTTTTTTTTTTTTTTTTTTTTTTTTTTTTTTTTTTTTTTTTTTTTTTTTTTTTTTTTTTTTTCTCCCCTGTAAATATGTTCATTTAGTTTGCAGTGTCCTGTTGAGAATCCTGGTAGGATTTGCAGTTTATTCCTATTCCTTTGATATATTCTATCACTTCTTTCCTTCAAAAATTTTTTAGGAGGTTCTTGGATTGTTCGTGTCCAATGAGTAAGTAATCAAATCAAAGTAAGTTCCATTATTCCCTCATTTTCTTTTTATCCTTCTGTCTGAGGTATTCACTGATAAGCTATACAAGGCAGTAATAAGATCCAGAATAACCTATGGGTCATTAAGGTGGTGGAAGCATACAAAGGCTAGCAAACCTATGTATCATAGGGGCAATGTGAACAACTCCTACAAATGCATTAGAAACTCTGCTAAACCTACCTCCATTGGAAATATTTATACAAGAAAATAAAGCTTCACTATGAAAAGCTCATTTAGGCTCCAGAAACAATCAAATTGGATAGGAACTAAACAATTCAGGCATACAACCATAATTAACAAAATCAGACATCCATTCTTAGAAATAGGGACTGACTATATGATCCCGAAAACATTCTTCACAACATCCTACAAAGTCTCAACAGACTATAAAAGAGAGGAAGAACACAGGAGAGCATCAGATACAATGATATGGAATACACATGGCCCCAAAACAAACGAAGGAACCGGATCGGGCATCGTTTTCTGTACAAGCCCAAAACATGAGCAGCCAAACTCATTAGGGAAGTACACTTCTGTCTTTCAAGCAGAAATACATGCTATCAATTATTGTGCCATGGAAAATCTTAAAAGAGGTTACACTGGCAAAAAATCCTCATAAGATCTGATAGCCAAGCAGCCATTAGCATCTAAAAAAATCACATCAAAATTAGTCAGTGAATGCATCCAAAATATACAAAACCTGGGGAAACACAACAACCTGATGATATATTGGGTACCAGGGCACAGAGGAATTTTGGGCAATGAGAAAGCAGATGGACTGGCCAGAGGAAGATCTGCAAGACCTGAACCTACACTTGGGATAACAAAAACAAATATAGAATCCTCCATCGCAGAATGGATCCAAACAAAATAAAAGGAGAAGTGGATAACCTCTTGCAGTGCCAGGCATAGCAAACTTATGATGAAACAACCCTCACCAAGACTGGCAAAATCACTGCTGCAGCTGGAGCACTAAACTTAGAGGAGTGATAGGACTATTAACCAATCACTGTGATCTGAGAAAACATCTACACAATATCGGCATATACAACGATGATCCCATCTGCATATTATGTAATGAGAAGGAGGAAACAGCCACTCATATCATCTTCGAATGCAAAGAAACAGCTCAATGGAGATTTAACCTAACACATAAAAAAATCACAGGGAATCAAATTGTAGCAGCGACAGTCAATGACCTGATACTTCTAAGGAGAAGGATTGAGTATATTACACTGAACTAAGGAACTAGGAAGGTACAACAAGCCAGAAGGCTGCAGAGCCTGGGGAGCATAAACCTCACTTCCTAATATCCTTATTACCATACCAAACTCATTTATAATGTGGATTCCTATTCCACAGTAGGATTCCTATACAATGCTCAATGATTTTCTGATTGCTATTATTATTTATGTTTTATTATTACAATTTTTATATCATTTTTATCTATAAAGAGCCTTATCTGTAATTTCATTTGTACCAATATTTGTATATTGTTTCTTATATTAGTATTATTAATACAAATTAATATTATAAAAAGGAGAAAATCTGCATAATTTTTTTTTTTAATATCAATTGTTTACATTAAATTTGATAAATCCTATTTCTTAAATTAATTTTCAATCGATTATTTTTATGTGTCTGTTCATTTTTAACGAGAAATGGCACTATAGTTAATATTAATATGTATATTTCATTTCAATTTCACCCGGTCTTTGATAATTTTGCCCCCGCCGCCAAGGGGCAGCAGCCGCTATCTGCAGACTTGCCTTCGAAACGGGCAGCCGGCAGCACTGCATCAGTGCAGCACTCTCTTGAAAGTTGTGACCGTAAGCTCTCTGGACTCGTCATGGCAGCTTGCAGGTTATTCGGAAAATTGGGCGAAATTTCGAAAAATCATATCAAATTATTGGCTTCGAACCGTAAGTTCGCACTTTTGTCGAAAAATCCGTACGATTTCCGTCTAATTTTGTCCCAGGCTGGTCCCTCGCCGAACGATTTATTATCAGGGCTATTATCACCTATTTGTGCCTAAGAAGAAGGAAATTCCATTTCTTTTAACATTATATATTTATGTACTACAATTGTTTTTATTTATTTCAATAATTCGATTTTATTTTTATTTTACAGGTTAAATATTATCTAAAGAGTTTCCTTGAAACAATTAATACATTTTTTCCTCATGTTGATTTTCCGGCGATTTTTACTAAATATTAAAAAATTAGTAAATTACAATAGAGAAAAAATAATAACTTATTACTTTTCACATTGTTAATGAATTATTTAATTTATACTCCCCCATTGATGTTTGGTACACCGTCTTTACTACTAATTATTAGCACTTGAATCATAAAGTTTTCTCAGAAAATTGTTCTATTTAAACTTTTAATTAAAAAAATTAATTATTGGTTGAAAAAGTTAGGGTCACGAGCGGGATTCGAACCCACTTCCTTGGATAAAAAGAATAATTAATTGAAATAATTATTGAATGAATATGATTTTGAATTAAAATTGTTTTCCACCTTTGTAATTTGGGCAGTCACTTTCTTCAGTCACCAGGTTGTGATAATTGTGACCATGAATAATGCAAATAGGTGAATTGATAGAATTTTAACATTTTTATCCTTTTGCGGTTCAGGTCGTTTCTAATCATCCTGCCTATCCTCAATTATTTTGGTCTGTCACTTTTCACTTTTCTGTCTTCAAGGGAGGATCAGTACTGCAACCCACCTATAAATAAGCTGAAATTTGTCTGACGGGCAAAAGCAGCTAAGGGTAAGCAGAATGATATGAAACAACCAAACTGCAGGTTCATACACAGAACGCAACATGAAGTACAATTTTTCTGAGTGTGCTTACAAAACACTGTGTGCACTTTATCTTGATCAGTGTTTATCTTTGAGAACTTATTCTTTTATATACAAAAACTACGAGAATAGTCCAGGTTGGAGATGACCGAGCTTTAATTCTTATCTGTGTGAAACGTGAAGTCTGCTATGAAATACATTTTAAAAAAACTAGGTCGGTCATTTGTAATCATTTTGGTCTGTTTATCCTCGCTGCTTTGGTTTCGGGGTCTTATGTTGATAAATACTTATAAAATGATATAATTGACAAAATAAACCCAGTACTAAATGTGATGAGAAACCGAAATGCAGACAAGCCAAAATAGTGAGGATAAGCAAACCCAAATTCTTAAAAAATTACAAACTACAGTTCGTTTGTAGACCTCAACATGAAATTCAATTGTTTTTTGTGTGCGTGCAAAACATTGCGGTTTGCCATCGTCTTGATCAGCTTCCTTTATCTTCCTGTATTTATTCTCTGATATAACACTATAGCGGGAATATGCCTGGTTGGAGGTGACCAAGACTTAATTTTGCCTTGGCTTTGTAATGAAGTCTGCAATAATAATAATAATTCATAAATCAATAGTTGAGAGAAAAAAAACTAGGTTGGTCATTTGCGATCATTTTTTTCAGTCTATCCTTACTTCTTTGGTGTGTCAGATGTGTTTTAGCCATTTTCGGTGATCAGTGTGTGTTGGAAATACATAAAAAAAATACAATTGACAAAATATCAAAGCCAATACTGAAGATGACGAGAAGCCGAAACGCATTTGAACATTGAGGGTAAGCAGACCAAAATTCTTCGAAATAACAAAACAGTAGGTTCATCACCCAACAGACCTCAAGAGGAAATCTTACAAAAAATTGTATTATATTAATCCACATATGCATTTAGCAATCATAATTGACCGTATTAAAATTATAATTAATTAAATTGTATTATGTTCATCATGTCAGAGGTGGACCTATATGACCCCTTAAAGTTTTCAATTTGAACAATTAAATTAGAAACAACTTATTTTTTTCTAAATTTATTCTAAAAGTTTGCTAATAGGAATTTTGTTTTGCTTTCATAGACCAAAGATATTACAAAATCTGCATATTTCTAATACACTGTTTTTATATTTCCTGTGTTTATGTTTAACCTATAATTAAATATGACTCGTCAAACCAATTTGTTTTCATTGCAGAGAATTCTTTGAAGTCAATTCATAATAATAATAAATTAGATTTGAAGAATTGTTAGAACATATTGTTAAGGCATTTTATATTTGTCTTCTGTTAGTATGAAATTCAATTTGAAACTTGTAAGTTCTGTGCGGAGTAAATTTTAATTTAACTCTGATGTAGGTTTTTAAATTAGTTTACTTACTAATTTTATTAAAATATTTCTCTCCTATGAATTCACATGATTGTTAAATAAACCTACTTTAATCTTGTCTCTCATTTGTTAACCCTATTAAACTATATATTACGCAGGGCGGGTGACCAGGACCCGAGGGGGTAAAAGCCTGGGTAGGCCCGTACCCCATCCCTAAAAGGTCCGGGACCTGGTCAGCTCACGAGTCCTGCATAAACCTTTTGGACCTATTCACAAACCCTAGGATTGTGGACCATTTTATCCTGGGGAGTGTTTTGGTTATGTCCTCTCCTTCAAAAGTATCAAATCTTTCCCTAGCATACCTATCGCATTCTGCAAGGTAGTGTCGAGCCGTTTCTTCTTTTGTTTCTTTTCAGAAGCGGCAGAAGGGGTCTGGTAGAGTACCCATTATGAAGAGGTGTCTTCTCAAGGGGCAATGGCCCGTTAGGATACCTATCAGCCTCCTTATTCCCCTCCTAGAGTTAGAGAGTAACCATTTCGCTTCTTTAGGTTTGATTTCCTTCAGAAACCTCCTCCTTAAGGAATTTTTTCATGCCCCAGCAACTTATACTCTCTTTCGCTGTGCTTAAAGAGTGGGGTAATACCGGTTGTGGCCCGACAAATGCGGTATTTGATCCTTCCTTGGCCCCTATTAAACTAAATTTAATTTAAAATTTGTTGAGGTGGCAGTGCAGTAAATCCTCCATCATTCAGGATTTATTTATTTATTTATTTTTTTAATTATTCATTCACATTTACATTGGGGAAGTTCATTTAGTGCAGTAATGTTCCTTTTTTTTATTATATACTAATGTTTTGGTTCTAATTACACAAATAACATTAGTGTGTTGTTGTGAAAATTGTGATGTCGGCAAGGTGATAAAGCTGTAGCTTGATCGTCGATGGTCGTACTGTTCTGCTTATTCGTATTTCAGAAAAATAGCAAAAATGAGGAGTCCTTTTTTATTATTAGGATGCTTTAAATTTCATTATTAATATTATAATTTGATTTCTTTAGTCAAGTAAAAATTATAATAAAAAAACAAAATTAATAATTAGCTATCATTTATAAGATTTAAAAACTACAATAAAGTTATATTTAGCGAAAGGCTTTTTATTTTGTCTGTATGTTATATAAATTGTATCCTTTCACTGGGTCAAAAAGCTGATAATCATTATGATAAGATTGTACTTTGCACTTTACATTTGTTTTAAACTATTATGACGATAAAGGATTGGTCTGAATTTATCTCAGATAAACATAAACAATACCGAAATGTCTTTTTGTTAATGAATGTTTTTATATTTATTGTAAAGCAATCATTATTTCCATAGAAAATAATAGCAATTCATTGGATTAATTGTAATATGTCCATGTTTAGTAGCAATAAATAAATTACGCAATAAATTAAAATTGAAATTGTTACATTCTAAATATCATGTAATAAATGATAATGTATTGACTAAGTACCAAATTCACATTTGTCAAATACATCATGCATTTACATGTTTATGATATGTGAGCTAACACAATCATTTTCTTTTTTTGGTTGTATTATTGTCATTTACAGACAAGTTGAATCTGCCTTTATAAAAAGATTTCTCTTGTTACAACGCTAGATATTTTTTCTTATATTTCTTTTTCCCCCTTTTTTTACAAGTGAAAGTTTCTTATCTAAAGCACATTGCTTATCAATCTCAAATTAACCCTGGAACAACTGTAATTTATCTATTTATTTTTTTTATGTCATTCTACACGTGTAGGCCTAACATTCATTAAAAATGATTGTGCCATACATTAAATTGTTTTAAGAAAATAATTTTTGTAACTATTTATTAAAGAAAACTTGTAATTGTTGTTTATCATTTCCTGTTTAAAAAAAGAGTATAGTTATAGTGAGATACATCCACTATTTATGGAAATAAGCCTAACTAAAAGCCCTAAAATAAATATTGGCTAAGTCTCAATTTACCAAAATAGCGTATATTTTATTTGACTGTTCGATTTAATTTATTTCCTTATGAATGTATAAAAATATTTTTTGGTCCAAGGAATCTATTTAACAATACATAAATATATAAAAGTATTTGTATTTATTTTAGATCCTATACAATGGAGGAGCTATACGACAGCAGGTACACACACGCGGACAAAAGTTGTAAACAATGTAGCTGTCATTACTTTGGATTCGCCAAACGTCAAAGTAGGGTTCATTAAAAAATTTTAAAAATAAAAGATATTTAAACAATTATTTTACAGGTTAACTCATTGAACAAAGATGTAATCACTGAATTAGAAACTGCGTTGAACAGTGCAAATAGAGATCCGAATGTGCATGCTGCTGTGCTGATATCTGGCAAGCCGGGATGTTTCATTGCCGGTGCTGACATTTCGATGCTGGAAGCTTGTAAAACGGAAGAGGAGGTCAGAAACATTTCCCTCACGGCACAAAGTATTTTGGCCAATGTTGAGGAGATGAAAAAACCAGTCGTCGCCGCTATAATGGGTTCATGCCTTGGGGGTGGTCTTGAAGTAAGTGACAATTGACCGGGATCATAGAACTATTTTGTATTTAAAATTTCAATTTTTAGGTTGCCCTGGCTTGTCATTATAGAGTGGCTGTAAAGGACAATAAAACCGCTATTGCTTTACCAGAAGTCATGCTGGGTCTTTTGCCCGGCGGTGGAGGAACCCAAAGATTACCGAAATTGACTTCTGTTACAACAGCACTTGATCTTAGTCTTACAGGAAAGAATGTGAGAGCGGATAAGGCCAAGAAACTTGGAATTGTTGATCTCCTTGTTGATCCATTAGGCCCTGGGCTTGAACCACCAGAGAAACGGTATATTAATATTGGTTATTGTTAATTTATACATTCCACATCAACCATATAAATCGATGGCGAACTTTTTAATGTTATTTTTATGTGGAACCTTATATTGAATACTTAATGATTTTCATTTTTATGTTGATAGTTACAAGTATAAAAACATCAGTTACTTTTGTGTTTTATGTATGAAAGTGGGCAAAATTATAGAGCTTAAGTTTACCCATTTTTGATGTACTATTATTCAGAACCATGGATTACTTGGAGGAAGTAGCCGTACTGACAGCAAATAAACTTGCAAAAGGGGAGCTTAAGGTCGACAGGAGTAAGAAAAACCTGATGGACAAAGCGCTGACATTTGCTCTAAGTTATGAATGGGTCAAAAATCAGATATTCAATAGAGCCAAGGCGCAAGTAATGAAAATGACTGGTGGACTGTACCCAGCCCCTTTAAAAGTTAGTTAACTGTTCAACAATGTTAATGTTGAATAATATATAGAAATAACTTTAGAATATTAGAAATAACTTTATTATATTTTGCTTTCAAGATCCTTGAAGTTATCAGAACTGGAATTGATAAAGGGCCTCAAGCTGGTTATGAAGCAGAAGCAAGGGGATTTGGTGAGCTCGCCATGACATCACAAAGTAAAGGCCTCGTTGGACTTTTCCGAGGCCAAACAGAATGCAAGAAGAATCGTTTTGGTAAACCTCAAAAAGAAGTCGAGTATGTCAGCATTCAGTTTGCTATCGTTAATTAGATTAAAATAACAATGCATACTTAGGACACTTGCGGTTCTTGGTGCTGGACTTATGGGAGCAGGAATTGCACAAGTGACAGTGGACAAGGGGATCAATGTTATATTGAAAGATACAAGCCAGCAAGGACTTACAAGGGGTCTAACTCAAATTTACAGTGGGTTTGATGATTCAGTCAAAAAGAAGAAGCTATCGGCGTAAGTATTATAAAACTAAAATATAATCGATAGTCAGTCATTTTCTTTTTGGATTTGTTGCAGTTTTGAGAGAGATCGTATGTTGGCCAACCTTGATTTCACCTTAAGTTATGAAAATTTCAAAAATGTTGATATGGTCATTGAAGCTGTTTTTGAAGACTTAGCCGTCAAACATCGAGTCATCAAAGAAGTCGAAGCCGTTGTTCCTCCTCACTGCGTCATAGGTACAAACACCTCAGCCCTTGAAATTACAAAAATAGCTGCTAAAAGCAAAAGGCCTGACAAGGTGAAGATTGACCTTATTAAATATGAGTTAACAAAAATCTCTTTACACGCTTGTAATTCTATTTTAACAGGTAATAGGAATGCATTATTTCTCACCAGTTGACAAAATGCAGTTACTTGAGGTCATAACAACTGACAAAACGTCTCAAGATACTGCTGCATCTGCTGTTGCTGTAGGTCTGAAGCAGGGAAAAGTGGTCATTACTGTTAAGGACGGCCCTGGATTTTATACAACAAGAATCCTTGCCACCATGGCTTCAGAGGCATTGAGAGTACTACAGGTAATCAAAAAACAACAATTTTCCTGATAAATTTATTAAACTTTAAATCAACTCTTCAGGAGGGATTACCACCTAAAGATCTTGACAAACTCTCAAAAAAATTTGGCTTCCCAGTTGGTGCAGCTACCCTTCTCGATGAAGTCGGTGTTGATGTCGCCTCTCACATCAGTGACAATCTGTTTGCTGTGTTTGGGCCAAGGTTCAGTGGGGGAAATTCGGAAATTCTAAAAGAAATGACAAAGGCTGGATTCCTAGGTGAGACCTTCAATAATTCTTCAACATTCAGTGACTACTGTAACTTTGTGAACATTTTTAGGTAGAAAATCTGGCAAAGGTGTCTACGTCTATGAAAAAGGATCAAAAGAAAAAGATGTAAATGATGATGCGCTATCTATACTTAATAACTTCCATCTTGAACCAAAAGGCTTTCAAGGAGATGAAGATATCCAACTAAGGATGGTTTCAAGATTTGTAAACGAAGCTATTGTTTGTTTACAAGAAGGCATTTTGAATGGGCCTGTATGTTTCTTCGTCAAATATCTGTTTATTAAAATCATGCTCTTAATAATTTTTAACTTTTTTCTGTGATAAAGGTTGAGGGTGACATTGGTGCTGTTTTTGGCCTTGGTTTCCCCCCATTCTCTGGTGGTCCATTCAGATGGGTCGACACTTATGGAGCTGAAAGACTGATTGCAAAAATGCGAACATATGAAAATGTATATGGCGCACCATTTACACCGTGTCAATTACTCCTGGACATGGCCCAGTCTGGGAAAAAATTCCACAAATCGTAGTTTTTAGTTTGTTAAATTCTTTTCTTTTTTTTTAAATCTATACCTATAATTAGTGTTACACAAATATTCCACTAGTACTATGTACTGAATGTGGATGAAAAATAGTTGACAAAAGACTTGTAAACAATGACTTTTGCTGTGAGTCCTGCCTCTCTCAATTGGATTTGTAGTAGTGACCAAAAACAAACATTACATTTATATAGTATTTATATTTTAATACTTACTGAAAATTGGTTTAGTTTTTATTGTATTATATTTGAAATAAATAAGTTTATTTTTTTGAATAAATCAATCAATACCTTGTTACTAACCAACACCATTGGTGAAAACTAATTTACAAACAACAATTTCTCTCTTAGTAAAGAAAGCACTTTCACAGCGGTTCAATGAAGTGTTTATTGCATTGGTTGAGAATTGCACTGCCAATTGTTAGAAATTTCGGTGCACAGTTCCCAAAGAGGAATTACGAGAGAACAATCTCTCTTTTTAACTTAAATAAGAGTGTAAGGTAAACAAATAAACGAGTCATATGTTGAGATGTGCTTCCATAAACTTAATACAAATCTTGTGCAATTAATAAAAAGTATTCTAATTTTTTTAGTATAGTGTGATTAAGTAAAATAGAGTAGATAGTACTGTAAAATTAAAAAATGGTAAAATAAGAGTTTTGACTAGTCAGTTTTAATTTGGAGAGATAAACTTATGATATTTCGACAGTGAATTTTAAGTCCCATTGACCCTTCTATCAACAAAGCCTAAAAAATCAATCAGCTAATAAATAAATACATCCATGCTAGGTTTTGTTAAATAAAATGACCAGAGATCAAACGAAACTTTATTAGGGTTAAAACTTAATTTATGAATTTATTTTTAATGAGTATTATTTTTATGAATATAACATTTTTGAGATTATTTATTTATGCTAAACAATAAATATATTAATGCCAGGTTTTTTAAATAAAATAACCAGAGAAAATTTTTATTAATGGTTAAAGTTAATTTATGATTTTATTTTTATGAGTATTTTTCTATGAATATTTTGAATATCATATTTATGAATTTATTTATTTATCCTAATAAATAAAAACACTGGCACTAGTTTTTTTAAATAAAATAACCAGAAATTTAACTAAAAACTGTATTAATTGTTCAAGTTAATTTATGAATTGGCTAATAAATAAATACACCCATGCCAGATTTTTAAATAAAATAACTAGAAATCAACTACAATTTATTAAGTGTTAAAAGTTAATTTATAATTTTATAAATGTTATGAATATAATTTTTATGATTAATTTATTTATGCTAATAAATAAATACACCAACTCTAGATGTTATAAATAAAAAAAACCAGAAATTAAACTAAAAACTGTATTAATTGTTAAAGCTAATTTATCAATTGGCTAATAAATAAATACGCCCATGCCAGTTTTGTTAAATAAAATAACAAGAAATCTAACTAAAAATTTTATTAAGTGTTAAAAGTTAATTTAGGATTTTATTTTTTTATAAATATTCTGAATATAATATTTAGGGAGTTATTTATTTATGGTAATAAATAAATGCACCAACTCCAGGTTTTTTAACTAAAGTAACAAGAAATCAACTAAAAACTATATTAAGTTATTAAATATATGTAAAAGGAAAATATATATATTTATATTTATTGGGAAATTTGTGCTTGCCCTACGGCAATACAGTTTGAGTATTTGAAATTTCCAACACCCAGAGCATGGCAGCATGCCGGTTGTAGGCAAGTTGTAGGCAACTGCTTCCAATTGAAGCAGGTTACTCCGCGAGGTTTCAAATAAACAAACCGTCTTCAATTTTTTGTTGAAAGCTCGAAACTTGTCGGTTTTTTGTTGTCGAACTCGCTCTTGTCAAAATGAGCGAGCAAGAAATCAAAACTCTGGGCAGCCAGGTGGAAACCAAGACGGAAAAGAAGGCCGACGGCGATGAGAAACCGGACAAAGCCACCCTCCAGGCCGTCCTGCAAGTACTTAAGAAATACAACCTAAAGGTAAATCCTTCGCCAAATGTCATCTGGGAATATCATATTTAAAAATGTAGATGAGAAAAACCAACAAAATCGAGGGTATATAGGAATTTCACCCGTGTACCATCGAAGAAAGCACAAAAATACACCCAGAATATACAGCTTTAAATATCAATATTAATGTTGAAAACTTTCAAAAATTTGTACTTTTAACAGGAAACCGAGTTATTGCTCAAAAAGGAGGCAAAAGTTTTGGATGATGTGCAAACATCTGGAACGGACTCGGAAGTGAGCAACGTCCTTTTAACGTACAAGAGCGAGGGAAACCCAGAATTATACGAGGAGGCTTACATGGATCTAAAAAGATTTGTTGATGGATCTCTAGACACATATAAAGTAAGTAACACATATAACATACAATTGACTTATTGAAAGTTAATTAATATATTATAATTTGCTAGTACGTATACGCCTGGTAATTGCGACATTACATGTTATTTTTATGATTTAATTAACCAAAACAAACGTTTCATTCAAAGAAAACTAAACATTTCATCTAAACAAACATGGTCTGGTGATAGAGTGTGATCTAAAATGTTTCATCAGAATTTTACAACATTGAATATTATTTTTCAAATTCAATTAGCCAACATGTATAAAATTTAGTCAAAGAAAAACATAAATTTCATCTATACAACTCTTGTTGTTGAGATACCACAAGCTGGAACATCTTGACAAAATGGTGGTTGTTTTCTGTTTACCCAGACACATAAGTCTGGAAAGTCATGAAAGCGGCTAAGGCCAGGATATCCCAACCTCTGGACTTAACCACTGCCCAGAAATTGCAATACAAAGCATGTTTAAAAGAAAGTGGCAGCATTGGTGGTCTGGGTTGGCACTGCAGCTCTCGCATATCAAGAGCACTGTCGATTTGTGGCCTTGAAGGATCTGAATCATTGAAGAAGGGTCATCCTCACCCGATTAAGAATAGGCCATGCAAGGTTAACACATGGATAGTTATTTTTGAGCCAACGTATGCAAAGAAAGGTTGCTCGGTGTGTCCTACCTAATTTAAGGGTTAATTCCTTGGTTCTATGTAGAGAGTGTGTAGGAATCCTACCCGACATGAAAATCTTGATTTAGCTCTACAGCGAGTACCATGGTCCCCTTCAGATCATTAAAATTAAATCATTAATCTGTAATAATATAAATGCATATAATAAAAAAGTAGTTTTATTTTACTCAGATGCTTAGCGTTCAACCAACCTTCAAATTTAATCCAATACTGTGTTATTATATTTATATTATCACATAATTGTATATACTACAATTAATTAAGGTTTTTAGTTGAGATAAAAAAGTCAATGGTATGAGCGGGATTCAAACCCACGATCTTCGGCTAGATTCACCGCTACTCTACCACTTGAGGTATTGTGACCTAGATCCACTCGGACACTAACTTCCCATCTTCAACCCCACCTTTCGAATTTTGAATTGAACCTTTTGAAAAATGGCAAAAAGGAGGGAAAATTCAAAAGGTGCGGTTGAGACGGGAAGTTGGTGTCCGAGTGGATCGAGGGCACGATAGCTCAAGTGGTAGAGCAGCGGTGGGTTCGAATCCCGCTCGTGCCATTGACTTTTTTATCTCAACTAAAAACCTTAATTAATTGTAATATATTAATTGGTCAAGCAGACCACGAAATTAGTGAATTTAATGTATGTACTACATTGACACCTTAGGAATAAAATATCAACATAATTTAGGGAAACATCCTTTGTAGTGTATTGAGTATTCATCCTTATAAAATCTTGAAATTGCAACACAGTACATACTTTTTGTAAAAAAACATATTGGATTTTCAGATTTACTAACTATGATATGATAATTCTGTTAACTACTACTGATATTATAATTCTATTATATTAATTGAATTAATTTTAATATTTTACAGCATGAACTGGGTATGATTTTATATCCAGTTTTTGTCCATATGTACTTAGAGCTTGTGTATAATAATCATGAACAACAAGCAATCAAATTGATGGAACGATTTGGCAAGGAACAAGAACACTATTATCAAGAAGATCTTTATAAACTGTCTTTAGTTACAAAACGTGAACACATGAAAGGAAATGAAATCACCGATACTTTCAAGTATATACATTTGTATTTTTAAATATGTAAAGTTATTACAATTTACTCTAGTAATTTTTTTTTAAATTGTTAATTAGATCAAATGAATTTATAATAAGAATGTCGAGGGATACGCTTGCAACTCTGAAGCGCCATTTACAAGAGAAAAAACAAAGCATCGTTCTGAATATTATCCAGGAACATTTGTATTTTGATATGTATGAAGGTGTTGCTAGGACTAAACAGCAGATTGATTCGGTCGTTGGTTCTTTTGTCGGTGAAGCAATGAGGCAAGGTAAACAAATTTGTCTAAAATTTATCTGAATAAGAAATTTTAACTACTTTGATCTTTCAGATAACAAATCGAAGGTTTACTACGGCATGCCAAAGGAGCCCGATTTTCAATTCCCAACTGTCGATGACGATGATGAAGCAGAACCAGAAGGTGGTGATAAACCGAAAAAGAAGAAACCAAAGAAGGAATCCGTTTTTGGAAAAAAGGCCAAGACTGATCCGAATGCACCTCCACCTGATAGAATTCCACTACCTGAGCTGTAAGTCTTTTAATTTTCAATATACACAAAGTTATTTTTTTTAATATATATTTTTTTCTAGTTTTGTTTAGTTACTGTTTTTTAATTACTTTAGACATGTTCAAATGAAGGGATAAATTTCAGTATTATTTTTACATTTTTTACATTGTTTATACTTGGGTGTTAGATATCTGAGTGGTAACTCTTGTCATTCTTAACATTATTCAAATGCAAGGTCATAAGAAACCTTGGGGGGAAGGGCAGTGTGTTTGAAAAAAAGCTCATTTGTAAGTGTGTATCCAACTGTTCGGAATTCGAACTTGGGACCTTTGCCTTTCAGTGAGTGCTGTGTCAACACCTTAACATCATTTTATTTTTAAAATAAAGAAAGTAAAAGCCCTTGAGGGGTTTATGCTGTTCACCATTTTACTGTTAAAACTTAAAATATATATATGAAAAAATGACGATCTTGTGAAAAATTATTTTTATTTTGAAAGTAAACAATAATATACACTTGTTCAACAAAAAACATTACTAATTGTTTTATTGTTCTAAAATTGAAGAAGAAAATGCTTACCATTTTTCATAAGTAAAATATCTTTTTAAAAATTAATCACCTTTTAAGTTGTGATTTATGATGTACTCCACTCTATTTACATTATGTGAGTACGGTTAAACTAAAATTAAATGAGGTTCGCTTTATCTAAACATAAATATTTAAAGATTTTCACCTATGTCACAAATTGTCTCTCAATTATGCATCATTAATAATAAACATTCAATGTCAGTATTGACAAATCATTTTAATTTTTTTTTTTTTTTTTGGTATTTTTAAGAAATTACATATTTTATTCAATGGTTGTTGACAGAAAATAAAGTACAGAGCCATATTGGAAATAGCAAACAATTCTAGTATTTGTTTTATATAAATTAAACTGACTTTCATAACATTCTTATTGTAATAATTGTTTTAAAAATAAAATTGGGGAAAATAATAAATTAGGTCAAATAAGTAAGGTTTCCATCTTTGCTGGTTGCAAGTTTGATTTTCTTCGTTTTCGGTCCAACTTCCTCGGCATGGCCATCTTTCTTAAGTATAGCCCGGATAGCCTTAGCTTTCATTTCAAGCTCTCTTATTTCCATTATGACCTCTTCCTTATTCTTTCCTTGGTCATTTTCCTCATTCAGGATGTCTGGGTTAACCAAGAGCATGTCAAGGTCTTTCGCCTTTTTATCCTTTTTTTCCTTCTTTCGCTTTTTCTTACTTGACGATGTACCTACACAACATAATCTTATCAAACCGTCCATTACCCACAAATTATTATATTTTGATTTTTTCAATACCTTCTATATTCTCGACTCCTGTCGGTTTTTGATTGAAATCCAAAATATTGTCTTGGCTGATTCTCAGGTGATGCCTTGATCTAAAAATTATATGTTATAATGCAATTTTTTTTAATGTATTCCAAAACTAAATTACTTAATACTCTTCTTGTCTTGTTTAGATGAAGATTGATCTAAAAACAAAATCATAAAACATTTTATATAATAAAAGCCTTATATAATAAAATAAAATTTATTTTCCATGGCAAGCTTTTGAAAATATTAAATTCAATTAAAATTCCATGGGCAGGAATTCAAACCCAGAACCATTAGCATGGTAAATTTGAGTTGGCTCTAACCACTCAACCATTGCTGTCTCCAATATTCATGTCTGATCTTACTTTTTTTTTTTTTTAAGAAAAAAAATCATTGTTTTAGGATCAAATTAAAAATCTAAGTTGAGTATTTCAGGCAATACGCCTAGGATAATTTGCTATTTGATTTACTGATTATCTCTTCTGCTTATTTGACGAGTGATGAATTAATTATATAAAATTTTAAAAGAAAGAGCATAGAGTGAAATTTCAAATTAGCAGGCATTTTATGTCGCCTATCAAGAAATTAATATTTCAGGAATATTAGTAAAGAACTATTATGTAAGGAACATAAAATCATAGAACCGATTGAAACAACCAAAAAGTTTTCAATCTTTCAACACTTAATGTACCTATTTAAGAAAGGATTTTCTCATAACCTCACTAAAAGAGAACAGCTTTGTGCTTTGAAATTTGCGCAGTAGTAAAAAATATTTTTTTGTCTGTTTATGTTACTCTTTATAAGCAAATGAACTGCAACAAATAAATAATTTTTGTCGGAACAAATAAAACTTAATATCTAAAGAAATGATTGAGGTGGGGTGAATATGAACATGGTTTTACTCACAAACTGTGCATGCAACTGAAAAAACGTTTTTAAGTATGTAACATTTTTTACTTGGTTTTTCTGTTGAAATTAAGCAACTAAGAATTGCGCGATATTTTCTCCTTAAAGCTTTATTGTTTAGAAACATTGTACAAACTTTTTGCCCAAGGAAAAAGAAAAATGATTGACCCTACCCAAAAAAAATTTGCTATGACAGTATTGTTTATGTTCTGTCTTCAATCCAGAAAAATAAATAGTGACATTTCTACGTTAAATTAAAAAATAAATGATTAGATCGCCACCATCAGAGTGACAAAGAAGCTTCACCTCTGTAAAATCATACTGTCACCCAATCAAACTCCAAGAATTGTGCCACATTTGCTAATTCAAGTTCTATTGTTTAGAAACATTCACAAACTATTTGCCCAAGAGATCTGAAAAGCTATTAACACTACACACAAAAATATTACCACAACTGTTTGCGCTCAGTCTGATAAAATACAGTAGACTCTCGTTACATGCAGAAAATATGTATCACCGTGCATAACAATCTTTTGTGCCTATCGCCCGTGTTATGTATGAACTTTTTTCTTTTTTTTTAATTTCTTTTCTTTTCCCCCTCTCTTCTTGAACTCAACTGGGGGCAACTGCGGATGAGTGAAAGCACGGATAACAAGAGTATACTATAAATAGTAGCCTGTCTGCACATTTAAAAAAAAAAATTGTTTTCATCAATGTTGCCTTAACAATTGACAATTTCATAAATATAAGTTATACAGGTAAAAGAGGGATTGTTTAAAAGAAATATATATATTGCTAAACTTTTGATGACAATTTCACCATCATCGGAGTAATAGAAGAAGTTTTGCTTCTGTAAAATATACTTTTGTCCAATTAAAAAAATTTAAATTTATGCAATATTTTCTAATTTAGGCTCTATTGTTTAGAAGCATTTAGAAACATTGTACAAACTTTTTCCACGAGGATAAAGAAAAAATATTAACACTAGATTAACAATGCACACAAAAAATTTGCTACGAAAGTAACATTTATGTACTGCCTTGTAGAAAAATAAATAGTAACCTCTTTGCGTTAAAAAAAAGTTTCTAACAATGTTGCATTAAGAGTTAATAATGTAATAAATAATGTAGGTAAAACGACCAACAGTTTTACAAGAGAAAATTATTGGTAAAATTTCAATGGTTAGATCAATATCACCAAAGCAATAAAAGTTGTAAACTGAGCTCCATGCAAATGAAATGAGAACGGTTTTATTTTTAAGTATGTAACATTTTTACTTGGTATTTGTGTAGACAGTTAAAAAAATAAAATAAAATTACAATTGTACGATATTTTTCTTTTAGGCTCTAATGTGTAGAAGTATTGTACAAACTTTTTCCACGAGGATAAAGAAAAAATATTAACACTACACACACAAAATTTGCTATAACAATATTGTTTGCTCTCAGTTTTCTAAAAATAAAATAAATTGTAACAATGTTGCAAGTTGACAATTTCATAAATAATATTAGCAAGAAAAGCGGTTTTTCAAAATAAAATTATTGGCAAACTTTCCATGGTCAGATCAACATCATCAGAGTGATCAATTGCACAATATTTTCTCATTTAAAGTGTACTGTTTAGAAACATTGTGCAAACTTTCTTGCCAAAGGAAAAAGAAAAACAATACTACACACAAAAAAAATTTGTTACGACTATTCACGTTCAGGGTACAAAAAGAAATAGTAGCCTGAGAACATAAAAAAAATATTGCCAAACTTTCCATGATTGGATCATTATCAAAATCCACTTAATAATCAGCTTCGCTTCTGTAAAATCGTCCAATTTTTTTCCTTTCATTACAAAATTATTCAATTATTAAGTTAATGTAAAAGAGTTCATTTTTCTTTGGATGTGCTTGAAGGTTTTCAGTCTATACGTCTTGGCAATTTCAATTTTATATTTTTAATGACATTTGAATTGATTTGAAGAAAAACGAAAACGACAATCCTTCAATCACGACATCCAGCATCAAAGTTGACCATTAAGCCCCCTTGTAAGACAGGGATTATTTTGCTTTTAGATTAATTTCCATAATATATAATCAAAACACATAAAGGCAGCCATAATTTTTTATTTTATTTTTTGTTAAATTGTGAACATTGATTGTTAGAAACATATATGTTTAAGACAATTTAGAAAACATGTAAGATGTTTATTCAACTACTAGTTTATTAAATGGCTTTTCGTAAACACCTGTCAAGCACAAAAAAAGTCCTACAACTCATTCTTCTGAGAATTTGTTAAGGATATATATATTTTTTTATTTAATTGATATATCAACCCATTTATTTTACTGAAGGTTTGATTAATAAATTTTCACACCCGAAATTAATTGAATGAATAAACAAAATAAGAATTATTGTCTTCGGATCAGAAAAATCAAAATTACTCATTTCATAAGTTCAGCTCATTATACAAAAATATTAATGAAAATCTTTGATACTTATTTTATTTTTCTTAATATTTTATTTTATTATCAGGTTCTAGCTCGCATTACTCTCTGGGCTCTACTACAGATGCAAAACAACTCATTAATTCTTATTTAAATAATAGCTTTATAAGCAGGAAGCCAATTTAATTGAAAAGTACAAGAGTTTATTTATTAAGATTAAGACACATCAAAATCAAACAGTGTTCAATCTTGTTGTCTACAGCTTTTATTTTTTTAAACATTTAACTGTTGTAAAATAGTGTCGTTGCTTTTTAATGGGATGTAACAACTATATAAAAGATCGTTAATGGACGATTAACAGTTAGTTGTGGGAATCTAACAGAAAAATAAATAAAAACAAATAACAACTAAAAAATAAACAATAAAAACATTTTGAGGTTGAAAAGTGAAATTAAACTTTGTCCAGTACCTTCAATATTTACACTATCGTACTTCATTTTAAATGTTTGATTTTTTATTTTTTAAGAACGTAAATTTATATACGGAAAAAAGAACAGAAATATACAGAAAAATACTCGGGGTATGTCAGCCTCAAGGGCCCAAGGATATATGTATAATCCCGAGTCGAGCCCTTAAATTGACGGTGTTGGGTTGCGTCTTTGGCTGGAGCTCTCGATGCGTTTTAACAGAAAAAAAGAGGTCGTTCGACGCGACGTCACGATTCGACACGATTTCAATTTCACCGATATCACATTCGAATGTGAAACGAACATTCACGACAAAACTTTGGGAATTGTTTGCGTTTATTTGAAATTGACAAGTTTCATACTTATTCGGACTGATTATCGATTTTTTTCACCTACGAAATTTTTACATCATTTTTTTCCCAACAAAGCAGTTGTTTTTTAAAATTGAAACAATAGATTTATTTTATTTATTTATTTANTCTGAGTCTTCTTATGCCTCAACTAAACAACTGTTGCCTTCCGATTCACCTAATTCATCTAAAAGGGGATTCGTTATCTTGTTTGTTGTTACCCTCCCACACGTGATAAATTAAAATAACTAGATCTAATATTTACACATTTTCATAATTCCCATTCATACTAATTTACTAACCTATACTACAACTAAATTGGAGGTCGGAAGATTATCGTGATCTTGCGGCCTCCTGTTTTATTTATTTATTATCACATACAACATAAGGCCTGTCCCTCGTGATGATTTATTATAATTTTACATTTACATGATAAAAACTGGCACAGCTATTGATAAATTATTTATAATAATATAAGGCATACAGTGGGGTTCTGGGGATGCCTGTTGATCCCATGGGGATTGGGGATTAAAAAAGGAAACATTAAGTACCATTTATCGAAACACAATTCTTCTACTTTTAGCATACACTGCCACAGTATGTAACATGTATCAGAGTGTGTACAAGAGGGATTTAAATTATTACATGTGGATGTTAAGAAAATGGATGGATGATTTGAATTGAAATAGCTGGAAAATATAGTGAGATCGATGAGAGTTTATGGATAGAGGAAGGAACCCAGGAAATACTTTCTACGGGAGGAGGGATAAAGCCAGAAAAGGTCTGAATACAGGTGTGAGACTCTGGATGTTCGAAAGAGACAGTATGTTGATGCCATGGGGATTAAAAAAAAGGAAGCGTTAAGTACAATTTATCGAAATGCGATTCTTCCACTTTGAGCATACACTGCCGCAGTATGTAAGATATACCTGGATGTGTACATGAGGGATTTAAGAGAATGGATGAATTATATTAATGGAAGTAGCAGGAAAATAAAGTGAGATCGAAGAGAGTTTATGAATAAAGGAAGGTTCCTAGGAAATACTTCCTACAGAAGGATGGATAAAGCCAGGAGATAAGTCTGAATACGGGTATGAGACTGTGAATATTCGGGAGGGGGGGGGGTCAAAAATAAAGTTTGAAAGTGACAATCTAGTATGATGTCATGGGGATTAAAAAAGGATGCTTTGAGTGCCACTTATCGAGGCATAATGCTTCCACTCATACATTTCCCCAGTATGGTAAGACGTATTGGGTTGTGTAATATACTATGCCCTTTGAGGACTATTGTAATCCCTATTCTCAATGTATCTCACACTTCCTTTTAATTAATGTTTTTATGTAAGGTATTGGTTAAAATTAAAAAGTCATTGTCACGAGCAAGATTCGAACCCACGACCTTTGGCTCAATATGCTGCTGCTCAAACCACTAGAGCTGTAAGAAATTTAATTATTATGCCCGGTTTCAGTGGTTGAATTATTTCTATGGATATGTTATTCATTCCAAAACTTTTTTTGTGGTTCTACTCACAGATTTGTTGTTTGCAAAAATCCAGATTTCAAGCATTAAATGCTCATCATCAGATTGAAGGAGTTACAAGCGTGTCTCTTGACATTAATTGTGAGAATTAATTTTTTTTACAATTCATGTCGAGACATTTTTTTAACTCTTTCAACCTAATGATGAGCATTTGATGCTTTAAATCCTTATCATTGTAAACAACAAACCTGTGAGTAGAAGCATCATTTTCAAAAAGTGGAGCTGCATACTCACTCCACCTTTATCATTTCTATCCCAAAACACTTCCTCCTGTGTGCAAATGTAGGGCCACAGTTTGTTAGTAGGTGTGACTGACCACTAATCCAATAGTCAAATAGGAGACTGTCCAATCCCAGAAACAAGCCTGAGCAGATATTTCCAGGAAGAAAAAAGACAGCAGAACATGCCCTCAGTTGGTATGAAGGATTATGCAGCCTAAGATTCCTACTCTTGGGAGAGGGTCCTTGAAAAAGCTTTGTGATCTACTAAAAAACCTTAAGCTTTGAGGAGCTCTAAACAACAATGGAGATGCACAATAGACCAAAACTGGTCGCAGCGTGCAGGTTGTAAAGAGGCTGACTCATTTTCTAATCTAATCTACAATAATATAAAACAATAATTTAAACATGATGACAATGGATATTTGTTTTATTAAAGAAATTAAAAAAGAAAAGGAAAAAATCATAGGAAGAAAGTAATATCGTTGATCATTGATGCACAAAAAAAGCAGAGCTGAAGCCCTAAGGATGGCTCTTTGAACCAATCATTGTTTTTGTAATTTTCATCGACAATGTATTCTATTGTTGTTATTATTTGCAATTTTTGCTGTTATCATTTGATATATATATAATTTTTTTTGGCTTTTTTCAGTAGTGTTATTGCTGGAAGATTTGAATAGGTTTGCTTTTTGGTGTCTGGATAATGAACTTTTTCTTAATTTAGACAAATCTAAATTTATATCATTTTATAAAAATTGCATGAACTGTGAATTGTAAGTCCGATTCAGTGAGCGAATTTAGGAGAGCGATTCAAATTGACTCATTTTCAAATGGTGAAATTAGTGATCTAAGTTATCTGCTATATCTACAGTATTTTGTAGAAAGGTTAAAATTAAATGTAGCACACAAAAGGAACAGGACATGTAGACTTGTTTTATATATGTCTAAGATGTACTAATTATATTTTCCATGACCTCACGAAAGGATTGAGCAATAAACTTCATGAACCTCAGTGTGTTCAATACGCCTCTCGCTGTGCCAAGACGCTATAAAAAATGTAAATACAATGAATGATCAGTATTAACCAATATTGTATAAATTTCTTGTTCATAAATAAAGTTACTGTTAATATTATTAATCAGTTTTTCATCACCATTTTAAAGATGTGAAATAACACTTGGTTTGATATCACTTGGGCATGCAGTCTTAAATAAATCTACTGTGTTCGAAGGAAATTTATTAAATACCTAATTTACAAGCTAGGACTTAAATGGGATACCAATGAATATAACAAATGCTTAAAAATCAATTCTCTCTTCAGGATTGTACTCGGGTAAGAGAAAGTGCTTCTTGTAGAAGGTTTTATTCCTTTCCAGAGCTCCTTAAGAAGATAATACATACTTCTATACGGATCAAGTCTGATAGCAGAGTTAGCCAAAATTTGCTCCCTAGGGAATCCCCTCAGTTATATCTTCTTAATATCCGGATATGCATTTGAACTGTATGCATAGGAAATAATCATCAATAGATTCAAATGAGAAGGTCATTTGAGGATGATCATGGGCCTCTTCAGTGCCCAATTGCTCTTAGGAGCAAGAAAATGTGTATACCTAAGATAGAAATTTGCAAATTCTATAAAGAAGAGGCAGAAACGGGACTATAAAGATTTAGCCTGGTTGTGGTACTGCCACTGGGAACGAGGAATTGGAGCAGGGTAAAAGGGCCAAATTTCTTCATAGTAAAACACCTTATTTGTTATTTAATGTGTACACTCAATATTCCAAAGAGATCTGTGCAATTGAGCCATGTGGCCAAGAAATAATCATCAGTAGATTGAAAGCCTTTGGGAAGTTTATTTGATCTTGACTTGGCCATTGTCTTTTAAAATTCCACCTCATGAAAATGGGTAAAGCCGAGAAAAAACTGCTAATTTTGAGATGACAGAACGTGCCATGTGCGACTGAAGATTTGCCCTGTTCATGTATTGCCACTTGGGACCAGGTGGTTGAGTGGTTAGGTGTCTACACATATTTTCACACTAACATTTCTTAATTGGAATCCCGGTATTGCCTATGGAATTTTAATTGAGATTGGTTTGAAAAAAGTATTGTATAGTGGTTTGATCCCCTCTTATCTGTGATACATAATGGGTACTTGAACATTAAGACCTCATGTACTACTGCCTGCACCTGTTACTCAAGGTACCAACGTCCTCAAATTCCAAAAGGGCACCTTCATTTGTTTGGACATAGAGTATGGTTTTCCCCTTCAATAGATTACTCAGGCTTGCAGAGAATAATAAATTAAGATAATTAAATTAATAATTTTCCTAAATTGGACATAGATAATTCCAGTTTCCCTCGGACTGGTAACATTCAAAACTGAAATTATTGCATTTTTGTTTCTTAGAAAAGATAATGATAAAATTGAGAAGATGAAGGCACTCAGGGAAGCTTCAAAAAGAGTGACACTTGGACCAGAAAACTTACCATCAATATGCTGCTACACTCTTCTCAACTCTAATAATACGTCAGTACACAAACAACCTCATTGTAAATTTAATTTATTTTTTACTAATTTTTCCTCTTTTTTTGTGTGTGTTTAGCGTTACCTGTGCGGAAATATCCGATGATTCGAGCATACTAGCGTTTGGGTTTTCCCATTCCGAGATCAAAGTCTTGTCTCTGATGCCACAAAAACTGAGAGGGATGAAGAGCGGAGAGCAGTTACAGGATATCGATCATGAAGCTGGTATGTTGTACTATATCAGAAAAAGGGCATGTTTTGAAATTTGATAAATTTTGCAGAGGATGTATGGGCAAGAATAATGGACGATAGAAACGCAGAAGTAAGACGTACTCTCATCGGCCACTCCGGCCCTGTGTATAGAGTCACATTCAGCCCTGATAAAAACCTTCTTCTCTCTTGTTCTGAAGATTCAACAGGTATTGTACATTATGAAAGCTTTACAAATTTTTCTCTATGACAGAAATTATTGTACACATTTTAATTTTAGTTCGCTTGTGGAGTCTGCTCACGTGGACGTGTCTAGTCGCCTACAAAGGACATGTATTTCCAGTTTGGGATGTCAGATTTTCCCCTCATGGTTATTATTTTGCGACAGCGAGTCATGATAAAACAGCCAGACTTTGGTCAACAGACAACCATCAACCTTTAAGAATATTTGCTGGTCATTTTGCTGATGTAGATGTAAATATTTAACTACCAAGGAAATTTGTTTATGTAAATTAACTTAACTAATATTTTCAGAGAGTCATGTTTCATCCCAATTCTAATTATGTTGCTACTGGTTCAAGCGACAGAACTGTCAGACTCTGGGATTGTGTTACCGGCAATCATGTCAGAATTATGACAGGACACAAAGTAAAAGCCTTCCTCTTTTTGATTATTTTTAAACAAATTAATTTTTTTTTTCATTTTAATTTTTAGGGAGCCATTTACGACCTCGCATTTTCTGTTGACGGACGTTTTTTAGCATCGGCTGGTGCTGATTTCAGGCTACTTCTTTGGGACCTCGCTCACGGCCATCTCTTAGCCGAGCTTGCTTCACACACCGCTCCGATCCACACTCTTGCGTTCAGCAGGGATGGAAATATTTTAGCTTCTGGGGCCCTGGACTGTACCGTTAAGTTGTGGGATTTCACAAAACTCTCGAATGAAGTTTCAATCGAAGATGTCAATGTCATGCACAATCCAGATATACGTACTAACTCAGAGGCGTACCTCCTAAGGTCCTATGCTACGAAAAATTCATCCTTGATTTACTTGCATTTTTCAAGAAGAAATCTTCTTCTTGCAGTAGCAACTTACAATAATTCGAGAGAACCATTTTAAAATTGTTGGCCTTAAGCATGTCTTTGTTACTACTATTGCCGAAAACAATAATGAAAGATGTTATATTAAAGATTAATTTTAATTACAATTCTATATGTAAATACTTTATATATATTAAATAATTTTATAATGAACTATAATGCCTGTACAATTTTGTTTACTCTACCTTAATTTTAGATAATACAGATTTTGTTTAATTAACAAAGTACAATCCACTAAACTATAATTGAGCTCCAGAATTTTACCTGTAAGCTACAGAAACTAAATATGAAAATGGGAAGAGAAAATAAAACAGGAATCCAATTGAATTAAATAATTATTTAAAAATGTTAAACATATTTAACACAAGATAATATATAATTATTTCATATTTATCACAAATTGGTCAAAACCCAATGTCAATTATCCAAAGCGGATGCCGTTTCTTGGAGGCAATGGCATCCACACCCGCCAGGGCAGACAGTGTTTTCCGAGAACCATTCCATAAGATGACGAGTGTGACCACCGTGTCCGCAGATTAAGCAAACATTCGCACCGCCTGCAAACAGAAAGTTGGTAACTTGAAAGAAAAAAAATGGGTTAAAAACTCACCTCTGACCGAAGTGTGACAAATGATGCACTGAAGGGCAGGATTTTTGCAAGTCGTGCAATAAGCATCTCTGGTCAAGACCTTGCAGTTCAGGCATTGGGCAACAAGCTCAAGTCCCCGATGAACATCTAGATCACACTTAAGATATTTCATGACCTGTGCCCGGGCATCCAGAAGGCACCAACGATGGAGAATCTCAGCGTAAGCTTTTTTATACTGTTCATACTCTGGTGACTCGCTCAAAGATACCCTTGACAAACTTCACAAAAATATGAGTAGCTTTGTTAAAATTTTAAGAAAGAGAACTTACTTAATAGGTTTAACTGTTTCAGTAACCCCAAGTGGTGTATGAACAATAATATCATCAGCACCGCACACAATGCTAAAATCGTCTTCAGTACAAGAGTTAGAGATATTTTGTTTAGAAACTGCTGGAAGATTCCAACTCTCTACTGAGGAATCAACTTGGTGAATCATTTGGTATGATGAGCTTATCGCCTGTAAAATTAAATTTATTAAAGCATTATATTGAAGGGTAAAAAGCTTAAATTGATTACTTACATTAGCATTATCAGTCTTGTTTACAGTTCTAATCTGTGTCATTTCTTGAGCTTCCATTTTATTACTAAAAACACAGCACAGCATTGCAGCAGTCTGTATATCTGACTCAACAACATAATGGCTTATCCTTAAGCGAACAATTAAATCGGTTAAATTTAATAATTAAAAAAAAAAGTATTGAAGTATAAAATTACAGAGATTGAATCATTCCGATAGAGAGCGGGTGAGTTTCCCAAGGAAAGTCCTCGTCTTCATCAAAAGAAGAGGGTGTCGCCGCCAAGCTTGCCAGGTTCCAGACCTGGGTGAGGTCTTTCCTCCCAAAGCTCCCAGCGACCATCGCATTATGTTGGCACGTTCCAACAATATCACGGTTGTCTAACCTGTTTTAACAAACTCAAATGTGAACGCCGCTTTGATTTATTTTTACCATTTGATATTTACATATATTTTTCAGCAAGATCTTTGCTCATTGGAAAAAGACCCGAGGCATCGTAAATAATGACTGTCGTCTTGTAGCCTTTCTGTGATACGCCACGGGCCATATTGCGACTCAATCTACCTCTTGCACTGACCTATGAAAATGGGCGATTTTAAGTCAAAAGGTTGGAAAACAGTTTATAATATGAGTTCATTTACTCTGTCATGGTAAAAGTAAGATGGCACGGATAAAGGTGATTCAGAATAAGTGTTAAGCGCTGATAAAGACCTGGGTGTTGATTTGTCAGCTCTAACATTTTGTCTTCTACTAAAAGACCTACCAAAACAAACAAGCATTCCTGAAACAGAAAAAAAATCATTTTCATCATGTTAAAAAATTATAAATATCGATTCGTTAAAACTAACCCACATTACAAAATTTTGCTCCCGACGTTCTTGGAAATGGTATATAAGCATCTCTAAAACTGTAAATTGGTGAATGAAGAAGGGCTCCTTGCATTTGCAAATACTGCGCTTTGTCCTGATCATTAACCTGAGAAAGCTGAGGGAAAATTGAACATTTTTACCTTCTTGATTTATTTAATGGGAACGTACCTCTTCTAATGTTGTGATCAACTGTCTTATGCAGGGTTCAAGGCATGACCTGTTCTTTTTCACCCTCTGCTGAGCCGTCTGTTTTAACACCTTCAACACCAATGCGTTTAACAATAAATTTGACCTTTTTTTTTAAGTACATACTTTGAGCAATTTATTTTTCAGTGTAGAATCAATAGTAGAAGCAGTCGTAAACTGAAACGCAGGCGCTATGTTGTGAGGGTAGCCTGGGGGAAAAGTGATATGAACAACTGCCACATTGCTGTTTATGGCTGCTGTAACTGTACATCTTCTTTTTATAGGATCCATCTATAATTAAGTTAAACAGATTTTTAATATATAACAAATTTTATTTCATTAATATGTTGGTCTTAGTTTGACCAAAGAACAATTATTTAAATTAAAGATTAGTGTTAGCCTGAAGTCGTGGGTTCTCATGAGAAGTACTCTTTTCTCTCTTTTCTTTTCATCTCAACCATGCTTTACATAAAAATTATATTACAATTAATTAAGGTTTTTTGTTGAGATAAAAAAGTCAATGGCACGAGCGGGATTCGAACCCACGATCTTCGGCTTGATACGCCGCTGCTCTACCACTTGAGCTCTCATGACCTCAATCCACTCGGTCACCAACGTCCCATCTCAACCGCACCTTTTGAATTTTCCCTCCTTTTTGCCATTCTTCAAATGTCGTGTAATCGGATTGGATTCTCGACGACAAATGAAATAGCCAAGGAGAGCTTTAGTGAAGTATACTTCATTTTAAATTATTAAATTCACTAATTTTGTGGTCCGCTTTACCAATTAATATATTACAATTAATTAAGGTTTTTAGTTGAGATAAAAAAGTCAATGGCACGAGCGGAATTCGAACCCACGATCTTCGGCCTGAAAATTCAAAAGGTGCGGTTGAGATGGGAAGTTGGTGTCCGAGTGGATCGAGGTAATGATAGCTCAAGTGGTAGAGCAGCGGCGTATCAAGCCGAAGATCGTGGGTTCGAATCCCACTCGTGCCATTGACTTTTTTATCTCAACTAAAAACCTTAATTAATTGTAATATATTAATTGGTCAAGCGGACCACGAAATTAGTGAATAAAAATTATAAATCACTTTAAATATTATTATATTAAAACAGCACCTAAGTTAATTTTTTGTTCGGGACAAAAAGGAAATTGCAACTCACACAATCAAAAGTGACATTTCTGATATTGATGTTGACTAGAGAAAATTCCTGGTGAAGGGTTTTTGGCTGAGAAGTCTGCACAGGAGGCGGCTGCTCTGACTCAGACATCATGTTCTCAGTTAATTCAAGCGAATGCGTCCTTCCGTCCACGACGACCATACTTTCAACGACACCGCCTGAAGTAAACACAAATCCTTTTCAATCAGTCGAACAATTCCAACTGTAATCGTTCTATCTACCAACGAGTGGTATTACTTGGAAATTCTTAAAGCCAATATAAATATTAAATTTATTCATTTTTGCACACTGCAGAATTTGATTGATTCAGACATTGATTCACTTCAACAATACAAAAGTAAAATATCACTGAAATTATAATGCAGTTGTTATACATAATCAAAATAAAAGTACAAAACTTGTATTGTACAATTGTACTGACAATTGAAACACATTAAATATGTTTTACCACACACACACACAAAAAAAAATTTTTTTTTAAACATTTAAAAAAATACCTATTTGAGATGGTGGTAAAAGTCCATCGTTAGCGTGAGACTCAATAGCTGGACTGTTTCCATTATCTATGCCACAAAGCTGAAATAAATTTTTTAATATAAACATATTTTTAAACGTAATTCAAAACTTTATAAATAATTATTTATACTAGTTGAAATAAATAATTTGCATTTAATTTACAGCACTGTTTTGCATAAAAATCTCTTTCTACTCTTACTAAATTACTAATATGTCCCTGATATGCCTGGCAATTTAATAACTTAATTTGATGGACAATTTGTAAAAATTATTAACTAACCTTTTGTAAAAACGGTTCTATTTGCCATATTCTCAAAGTCTGATCTTTAGACCAAGTAATGAGTTGATAGTCCAACGAGTCTAAAAAAAAAAAAAAATGTGAACAATTAGTTATAAGTTGTTTTAAGTAATTTTCTTCGATGATGTTTCAATCATCAGCACCTGGATGTTTTCGCCATTCAAACTCCAAGACGACATCCGTATGTCCAACAAAGGTGTGGACAAGGGAACTCTGGTTTGACAAACTCCATAATAACAGGCTATTCTCACCCCTTCGTATTTGAGGAACTATTACCATCAAAATCCCAATTCCAAAAGGCTAAAAACCATTCATTCCATTAAAATTATTGAACATTAAATACAATGGCATTTAAAATAAACACATTCATACACAGACATATTATCATGTATGTTTAAAATGAAAAATACAAACATACAGTATATCGGGCTCTCCATATAGGAGCAGCAGCAGTAATAACGTTCTCAGCTCTTCTAGGATTCGTAATATCGAAAAATTTCACTGTGCAGTCCTGGCTTGAGGTGGCCAGCTGATTTTCCTGATTTGGATTCCAATCCAGGCAATAAATCTGAAAATCAGATGTAACGTAAATCTATTATTTAGGATTTTGTAAACATTCATTTACATTGGCATGGTGAGCAGAGATGTACTGAACTGGGGTAGTTCCCTTTCTTCGGTCCCAAAGTTTGACATCACCGTTGTGTGCAGTTGCCAGTAAGAAAGGCGACTGTCTGTTCCAACGTACTTGATTAGCTCCAGCTGAAGTAATAATAAGTTAAATTAATTTAAAAAAATTATTTCAGTAAAGAATACTTACCAATAGTGGATAATGAAAGGGAAGGCCGCCTTGTATCTCTTACATCCCAGATATACGTGAAGGTGTCTATTGAACATGAGGCAAGGAGGTTTGGATCTAACTGATTCCAGTTCAGGTGATTGACTACTCTCGTATGAGCCTGAAGTGTGCTCTGTGTCGTTAAATTTCCTTCTGCCCAGCAGAGAATTTCTATATTTTTATTTGTCTAGAAAAAATCACTTGCAAACTATTTGAAATTAATTAATTTATATTAGTTTATTACCGATACAGCGCATAAATGTTTGTGCTGTAAATGTGGACTCCATTCAGCAGCACCGACATCGTATTTGCTCTGCCTTGGAAACTTTCTGAGAGAGTCATTAGAGTCTATCAAGTTTTTTATAGCCAAGTACCTACGCCTAAAAGTCAGATCAAGAAGATTTTTTTTTAATTAATTCAAATTGACTTTTCTTCATTTAAATTAATCGACACCAAATAACATACACATTTTGTTATGGGTGTATTAAAAAGTTGTACAGGCTATCTCAATACACTCAGTAGCGAGCCCCCTGTTCTTATTTTGAAGAAACAGAGTGGTTTTACCGTACGTGGTACTGATAGTTTTGTGTGTTAACAGTGATTGTGTAGTGTACAACAGCCAACAGCGGAATATTGAGTACCCCCATCTCAATTAGGTTAGCTATATATATAAGTGTAAAAAGTGATGCAGGAATATCGAGTACCCTCGGTGAATGATATTAAATAAGAAATAATGTATTTAAAAGTGAGTGAGAGAGTGAATGGGTTTGGTTTTAGGTGCACTGGGGGCACAACCTCAGTGGCCGGACAGATAAGACATCCAACACGCCTTTGAGAATCAATCACACCACATCTGCTCCATTCCAAAATTAGACTGCCCTTTCCTACCACAGCCAGTTTTTATTCAATTTTGGAAACCACTGAACCAGTGGTCCGGCCGCGGTGATTGACCCATCGCCAGCCGAGGGCGAGAACAAGCTGATTTGCACTCTCCTGCACCTCAACAGTCTGGCTCTGGTTGGGAAGGAATTTGGGGACATGGTGACTAACCACTGCCAACCAAGCGCCGAGCGTGAGAACAACTTGATTTGCACTCTCCTGCCTAGTGGTGTAGATAGCACCCCGATTCCTTGTTTCTTGATTACAATTACTTTCCCTTATTATCCTACTTTTTTTTAATACAAGGATTGCACCAGCAGAGGTCATATCAACCCTCAAAGTGCCAAATTTACCTCCACCCAAGTTATGCTGATATAAAACTAACCAACTCTACCTTTTCTTCAAGGATACAAGTTAAAAATTGACTAGTTAGCATTCGCACTACCCTAGAGTGCCCTAAACTCAACAATGGCTAAATTGTTGCGGCACCCTTATCCTACGTGATGAATGATTTATAACAATATAGTTATTATGACCAGTAAATATAACAATGTACAAACAAAACAATCCAATTTCACTGGCACACTCTTTACATCAGTAAACAGTAATTTAAATAGAGAAATTAAAAAAAAAAAAAAAAGTTAAACAGGGAGAAATTAGAACGACTCTGTTAGACGGTCTTGATGATCATGTTTGTTTTTATGTTAAAGTAAAAAAAATTAAAAATTAAAAAACCCATCAGACAGTCCTGATGACCACAGTTTGTCTTTAACTATGTTCTGGTTTGGGATGTTATTGGGTATGTGGTCCTTTAAGGATAATCAAAGTTGGTCGATAACTGAACAACCTCGTAAATTTAACTATGTTAACGTAAAAAATCTAGTTTAAAAAAAAATTCCATCAGATGATCCTGATGACCATGATGTTTGTCTTTACCTATGTTAATTAAAATAAAAAAAGACTATCAAGTGATCGTGATGACCATGATGTTTGTCTTTAACTTTGTTAAGGTAACAAATCTATTTAAAAAAATGAAGTTTATTACCCAGCCAAAAGAACATAAACTCCACTGTAGTCTACCGCCATAGCACTCGCCTGTAACATAAAATACCAAGAGCTTTTTATAAACAAATGTATGACTCCAAAAGCATTAATTTCTGCTAACATTTAAATTTATAAAACTACAACACAAATATAAATATGAATTTTTTAAAATCATTTGCCTCACTGGGTTGACAGACGTGTTTCAACACTAACCCAGCAAGGAGCGAGGACAGGCAGAACAAAATGATCGGTAATGACCAAATTTCAGGTTCATCGCTCCACAGACATCACAGAGAAATCTTACAAAATATAATTTCGAGGATAATTGGAAACGATAGAACTACAAATTCTGATGCACAGTGTATGAAATGAAATGACACACCATACACACTAAGATACTACAGTAGTTAATCCAAAACATAAACAAATACAAGAAAATTAATTTTCAACAATGTCAAAAAATATATTATTTACCTGGAGGTCGCGGTGCTCGGCGACTATATATTCGCTGCTCCATCTCGTCGTCATTTAGACCAATTTAGCCAAAAATAAAACTACTAATACAAGTAGTTTTATTACATTGATAAAATTAAAAAAAGAAAACCAAATATATTCAGCCCTGGTCGTTTATTCCATTATATTCCCCAAATAGAATAAAACCACCAAATATCTCGGACCGAGATGGAGATAACGCAGTTCCACTACACTGTTGTCATTCAAAAGCAACATTCAAAAGGAATCACACTTTCATAAACAACATCAGGCAATGCAGATTGCAGTGTAGGAGGCTACGCAACTGTTAATCTGTTGTTACAAATCGATCAATTTTCTTTTGAATATACTAATCTTGTCATTCATTTTAATGATTTAAAAACAGCTAAAAGTAAACTTTTAATGTAAAGTACTAATCAAACATGTAGCCAAATTAATTATTAATATGAAATCATCTCAATCATGTATAAAATTTAAATATTAAAAATATTTACATTTTTACAATGTATTTCTGTAAAATAGAGTGATTTTACAAAATAAATTGTTATTAATTAACTTTTATCTAAAATTTCATTTCTATTTTATTAAAATTCTTCCCCAGAGATCAGGTATATTCCTGTTTAAAAGAGTACCCTGTTATTTTACTGTTTTAGAAATGATACCTAGTCCAGTATTCTTGATTCTTCAATTACGATGATTTTTCATGATTCTTCTTTTTATCTACATAATTCTTTGGTTCCATTTTCGGCATTTTTATCTTCAATTTTGGGATTTAAACATGGATTTATTAGGGGCTGATTCTACTCTACATACATGAAAAGTGCATTCCATTTGAGATCTTTGTTAAGAGGCTCTTTTCTAATTTCTTTCAATTTTATTTATTTATTTTAAGTTGTGATATTCAAGGTGAGAATTCACAGTCATATAAGATGTTTCCATTGTTTAACTGCTTCTTCTTGGCAGTCCTCCAATTTCCTTTTTAGCTTTGTCTACCTTTTTTGAGCTGATATTTCAATAGGCAAGAGAAGCTTACAATTTAAGAATGAAAAGACTATTTATGCCTATTTATTGTTCGGCGTTCAGAATTTCCCTGCTAATTCTGGTGCCCCTGGTGATTTAAACATAAATATAACCACTGCAATAGGCATTTTTGTAGATTGGACCTATAAAATTACAATGAAAAAGAAGTAAGAAAAAAAGTGAGATAGATGTGTTGTGATTTTTTATCTAATTCTTCTTGGCAGTCCACAAGTTTCTTTTTCAGCTTTGTCCACTTTTTAAAGCTGGTGTTTCAGTAGGCAGGAGACCCAAATAGAGGCTTCAAATTTAAGAAATCATGTCTTATTTAAATGTGATTCTCTTTTTTTATAACTATTTGTGTTTCGGCTTTCTGAATTTCTCTCCTGTATCTGGTGATCCTAATGAATTAAACATCAATATGCTGAAAACCTTTGTAGGTGCCTCTTGCCTAATTTCCTTTTCATTGTTATTATTTTCCTCATTTTTATAATAATAATAATTATTATTATTGTGATTCCTCATTGGGATTGTGTTGCTGCTTTTTCCTTGGCAGTCATTAAATTTCTTTTTCAGTCCATGTGTTGTAGACTTGCTGTCTCATTAGACAAGATCCTTATGATTTATTAAAATTGTTTTAGATCTGGCATAATGAGTGTAGTTTTATTTTTTGAACGTCTGATAGTTCAAGTTTATATCATAATGATCCTCCTGGTAAGAAGCTGACCTTTTGCGAGGATGGTTCCACTCACAAATTGGTTTTAGTGAAAAAAGAAAAACCAAGTGTTCCATGGTATAAATATTTTTTATTTTGTATGTTTGGGGTTCATTGGTCTATCCTCAGTAGATTTACTATTCTATCTCTTTACAGTGGACTATTTGATATACTTCTCTCATCAGACTATGCAAGCTATCTAAAATTATTCCACGTAATTCTAAAAGTATTCCATATTTTATATTCAGTGATTTCAGCTTGATCTGAACCACTGCAAATTCCCTGGAGAGCTTGAGGGTAACATTTACAGACAAAAAGTCTTTAATGTTACGAGACTATCTGTGCATATTTTGGTTCCTTTTTAAGTAACTGTGTAAAGTGTTAAATTGTATGAAATCCAAATGATGAAATAAAGGTTAATATTGTAAATAAAATAGATATAAAAACTTTATTTCTAAACAAGCAATAAGCCTTACATAAAATATAATCAAGTATGGTCCACGAAATTCTCTAGGGAGAATTTGGCTCTTTTCTTTCTTTGTTTCATTTTGAACCACCGATGTATCATAAATTTGTAATTATATTCACAATCTTTTTGTATTTGGTTGGTTCAGTCTGGTTTTTTTCAGTATGGTTTGAAAGGTTTGGTCAAAATTAAATTTTCCGTTTTTAATTTGTCGGAGTTGTAAACATTTCATTTTACCTTGGTAAGGAATTTATAATGTTGCATTGGAAAGTTGCACTTTCATATACCTATGATTCTATGTTCATGGTGATCCCAACGTTTTTTATTTTACGGATGTGTGTTTTACTAAATATTAAATAAAAGATGACTTGGGATTTTATTTTATTTTATTTTTTTAATTTAAATTTGTTTTTCATTATTCCTTTATATTCATTTTCCTTTAGATGTTTTATATTTTTAAATATCGAACCTGGTGAGGGTTTAAAATCGATTCAAGAAAGCTCTAGACTTTAACCTTGTCGTTCAAGAGAGTCGGAGTAACCTTCTTCAAAGACTAAAACAGTAAAACTGTAGACATGTTTTGATAGTTAGATACCATTAAATATAGGTGTGTACTACTAAAATGGACGCGGAACAGGTAAAAACTGAGAAAAAGGAAAAATCCGAGTCGGACAACAAGGAAAAGCGGAAGGAATGCAGAAAAAGGCCGCACTCTCCCAAAAGGCGTGAAAGGGACGAAGGTAAACGCAGGGAACGGGACGAGGAATCCAGCCACTCGAGAAGAAAACACGAGAACGGCAGAGAAAGGAGAGACAGGCGTGAGAGGAGACCTAGGGAAAGACACTACGACATGGATGACTACAGGCCCAGGAGACGCGACGACGACAGGCGGGACAGAAGGGATGACAATTTCAAGAGGTACTGGGGTGACAAGGACAAAAAGGTAGACGAGACTGAACCAGAAATCGAAAGGAACTACCTAGTTGGTTCAAGGTACTACGCGGAGAATCCAGCGAGAGAAAAGAAAATGGCAAGTTCGAGCGGAGAGGACAAGGAAAACAAAAGCACGGAGAAGCCAGTGAATCCGTCAACTCTCATGACAAAAACTGGTGGAGCTTACATCCCTCCAGGAAAGCTCAGGCTTATGCAAGCAAACATTACCGACAAATCTAGGTAAATTGTTTATCTTAGACTATTTTTTCCTTACTTTTATTTTTTGCATGGCTTTTCTTTAGTTATAATAAACTAATCCCTTTATCCTAGCCAGCCAGTCATTGTTGATTTGGTCCGTTAGACCCTTTGTAATGATTATTTGGAGATTGTGAGATGCAGGCTTGTGTGATGTAAAAATCATTTTCTTTATTGTGCCAATGTTTTGATATTTATTTAGATCATCTTCAGGACTTTGGATTATACAAATACATTTAAGATGAGAAAATGAATTTGTACAATGATGCCACAATATAGAAATTTTATGGCTATTCACAGTATTTGTACTTTTCTAAACGTACATCACACAAGACCACATCTGATGATCTCCAAATAATCATTAATTAACGATCAGTAAATACTACACACAGTCTTTTTAATCTTACATTTTTGAGTGGTCATCCCCCCACCAATCATGTTTTGGGGTCCATCAAGAATCTGTAACGGACAGATGAAACTGCACTGAAAGAATCTGTACACATGAGATAGTCAGAGCCTCTTTTATTTCAAAACACCCCAAGCCTGATAGTGCTCAAAGGCTTGGTAGTAGAGTCTGTTGACCCTCGCGAGATGCATATTTTGGGCTGACACTCATAGAACACTCTTGAGCAGAGCAACACCTTGAATACCCCCAGGAGGGTTCCCTATCTGCTCCCCACCTGATGTGATTAGTACACTTAATCAATCTGGGTTTCTGGACAACTGGGTTTCAATTGCTCGAAAAAATCATTCGTACAACTAAATGTTGCCCAGGGCTTAAATAACCGTTAGGGTTGATAGCGGTCAGAAAAGAAAAAAACGCGACAATCACTTGAAAAACGCCGTTTTGGGTTAACCATTTCCATGAGATGAAACAAAGTGAGCCATCAGTTTGCATGAGACAAGCAAGCTGTTTATAATCACACCAACTCTGCAACAGCATTTGCTATCATGGCGATAATTTTTGTTGTACTTTTTTGTCTTTGTCCCATTTTGATGCTCATTTCCTTCCACGCATCCTCTCTCTTGTTCTTGTTATGATGAGTTTGAACTTCGACAGCTTCGATGTTCGATTGCCACTTAACTTTTTATTAAATATGAGGCAAGATTTTCACACATTAAAAGTCCTATTTGGATCTGAAATAACTCCTAACTTGAACTCTCAACTTTTTGAACAACAAATGTTTGGATGGTTCAAACTATATTAACATTGAATTGTGAGGCTGAGTCTTTATAACAATAGCAAGTCTGATTTTAAATTATATAAAATTAGGTCAGACAGCTTCAAATACATTAACCAAAATAGGAGTCTGACATTTTAAACGAATGATCTAAGATTCTATTGACATCTATGAGGTGATCTGTAGCTTCATCATTTCTGACATATCTTAGTCTGACGAACAAAACGAGCTGGAAGTAGTATGTCAATTTTACCCATTGGTAGTAATGAAATAGAGAACTACTGGTTTTTAAACCTAACATACCTTAAATGATCCTTATGATTATGTATCTTAAGTAAACTATATGGAAATATCTTGGATGAACACAAAGTATAAATTATTTATTTTTAAAATACATCACTCATTTGCTCTGTATATTTTCAATATTTATTCTTATATGAGGGTTTGCAACAGCAGAGGTCATATCAACCCTCGGGATGCTTCTAAAAAAAGCTCATTTGTAAGGGGGGGGGGGTTGAATGACGGGTTCAAATGCAGGGCCACTGGATTCAAATTCGGGACCTTTATCTTACAGTGGTGCCCAAACTGTTGTGGCCAATGACACCCCTTGATTTTCAATATTCAAAATATTTTCAATCAGCCCAACATTTGATTGTTCAACTAATTGATATCTGAAACTTTACAAGATCCCTCTACTCTTATTTGTTTCTCTTCGGCTTCACACCATCTTCAATGAGGAACAGACAAACCCATTAAAGTGACCATCAGTTCAACATACATTTACCAACATGCAGATCAACTTACACAACAATTTTTACTGCAAAAACTAATTTTCATTTTAGATTCTAGTTTTTTTTGTTTTTTTTTTTTAGTTGTGTATTTTTTTAGTTGTGTCCAGTATTAGTTAAGATTGATATTTTCAGTGCTGAGTATCAGAGGATTGCTTGGGAAGCATTGAAAAAGTCTATTCACGGACACATCAACAAAGTCAACACGTCGAACATTGGGATTGTTGCGAGACTTTTATTCAAAGAGAACATTATCCGTGGTAGGGGTTTGTTGACACGTTCCATCATCCAGGCACAAGCTGCATCGCCAACCTTCACCAATGTATATGCCTCGCTTGTTGCTATCATTAATTCAAAGGTATAACCTTTATTTATTTTTTAATTAATAAAAACTTTAATACTCAATTAAATACACACAATTTTTCGAAATGAAAAATTTTGTGTTACAGGCGGGATTCGAACCCACAACTTTCGGCTAATGTAGTGCAATCGTTAATAAAAAGTGTTTCTATATGAAGCCGCAATTTGCTTACAATTGGAATAAAATCGGGGAGTCAAAATGAGAAGTTTGTGCCATGGGCGATCGAAATCACAGTATCTCAAGTGGTAGAGCAGCGGCATATTTAGCCAAAAGTCGTGGGTTCGAATCCCGCCTGACACAAATTTTTCATTTTGAAAAAATTGTGTATAATTAATTGAGTATTTAAATAATTAAGTAGAAGCTGATAAAATAATTTAAAAAAATTATTGTTAATTTGGTGTGATTACAGTTTCCGAACATTGGTGAATTGCTGCTCAAGAGAGTTGTGATAAGGTTTAAAAGAGCATACAAACGGAATGATAAAACTGTCTGCTTAACATCTTCAACATTTATTGCTCATTTAATCAACCAGAGAGTGGTACTTTTTTAATTAAATAACTCTAAGTTAAATATCACGTAATATTTTGCTTATTGGAGTTTTTGGTTTTTTAGGCCCATGAAATTCTTGGACTTGAATTGCTAACACTTCTAGTCGAAAACCCGACAGACGATTCTGTTGAAGTGGCTGTTTCCTTTTTAAAAGAGGCTGGACAGAAACTTTCTGAAGTGACAAGCAAGGGTAGCAACGCCATATTTGACATGCTAAGAAATATTTTGCATGAAGGAAAATTAGATAAAAGGGTATGCGTCAAAACATATCCTTTAACGGATATTCCTTTAAAAAAAGTTTTAGTAAATATTTTTGTATTTTTCAGATACAATATATGATTGAAGTCATGTTTCAAGTGAGGAAAGATGAATTCCAATCTTTCCCCGCTATTATTGAAGAGCTCGATCTTGTTGATGAGGAAGATCAGTTCACGCATTTGATTTCTTTAGAAGACACCATGGACCAACAAGAAATGCTCAGTGAGTTCACCTTAAACTACCTTTAATTAAAAAAAAAAGAAAAAATCCTACTCGCACATCATTATTGTTATTAAATAATACATATTTTTCTCATCAGATGTGTTCAAATTGGATAATGATTATGAAATGAATGAAGACAAGTACAAATCATTAAGGAGTGAGATATTGGACTCGGATGGAGAAAGCTCATATGATGATGGTGAGGATGATTCATCTGAAAATAGTGATGATGAAGATGATGACGATAATGACGATGACGATGATCAAGGAGGTACTAATTCTCTTAAAATTATTCTTCAAAAAGCTGGTGTCTATTACCAACAAATAATAGAATAGTATTATTTTATGTCACATAAATGTTTCTCATTATTTATAACCGTTTATAATTTGTTTTGTAGAAAAGAAAATGACAATATTGGACAATACAGAAACAAACTTAATAGCCTTAAGAAAAACTATATATCTCACCATACAGTCGTCATTAGACTTTGAAGAATGCGCTCATAAACTGCTTAAAATGGAAATAAAACCAGGCCAGGAACAGGAGCTCTGTCATATGTTTCTAGACTGCTGTGCTGAGCAAAGGACGTACGAAAAATTCTTCGGCCTTCTTGCGCAAAGATTCTGTCAAGTCAATCAGATCTACGTCGCTCCTTTTGAACAGATTTTCAGCAACAGTTATTCGACCGTGCACCGGTTGGATACGAACAAGTTAAGGAATGTCGCCAAATTCTTTGCCCATTTGCTTTTTACTGATGCAATATCGTGGGCTGTTCTCTCGTTCATCAAGCTCAACGAGGAAGACACAACGAGTTCAAGTAGGATTTTCATTAAGATATTGTTTCAAGAGCTCTCCGAATATTTAGGCCTTGCAAATTTAAATACAAGATTGAAGGATCCGTAAGAAAAAATTCATATTAATAAAATTTACTATTTATTCTGTACTAATATTTATTCACATTTTAGAAGCCTGCAGTCATCAATGGAAGGTTTATTTCCAAGAGATAACCCTAAAAATACTAGATTTGCCATTAATTTCTTTACCTCTATTGGTCTTGGAGGACTAACGTAAGTAATATTGATAAACTGAAACCAATATACCACCGAAATAATAAAATATTTATTTATTTTTTATTGGTTTGACTTGTGCCTTTAGAGATGAACTGAGGGAGCACTTGAAAAGCCAGCCTAAGCCAGTACCTGTATCACAATTAGTGCAGGAAATATCGTCGTCAAGCAGTTCATCGTCGTCGGATTTAGACAGTTCTTCCGATTCGTCAAGCTCAGGTGATTTGTCCTTCTCGGCTTACAGCATGATCGTGCTTTATTTTTTACAACAATGAACTTTTTCAGAATCTGAGGAGGAAGTCAAGAAAAAGAAGAAAAAGAAACCATCAAAGAGTAAGAGTAAAGAGAGCGCTAAAAAGAAAACCACAAAGACTAAAAAACAGGTGAAAAAGAAAGATAAAAAGCAAAAGAAGAAGAAGAAAGACTAGAAAAAAGATTTAATGATCTTCGAGGATAAGAAAATATTGTAAAAAAATCATATAATGGAATTAATTAATTGTAAATAAATATTTTTTTTATATTTAACTTCACAAAATTGTTTCATTTCTGTAAGTAACTTAATATACTATTAAATAATCTTTTTATGTAAGGTATCGGTTGAAATGAACAAGTTAGTGTCATGAGCGGGATTTGAACCCACCCACCCAGCTGAAGGTGGGTGGGTTCGAATCCCTCTTGTGACTAACTTTTTCATATCAACCAATACCTTACATAAAAAGATTAATTAATTGGAAGTTATTTGGTCAATCGGACCACGAAATATAATGGATATTCTAATTTTTTTTTGTATATAAAGGTTCTTAATATAATTAATTAAATACATATTTCTTCATTAATATTTTATTATTTTTCCTGATTTTTTTACATAAATTTGATTTAAACGTAAAATCATAAAGATTATACAATTGAAGGTCAATATTCCATAAAAAGATAAAATAAAATAAAAACTTTCTTTTGTTTTACATAAAGTTAAGTTTAGAATATTGTAGAGAAATGAATTACAAAATCAAAATGACTTTTTGTTTCAGTCAGATTCACTGTCTGAACTTGTAGCGTCCAAACTACACGGTTTTTCCTTAATATCAATAACGTACCTTTGAGGAACCTTCAATGGTGGAGCATAACCACCGGGGTAAGATTTGTCAGTAAAAAGCACCTCGTAGTCGTCAGTAGTAGTCTCGGGAAGTTGGTTGACCAGAGCTTTGTAAAAACACGTCGTACGGGGAAAATGGGCCATGACTGAAAAATAAATTATCTATTTATTTTTATTCAGATGTTTCTAAAGATTAAAACAATACCCATAGATCCTTTGGGGAAAAGAGCGTTTGAATCTGTCGCTGGATTTGCCCTCATCAAGGGCAGTGGGATGACCCTTGATTTGCTCAAAGTGTGTCTCAACTTCTGCTCATCATCGATGTCATCAACCTAAAAAATAAATTCACTAATTTTCGTCTGCTTGACCAATCAACATCCCTCAACCAATCAAGGTTCCTAGTTGAGATAAAAAAGTCAATGTCACAAGCAGGACTCAAACCCACGACCCTCGGCCAGACATGTCGCCACTCCACCACCTGAGCTATCGTGACTTCGTGGGCTTAAAAATGGCAAAAAGGAGGGAAAATTCAAAAGGTGGGATTGAGATGGGAAGTGTCCGAATGGATTGAAGTCACGATAGCTCAGGTGGTGGAGTGGCAGCGTGTCTGGCCGAGGGTCGTGGGTTCGAATCCTGCTTGTGACATTGACTTTTGACATCTCAACTAGGAACCTTAATTGCTAAAAAATAAATTGTGAGCTATTTTGTTGAAAATTGCAAAATGATTAGCTCATTTCAGGTCATCCTAGTCTGTTTATCATCGCTGGTTTGGTCTATCAGATACATATTAGCAGTCTGTCAATTTGCAACAAGGCACAATTGACAAAACACGGTCTAAATTATTGAAGATTGAGTGTTAAAATGTCTCTGATAGGAGAAAAAAAAGAAAAAAAACACTAGCGTGTTTGTGGCAAAAATGAATGAGTTGGCCACCCTAACCACTTGGCCACTAAATATCAAAAAAAAAATAAATAGACCAGGATAATCAGGTACAATAATAAAATATGAAATTGTAATTTATTAGAAGTTTAATAAAAGGGATTATATAAAACATACTTACTCTTGGAATAATACAATAAAAAATTAATCGATCTTACCTCATATTTTTTCGTTGCACTGTTGTATGTCACAACTTCTGCAAGAATCCAATTATAGTCCTCTTCGCCTTCTTCAGCCTCAACGTTTTTAACCAGTGCAGCGACCATGTCTCCTGGCTGGAATCATTCAAAGAATCTCGAAATCTAATAAACATACTCATGTAAATAAATACCTTCGCAATGTACGATGGTTCTGCTGGTATTGCGCCACACAGAGGCGGCGGTTTCATACCGGGCTTTCCAACCCAGAGGGGAAGAGTCTGTGCAGAGATTTGCAATGACTTTAAGAGAGTGCCTTTGTGAAATATTTCCCTGTGTCCGCCATTTCTTGCCTAAAATAAAAAGTCAAAGTCATGTTTGATAAACAAAAAATAATTTACAAAACCTACTTGCAACCGCCTCTCATTACAGATTGTTCTAATTTCATTAATTGTCGTCAAAGCTTGTCTCAGCAACTCCTCTTCCTGCGTTGCATCTCTGATAGCATTGTGGTAAAGGTTTTTCAGTTTTTGCTAATGCAGAAAGATCTTTTAATATCCTCATGTTTTTCTTTTGTAAATCAATTTCAAAAATCTAACCTGATTGTATGATGTTAGCTTGCCCTCCTGTGTGATTTTATCCTGAGTTTTCGAAATTGTGTCAAGTGTTTTTTCACCTGTCTCTCTTTCCGCCTCGATGTCATGTAGTAGCGAATTTAGTGTCCGTAGCCTATCCTGAAATTTCTTTCAATCACTAAAGAATGATATAAAATAAGATACACACAAAAGCTATAAACTAAGTACCAGCACTTGTACAGCGGCATCTTCAAGAGAAAATGGCATGTTTGATTTACTGCGAAGCGACAAACCTTCCTGACAAAATTACGTAGTACCAGGAGCACATAACTATCAAAGCCAGCACCTGAAAGAAATAGGAAATAGTTTAATTGTCCAAGCTTTACATGTCATGTGTAATAAGTAATGCTAAAGAATAAAAAAAGAAAAACACTTCCATTTTCCAAATTTGCAGAGTAAAAACTTAAAAAAGTAAAAAGTAAATAAAAAGATAAAAGAATAATGACTCTGGTGAATCAAAGTCACTTTGTTCAACATCATGGTGCTAAAAATACAATAATTGCTTTTTTTTAATACAGCTTCTGGAATTGCAAGTAAATACCAACCAAAAATCATGAAAAATTAAAAGGAAATACCTACTCACACCATTCTCAAAATTCAGAAGCAGATATACTTCTGGAATCAATAACAGCGCCTTTTTTTTTAAATATTGTTAATTAGTCAGTATACTCAAGAATTAAAAGTAAATTTATTTTAAATCTCCAAAAATATAAATAAAACCCATCATACTCAATTGGTTACATCTAAAATTAAGGTTAGAGTAAGAATCACCTCTTTAAAACCTGCACACCTATTGTGCATCTCCATTTTTATCTGGAGCTCTTAATTAAGCTTACGGCTTCTTACCATATCCCAGATCTTTTTCAAGGAGGTAGTGTATATACATCAGGCCTGAGCTTTTCATTTTTCCCCCAGGTGTAGGAATCTCAGCCTACATAAGTTTTCGCACCAAAAGAGGACTTTTATAGTATGCTTCAATTAAAGCATACTATACATTATCAATCGTTTTACTAATAAATTAAGATTCGATTACTTTGTACTCAAATAATAATAAAATATACAATATTTTATAGTTTATTAAAATCTAATTTTTTAATAAAGTTTTCAAAATGAACTAGCAATTCTTCTTTTACAAATCTTATTTTGAGTGCAGGTCAGTTATTGCTACGACCACCATAGCCAGACTTTATTAAGGCAGCTCTTTTTTTTATTAAAATTTGCATGCTCAAACTGCACATGATCCCAATTTTGCTGAGAGTTATTATCACAATGCACAAACTAGCAATTCTTTTCCAAATCTTATTTTGAGTGAAAGTCAGTTGTTGATAACGGATAACCAGACTTTAAGGCAGCTCTTTTTTTTATATATATATATATTTTTTTTTATCAAACTTTTACACTTGATATAAATGATCCCAATTTTGCTGAGAATTATTATCATGATGGCAGACTGGGCTATTGATGATTTTGCATTTTCATTTTTCCAAGTCCTAAATATGCAGTAAATTGCCACTTGGCTTTTATAACTGTATCTTTTTTCCTTGCCTACATCATATTATTATCGGTTGATTTCGGTGCATCCAGGATTTCTAGTTGTTCTGTCTAATTGTTGCCTCTAGTCTATATGAATTTTCTGAAGATTTCTTTTTTCTCCGTACACCACAAAGGTATTCTACATTTTTGTCATGCTGCTGCTGTTTGTGTAGATAACCGATACCTTTCTATCTTTAACACAATTTCCTTAAGGACATGAGCTGGACGCAACCAATTTGAGGGGTGAACTGCTCTTTCAACTTCTATCTCTCTTTCATGTAATTTTCTAATTTATGTGTGGTGATTAGTGACTGTTAATAGATTATTATTCAGAAATCGTGAGATCTCTCAACACGACTCGCAAGAATGGCACAATTACACAGAAGACAAACACTTTGAGTGAGTAGAAATACTTTGATTAAATATAAAAAATATATTTTGCATTGTATAAATTCACTTTTCCACATCCTAAATGTATTTGGTAAATGAAAACAATGTTTGTAAATCCCAGGCCCTGAAGATGATCTCAATAAAGATCGAAACATTGGCACGATAAAGAAAATTTTTTCTGAAACCTACATCACACCAGACCGCATCTCACAATTTTCAAATAATTATTGTATGTCACATAATCACATAATATGTATATATAGGTTTGTGTTCTTTTTGTTAAATATCATTCAGTTAAAATTGGAAAATAGTTTGTAAGATGGTAACTTTCAAAACACATATAAGTCTTGAGAAGTCCAATTGAGTGCAAAATGTTCTGAACATTCGCAAATCGTGCCTATGTGGAATTCTGATATTTCTATTAATATTATTTACAGGTAAATGTGAATTAGTATAATCCAAGGACCTGTTAATATAATGATGAAAATTATGATTGCACACACACACAATTTTAGCCAATTAATTTCTAATTAAATTATAAATAAACATAAATTCTTCTTACAGAATCAACTACCAGAGATGGTCTTAGTCGCATGTCCTGTCCTTTAACCTGGCTTCGTCTAATGTTTTAATTAAATAAAAAAAATGTTCTTTCAAACGCTAAAATCACACCTTTTCAAAACAAAACAGTCGGTGTCCAACGTTCAAGTGGTAACCGTGGCTAAGGATTTGTGGACGATGCCATCCATCGATTTGAGCGTCGATTTGTTCAAGAGTCGTAACCTCGTTGAGAGGAGAACCTCATGAGTAAAAAACAAACGTAAAAATGCCGATTTTAGAAGAAAAGAGATTGAAAATAATATTTGTAAGTATTAAGCCTGCGTTGTCCTTATTAATTATTTCTGAAGTGCTTTATAATTTTAGCGTGCGATTTATGACACGGAACCAATTTTCTATTACTAATACAATTTTGGGCGGTAAATAATAATAATCATATTAATTTACAATTCAATTCTTTCTGCTTCATTTGGTCCAACGTTTGTTTATCATTATTTTAACTTTCATAATGACAAGTGTTATGGTGCATAGTTTGGTTTTTATGGTGTTACTGTAATGCAATATTTGATTAAATAATTTTGTTAATAATTACGTAAATCTATATATGCTCAGCGGTCATAATTGATCGTATTAAGTATTATTTTTACATAAGGTTTTGGTTGAGATGAAAAAGCTAGTGTCATGAGTGGGATTTGAACACGACCTTCGGCTCAATACTCCGCTGCTCTAACCTCTTGAGCTATCATGATTTCAATCCACTGGGACACCTTTCGAATTTTCCCTCTTTTTGCTATTTTTCAAATGTGAAATCAGGATTCATTTTCAGAGACTTATGAAGTGGCCACAGGGAGCTGTAAATGAAGTGATTACTTCTTCAATTATTGTTAACATTTAGTGATCATAATCGCCCATATTAATTATTTCAATTAATTATTCTATTTATATGTAAGGTTATGGTTGAGATGAAAAAGCTAGTGACACGAGTGCGATTCGAACCCACGATCTCTCTGCTGCTCTAACCTCTTGAGTATTGTGACTTCGATCTTCTCAGACACCAACCTCTCGTCTCAACCTACACCATTTCGAATTTTCCCTCTTTTTGCCATGTTCGTTAATAATGGTCAGAATTATCGTCTGTCACTCTTCAGCAGGTGGTCGGTTTGTGTTGACAAATACTACCACAGAGATGGTGCAATATGTCTGACATTCCAAGCTAGAACAAACAGCTAGAATATACAGACTAATATGAGCAGAAGTGATCAAACTTTGTAGGGAATGCTAAGGCCTTTGATGAACTTAACATCAAAAGAACTCAGTGGTTATACTTATTTAAGTATCAGTATGCCTCTGGTTTTGTATCACAGTTGGAAGATTGAAAGTTATTTTAAATTTAATTAATTTTTTTTCCAATCTGATCTTTTAGATCTGTTAAAAGTTTTAGTGTTGAGCAGTCAAAAAGCTGAACAAATTGATGAATTGATTGTAGGAAGGGATGATAAGGAAGCGTACTAAACACTCTTGAATAGCTTCAAAAGTTTTACAAATATTTTTGAATGACCCCTACAACTTTTTTTTAATTTTTGCCTAACCTTTCGGCATTAGCCTTATACCTTATTTCCCCCTTTCCCCATGAGACAGACGGAGTGCCACCGCGCCCCGTCCAAGGAGATATGGCCACTTATTTTTTCCCCCATCACCAACACAAACAACACCCAAAGACGACCCCCCCCCGGCCTTCAACGTTAATGCTTGATGGAATTGAAGAAAGAATATCAAAAGTGCTCAGTTTTCTTGGCTGAATCAAAGCAAGATATCTATAGTTTTTCAGCATCCATTTTAGACTTATACAATCTATGTAAAATGTATGGTAGTTGAATGTGCATAATCTGATGAGGCAGTCCTATGACAGTAAGCAATCTTAAATCCTTTGTTTCATTTGATTGTTCTAACAGACATGTTACTAAACCATCAGATTAGCAGCCCCTTTAGTTTCCAAGTTGGGGTCTGGCCTATACTGCCATAATTACCCTAAATAAACATCTTGTTTTGCAGACTGAAGATGATCTACCATATGAAGAGGAAATTTTACGAAATCCATATTCAATAAAACACTGGCTAAGGTATATTGAGTTTAAAAAAGATGCACCTAAGCATGGTGTGAACATAATTTATGAAAGAGCTTTGAAAGAACTCCCAGGAAGGTATTAAAATCCATAAAAATTACTATAAAAATGCATACTTTTGTTATAAATGTTTAATATTTAATTATACTTTTTTTACAGCTATAAATTATGGTACAATTATTTAAAATTGAGGAAAAAGCAGATTAAAGGACGTTGCATCACTGACCCTTGTTATGAACATCTCAACAACACGTTTGAAAGGGCTTTAGTTTATATGAATAAGGTAACATTTAAACTAAAATTAAATTTATTTTTTTATTATTACAAATGCGTCGTGTTTTGTAGATGCCAAGAATTTGGATGGACTATTGCCAGTTTATGGTCGACCAGTGTAAAATTACAAGAACACGGATTGTGTTCGACCGTGCGCTTAGGTCACTCCCAATAACACAACACAGGAGGATATGGCCTATTTACATCAAATTTTTAAAAAAGTACAACATTCCCGAGACAGCTGTGAGGGTCTTCCGGAGATATCTGAAAGTAACGGTTTTTATTTATTCAAATATATTTTTATAGTTTGATCATTTCAGTTAATCGTTTGGTTTTAGCTGTGCCCAGAGGATGCGGAAGAATATATAGATTATCTAATAAGTGTTGGCAGGCTTGATGAGGCATCGGTGAGACTTGCTGACATTGTCAATAGCGATGAATTTGTTTCTAAGCATGGGAAATCAAACCACCAACTTTGGACTGAACTTTGTGAACTTATTTCTAAAAATCCTCAAGATATGAAGTAAATATTATTTTATATGTTTAGGATGAGTACACGTTTTATATAATTTATATATAATTTTATGTAATTATCATATTTTTCTTATAGAACATTAAACGTAGATGCAATTATAAGAAGTGGACTTAAAAAATACACAGACCAGCTTGGTAGACTATGGAATTCTTTAGCTGATTACTATATCAGGAGTGGTTTATTTGAAAAGGTAATTAATCAAGTTACAATATTTTATTTTATTTTTAATTATATTGCTAAAGCAGTTTTTGAAAAATTCAAGGCACGTGATATTTATGAAGAAGCTATTCAGACAGTTACAACTGTTCGGGACTTCACCCAGGTGTTTGATGCTTATGCTCAATTTGAAGAGCTTTCACTTAGTAAAAAAATGGAAGAAGTTTCTGAAAAATTAGCCCCTTCAGAGGATGGTGAGTATTGTTTTATGTAATCCCTGACCACAATTTAATTCAATTTTAATTATTTAGATGACATTGAAATTGAGTTAAGGATGGCAAGGTTTGAAGACTTGATAGAAAGGCGGCTGCTTCTTCTCAACTCAGTCCTCTTGAGGCAAAATCCACACAATGTACACGAGTGGCTGAAAAGAGTTCAACTTTTCGAAGGGAAACCCCATGATGTATGTAACTTTTTTTCTTCTTTGGCTTAATATTTAAAATAATTTTGAATAATATGTCGGTTAGATTATAAACACATACACTGAAGCCGTTCAGACAGTAGATCCAAAACAAGCTGTCGGGAAGCCGCACACTCTGTGGGTAGCATTTGCAAAATTTTACGAAGAAAATGGCCAAATCGAAGATTCCAGGATCGTGATGGAGAAAGGGACACAAGTCGCTTATACAAAAGTTGATGATTTGGCATCTGTCTGGTGTGAATGGGCTGAAATGGAAATAAGAAACGAGTATGATGCCTTTATTAATGACATTGTTTGTAATAAGAAATAACAAATCTTTAAATTTTTAGCAATTATGAAGAAGCTTTAAAGTTACTCCAACGAGCCACAGTTATGCCTTCTAGAAAAGTTGACTACCACGATGAAACAGAAACTGTCCAGATGAGGCTTTATAAATCTCTAAAACTATGGTCTATGTATGCCGATTTAGAAGAAAGCTTTGGCACTTTTAAGGTAATAAAATTTAGCCTAAGTGAAATTGGTTTTCATAAATTAAACTAAATTAATTTTTCAGTCTTGCAAAGCGGTATATGATAGAATAATAGATTTGAAGATTGCAACACCACAAATCATTATCAATTATGGTATATTTCTAGAGGAGCAAAATTACTTCGAAGAAGCATTTAGGGTAAATACAATCTAAACTTTTTATTTGATGGTTATAATAATTATTTATAATTTAAGAAATACTCTTTAGATCTTAGAATTTCATTTAACAAAACCTAACCATGTACAATTTTAATTTTTAGGCATATGAAAAAGGAATTGCTTTGTTCAAGTGGCCGAATGTGTACGATATTTGGAACACATACCTTACAAAGTTTCTTGCAAGGTATGGAGGGAGCAAATTGGAAAGAACGAGGGATCTTTTTGAGCAATGTCTTGAAAACTGTCCTCCTAAATTTGCCAAAGGTATTTTTTCTGTCATTATTGATGGGTGAAGGTGTGGTTAATAGCAATATGATTTCCCTAGCTAGGACAAATTTATGACCAAATACTGATTTGTCCTCAGTTCGCTATATTAGGTTTTAATGACCATTACGAAGTAATTAAGATAAAAATTAATTGTTATATAAAAATGGGGATCTCTGTTTTGAATATTTTATTTGACTTCTCTGTGAAAATCAATGCTTGTCTGAAAGGACCAGGAAGACTGAAATAATTAGAAAGATGATATTAGTATATTTTTATATGTACCAGTTTGTCGTATACATTATTATTATTATTGTGGATACCAAGAATTGGAGGAGTTCCCCCTGAGCCCTCAGCATTACAGCTTATTGTACTACATCCTGGGACCTTGAAACAACACGTGTGAATTGAGCCTCAATGCTGGTGTTCTTGCATCAAAGAAATTCATTTTTGAAGGGTGTTGGAATTAAGATTTTTTCAGACAAAGAATTTCCAAATAGCTCGTGTTAAACTTGAGGGTAATAATAGAGAAACGTGTGAACTAAATTTCATTAAAAATTGTTCAGTAGTTACTGAGAAAATGTCCCTTTTAGGTTACTTCTTCCACCCCCCCACCCCCCAACCTTGTAAATACTACCCGCAACATTTTTTCCTGGCCCCCTCAAGCTACGGTTACTGTGGATCCGAATTCTGATGAAATTTTGTTCAGTTGAGTACATCTGAAATCCTTGTCAGAACAAGATGGTTACATTGTGCACATTTTCTGATAGTACCTTTCGCCTCTCAGCAAAATGGACAAACTTAATGAGTTTTATTTTCTTGAAAGTCTGTTGGTTAAGCTATTTTTGATAGATGGTGGGAAAACAGAGCATGTTAACCACTTATTTATAAATTATTATTATTTTGTTATGATAAATGAATATGAATTTTACGTTATGTTAAACTCAATTAATTAAGGTTTTAAGTTGAGATAAAAAAGTCAGTGTCATGAGCACCATTTATCGCTGAGAATCAAATAAGATTACACAACATTTGAGAAATGGCAAAAAGGGGGGAAAATTCAAAAGGTGCGGTTGAGATGGGAAGTTAGTGCCCGAGGGGATCGAGGTCACATTAGCTCAAGTGGTAGAGCAGCAGCGTATCAAGCCGAAGGTCGTGGGTTCGAACCCCGCTCGTGACACTGACTTTTTTACCTTAACTTAAAACCTTAATTAATTGAATGATATTATTTGGCCAAGCGGACCACGGAAAATAGTGAATTATGTTAAACATAACTCAACATAAACTATAAAATACAGTAAACTGTTTAATGCTCCTTTGTAGTAGAAGTAGGGAAATTTTTATAATAGTTAAAACAAAATAATTAGTTCACTTGCCTTCATTTGTTTGTTATGGAAGTTTTCTAGAGAATCAAATACAATAGATTAATATTGTTTTTAACATCACAATTAATTAAGGTTTTTAGTTGAGATGAAAAAAAGTTAATGGCACGAGCGGGATTCGAACCCACGATCTTCGGCTAGATACGCTGCTGCTCTACCACTTGAGCTATCGTGACCTCAATCCACTCAGACATCAACTTCCTATCTCAACCCCACCTTATGAGTTTTCCCTCCTTTTTGCCATTTTTCAAATGTCGTGGTTGTTCAAATGGCAAAAAGGATGTAGAGCAGCGCCGTATCTAGCCGAAGATCGTGGGTTCGAATCCCGCTCGTGCCATTAACTTTTTTTCATCTCAACTAAAAACCTTAATTAATTGTAATGTATCAATTGGTCAAGCGGACCACGAAATTAGTGAATTTAATGTTTTTAACTTTTTTTGGAGGGGGAGGGTTATACAAAATACCCAAACCTAAAAATTTGGAATTTTTACTGAGTAACGTTTTGACCGCGTTGTTTTAGATACTAAACCTGAAGTGAAGACGAGTCTTTCGTTATGGTATAGCTCAGTCCAAATAAGTCCCAGATACCGATTGCGTTTTTTTTCCCAACAATTAATTTTTGAAAAGATAGTTTCAGTTTAAATTGCATGCCTATGATTGATAAATTTCATCAGGCTGATTAATACAAATAAATTTGTAAAAAATGACCACAGTTTGGGAAGCACCAGTCTGGGAATCAAATATTATTGGTTAATCAGGTTTTCAACTTTTTTTTGGGGGGGGGGGAGGTTGTACAAAATACCCAAGCCTAAAAATTTGGAATCATGTTATGTGTTATATCATGAAAAATACAATGGATTAAACAGATTTCCTGAGTAGCCGTTATGATCACGGCGTTAAGATACTAAACCCGAAGTGAAGACGAGTCTTGCGTTATGGTATAACTCAGTCAAAATAAGCCCCAGATACGGTTTTTTTTTTTTTTCTTTTTAAATAGCAATTGTAAACCCCACCAGCAGATCTCGTAGCTTTACAATCTGTTTTTACTACTTACGTGCTAAATTCAAAACTACACAAATTGTGAATACAATGAAACATTACCTCAAGCTTAAAATGGTATTTTTTATTATATATTTTACTGATGAAAACCATTGTAGGTTAAATTTAGTCCAATTAAAATGAAGCGGACATTTCAGTAATGTTTGACTTAAGTTTGGTACAAAGGGCAAAGGTAAAGCTGAGGATTTTCACATGGATGTATTCTGGATCAGGCCGACAACTGTGACATTGCTTCTACTCCCCGAGGCCGTTTCACCTCAACTCCACACGCACATTCAAATGGCACAAGCTTTTTTTTCAACCTTCTTATATCAACTTCCTAATTAGCCTTTTGTATTATTAAAAATTTCGCTTTTATCAATTTTCATTATGTGGGATTTTTAACAATTAATTCCTGAGATTGTTTCATTTTTAATTAAATTTCTATGATTGATATAATTTCATCAGGCTGATTAATACAAATAAATCAAAATCATATTGAATACATTGTTATGTGCTAAAACACAAATCACACAATACTACTAGTAGTAATACAACAAAAAATTTCCCACATTTTTTAAACTATGAACATATCTGAAATAACAAATTATCACTTCTCAAAACAAAACATAAATATGTAAGATTGTAAAGTTTAAAATTCTGTTGTCAACTACTCATTGGATGTTGCGGACAAGGTATCAAACTACTTTACAATACATTTTACATACTATAATCAATTAAAAAGCCATTCTAACCCAGAACTGGTAGCATCCTTACCAAGCCCTAACCACTCAGCCACTGTGGCCCCTTAACTGTTTTAATTGAGTAAATGTTAAAAGATCAAATGGATTTTTTTCTACTGTTGAGGTTATCCCGCATCTAATATCTTGGAGATGGTCAACTGTGTTATACCATTGTTAACATAATTATTCTGTCTAGCTCTGTTCCTTTTATATGCGAAACTGGAAGAGGAACATGGTTTGGCAAGGCATGCAATGGCTGTTTACGAAAGGGCCACATCAGCTGTCCTCCCCGAAGAAATGTTTGAGGTATGTTTTTGTGACCAAGTTGTTTACTTAAGGATAATTATTAACTTGAACTAATATTTCTGTGACAAATTTAGGTTTTTAACATTTACATTAAAAAAGCAGCTGAAATATATGGTATACCTAAGACAAGGCAGATTTATGAAAAGGCTATTGAAGTGCTCACTGAACAAAATGCTAGAGAGATGTGCCTCAGATTTGCAGAAATGGAAACAAAATTAGGTGAAATAGACAGGGCAAGAGCCATTTATGCTCACTGCAGTCAGATGTGTGACCCTAGGGTAATTTTAACAAACTAGTTTATTTTTAATTGTGTGTTTAATATGATTAAATAATTTTTTATTCAGGTTACAAGTGGTTTCTGGCAGACCTGGAAGGATTTCGAAGTGCGACATGGCAATGAAGACACAATGAGGGAGATGCTGAGGATAAAACGAAGTGTCCAAGCAACATACAACACACAAGTCAACATGATGTCAGCCCAGATGCTGTCTGCTGCTAGCAATATGTCAGGGACAGTATCAGACCTCGCACCAGGCGCGAAAGATGACATGAGGCTTTTAGAGGCCAAGGCCGCAGAAATGGCCGAGGGCAGAGGCCAACCGTCAAATCTCAGCTCAGGAATCATGTTTGTCCGAGGTGAAACCCAAGTACAAACTAAAGGAGGTATTGCGCTTCAAAATGAAAAGAAAACCAACCCCGAGGAAGTGGACATTTCTTCCGCTCTCGAATCAAGTGATGAGGAAGGCGCTAACGAAGACGATAGAGGAGATGGTAATGCTTAAATTTATATGTTTATTTTAAAGAGCGTGTCATTGTTTTGTTGTTGTTTTTTTGTTCACAGATGATCTTCCTATTCAAAAGCAAATCATCCCTGATGAAGTTTTTGGAAGCTTGAAACCTAAAGATGAAGACAGTGATTAATATTAATTTTCATGTAATTTTAATAAATGGTATTTAATTTTTTAAAGACTTTTTTATTTATACTGTAGCTTTGTTTCAGTTATAAGTTGAAGGAACAAATTTAATTTTTTAAAGATATTTAACATAACAGAAAAGTTGACAATTAAGTTATATTCTTAAACCTACATAGTTTTTACATAAATAATTACAGAATGTATTTCTTTAGCGTTTCTTATTGCTACCACCACCACCACCAGCAAGCATAGCAGCAATTCTTATGAAAATGTTGATTGTGTCTAAGTAGATTCCAATCGACCTGCAATAAAATTATATTATTAGATAAGTGTAATAACAACAACATTAAAAAAGTTGTAAATCATTACATATTAATTGGATCATAAAGTCTTCCTGGAGATTCTCTAAATGTTTCAGCAGTGTGAACAATCCTTTGTGTGTCGTATAACATCAATCCAGACATGACTAAAAGTCCTCCGTAGAGACTAATGGAGTATAAACTTGCACCAAGAAGACCAGTGGGTGGTAAGAAATAGCTTCCTTTAAAAAAATAAATAAATAAATAAACCTTTATTTTTGTTAATTATGTATTTTATATGAAAAATTACCAATTGATGATGCGATTACGACACCAAGCCCCATAGCAAGTGGGCCACCCATATAGAGAAATTTATCACTCGGCGCACACGCTGCAACAGCAGATAATCCACCAACTACTCCAGCTGTCAGCCTAGTTTGATTAGATTGTTATTACAAATATTTTTTAAATTATATTTAAAAATCAATTACCAAGCAGCACGAAGTAGGATCGGTCCACCAAGAAGGCAGATTGGAGCAATCATTGCACCAACTACGGATGTGTGAAGTACCCAAGCCGCTTGTTTTATACCTATACCAGGTGAGTAAGGGATTCTCCGACAAATTTCACCACTGCCAATCATTGCGGCAAGCGACACAACTAATGCAATTACACCATTTCTAGTTACTAAATTCATAATAACAGGAGATCTAAATGCCATAGCAGCGGCTGTGCTAGTGAAAAGGAGTGATCCACCGAAATACATGTATGTAGACTGTACTCTTTCCTTGACATATTCAGGCCATACCCTAAGCATAAAATTCAGAGTAAGGTTTAACAACACTACAAAAGTAAATAGTATATTATTTATAGTAATAATTGTAAAAAAAAATGTGTTTACATTGAATGGTCGATAAAGCCAGGTTTATTGCCAAGCCCGACTCCATAGTAACACAAAGCTCCTATTCCACAAACACCTCCTCCGATTAAGGCTGCTTTACCGATAGCAAAAGCTAAAACAAAATTTATATTGTTAGTGGAGTTCTGTACATGTATGTTGATGAATTTTTGGAGAGGGGTCAAAAATTTCAGAGGCGGACAAATGACCACGGAGTATGCAAACCATTTGGCTACTGTGTCCTTGTTAATTATGAATGGAAACTAATTAACTTATACTTGCTTAAATAACACTGCCCAACTATGAAGAAAAATGTACATAATTAAATCAAGTAGTCAGGCTTCGGATGAAATCCTTGGCTTAAGTCGATTTTAGATCATACTTTCCTTTCAATTGTTTCTAGTGTTAGATTGTGAGTGGGAATCTAATATTATTGCTATTAATGATCATGTTTATTAGTAATAATCCCCCTGAGGCCTGCAGCTGAAATATATAGCTTATTGTCCTTCCTTCCTGGCTCTATTTTTGGGAGCTTGCAATGCATGTGTGAATTTGAGCCCCGGTGTGCCGGTGTTCTTCCATTGAAGAAACTAATTTTTGAAGGGGGTTACGGGACTAAATTCAGGGTCTGAGATCTGATCCTACCCCAGACCTTCTATTGACGAGTGCCATATCAATTTTTTTTCATTTGTAGCCAAAGGTCCCCATAGGCGTCAGAAAAAATCCAGAGGTGACAGTGAGTGGGAATTGAACCCACGACCACGAGAACAACTAGCCGAGACGCCTACACCTCCGCAGTCCCCGCTTGTTCCATTAATGAGAGTTGAGACCTTATTGATGAGTCTGAAATAAGCAAGTTAAGACCCTGCTTTATACATCTCATTGGCTCCTCTGTGAAAGGCGAGACCATTTTTGAAGCAGTGGTGACAGCTAGTAGAAAGTTTGTCACCACAAGACTAATAGTAAAATGACAAAATGCATCAGACAAACGAAGATGATCAACAGTTTGTCACCTAGCAGACATTGCAATATTTCACAATAATTTGTAAACTTGTGAAAATTGTGCTAGTCTTTTGTCGGAAGATATTTTTTGTTGGTAATTACACCAAAAATGTATTGTCAAAGCCATCTATATAACTTTTGACAGTATTGACCAATATGACAATATATGATCATATGTTGTACTTGTACAAAATGAATAATTTGCACTGTAACTTTTTCTTACGTGTATCTGTAGTTCCTGTTTCAGCTTCTGCCTTAGTCGCCTTCCAGTCGATAGTCCTCCTCCTCCTAGACCTCACATCCTGGCTGTAATTCCTCAACTGAAATTTCTGTGTCCTAAAAGGATTCTGCCTTGGCACGAACTCGGCCAATTTCGCCGATGGCGAGACGCACTTAAAAAGCCTTGCTGCCAGCATTTTTTCGTGTCCGACTCTGTTAAGAATTTGACGACAAATTTAGACTGCAATTTCCATCACCTGCGAATCACGCTGTGGCAAACGGTTCGAACACATTAGTCAACGTTGTGCAACGATTGAAACTACGATAGACTAAATCGATAACTGATGATAAACAGTCAATAATCAACATCTGTTGATAACATATAATATAAATTAAAATATACCCACTTTTAATCTTGTCTTCCTACTTGAACAAACAAAACAGAATTCAAACCCACATAAAATAACCTACATAGTACGTGAATACCTGGTACTCAACATGGACGCAACTACATTAATCGATATCGACTGGAACCTCTAATCAGTGATTCTCCAAAATAAAGAATTTTTTCTTCATAAAATTTGTTTATTTTAATTAAATGTATAAAAACAGTTATTCAGATGTATTTTCTTTTACAAGAACTATTTATTAAAATGCAAAAATTGAAATCAAAATGTTTCAACGCAATCGTATTTCATTTAAGGTTAATTTGAATTATATTTAAAAAAATATATATTCACCAACAAAGACAAACGGTATTACAGTGATATTGTAACTATATATTTTGATTTAAACTTTAAAAAAAAGTTTAGTTCTTATAAGAAGTAAGACCCTATAAATCTCTACATTTCCCAATTATTACTGGGTGGTGAGAAACAAAATTTTAACTTAATTTTTGTTAGTAATTCAAAACTCGAAAAAAAAATCTCGATTCTGGTTTGGTTGACATTCAAGTATCAAGAACAAAAAGCATAATTCTGCCTTCTGTAAGGTTATTTTATCACTTGTGATAAAATCTTTGCCAGGCTGTCGTAATGCATTGGGAGTAAGATTTCTTACAGGCGGATCTCAGTGACCGATACGAAAATCTCGAAGAGCTGGAGTGATGTACGAATATCCTAACAATAAATCCGGGTCCAGGATAAAGGACTGGAACTCCGCCCCGGATGCTGTCATCCTCGAAATCCTGGGCTACCTCTTGCCTTGGGACGTCCTCCGAGCTGGGCAGACTTGCAGGAACTGGAACCGACTATCGTATGATGAACTGTTATGGAAGTATATGCTTATTCGTCATTTTCATATCGACTCAAGCTCACAAATCGGTCCTGGTACGATTCATTTTGCAGTTTTTGCAACATCATTCAAAATGTGGAATATACGCTGAGTTTACAGTTTTGTGAATGTGAACAAAACATCGATGAACTCTGATATGCGAGTCTTATTAAGAAAATATGCATGTTTCAGCTTTAAGTGGGCCCAGGCTAGAAACAACAGCAATGCAACACTAATGCACAACTCAACATTGTAATACAGAAGAACATCAACATGCAACAAATCAGTTCTTATTCAAGACAAGTGCATGTGTGACTACTAGTGAAGGATCAAATTATACTGTTGCAGAGTCTTCCATGCAAAGACAAAACATTCAATTGGTGGCATATTCAGTTTAAAATAATGCCCTGTTCAGACAAGCTAGAAAGATGTACAATGCTACCATGGTATCTTGTCTGATGCTGAAAAACCAACAAGTAATGGGGTGCTTCTATGTCCACTATGTTGCTGCTACAAATATTAATATACAAGACAAGGGAGGGTGTCACGTTTTAGTACGTTGTAACCTGTCAACCACCCTTTAAGTTTTTCTATAACTTTCAAGTACACTATTTAACAAGATGCCTTGATTATGGAGCATCAATGTGAGAAACATTTACCTGTAGCTTGAACACCTTTGATCATCGTGATTTGTGAAAGGAGTAGGTATGTTCATGTCACATAGACATTGCCAAAACACCCATTCAGTTTTAACAAACTTATAGAAGGACATGATTGACAAAAAAAAACAGCCAACATGCATCCAGTTGTTCCTGCAGCTCTGTGGTGTGTAGATGGTAGAAATGTATTCGTTTTGGGTGAATCAAGATGGATACTCTGCCTATCTTGCCTGCATTGACTCACTGAGCACAATTGTGGCTATACATGACAGTCTGTAGAAAGCGTTCACGGGTTGGATAAGCATAGAAGCTCATGAGGAGCAAGGTTGCTAGGTGGCCCTCAGAGAATTGGAATTCTACAAGTGTGATCATTCTCACTAGGGCTTAGAATAGGCCATATACTATTGACACATACACATACACACACACACACACACACACACACAAAATCTTACTTTTAAGCCTGTCATGGATGCTTGATGTGTCATGTGAGAGTGAGTAGGAATGCCATATGATATGAGAATTTGGTCTGAGTGAGGCAGCAAGCCCTGTTGAAACAGGGTACAGGCCTACCAAAAATGTTAAATTGCTGAAATTTTCTTAAGGTGGCTCCAGAGAATCGGGATTTGCCGAATGCCAATTAAAAGTTCGCTGAATCCCGATTATTGGATATGGGTGCTCGGTTATACACCGAGCGACAATATTCGGTGCTTGCCTTGCTTGGGTAATTGTCGGTTTTCTTGTGTGCTTCAAAGTGCACAAATATTCATGAAGTAACTGAATAAAAAGCATCCACATATTTGGGAACTGTATTGTATGTATATCAACTGTAATCATCAATGAAAAGTAATTATTTTTGTTAATAAATTATTCCTGATGAGTATAGATGTATTAATGAAAGAACAACGTAGTGTTGTTTCTGTTGGTTAGGCATGGATTGACCCAACATGAGTCTTGGAGTTCCACAATCAGTACCAAGCTGAACCAATAATTTAGAACACTTCTCTTTTGAATCACAAAAATTGGAACTCTGAGTGTTTAGTGACTGAATTTGTAGCTACTGCACAAAACAGTAACCACAGCAATGACAGTTTTACTGTTGTCCATCACGATTGGTAGCAAGTTGAGGATTCTCAGGGCACTTGGCAAATATGTATTTGCTGTTTCCACACAAACTGGGTGGTTGTGTGAACCCCACATGTGTGTAACATAGGTCTATTTGGCGAATGCAAAGACGAGCATCTCGAGATTTGGCAAATGTTCAGCGAGGTGAAAATAATCTTACCACAATGATATGGGATAATCAAGCGACACAAACTGATTAGCCTTGAGAATTTACAAATTTTATTATAACTGACTGATTTTGCACTCATAAAACAAATTTCAGTCAGAAGGCTCAGCTTATTTTTAAAAGATATGATGTTGCAATTTTTTAAACCAAAATATTATGTATGTGTATTTATTTATTTGTCTTTCCGTAGGAAAAACATGGTATTCAGAGTACAGAAGACTTGTCTACGAAACTCCACTTATTTGTTCTGAAGTACTGCGGTCACATCGGAATGAAGTACTTCATGTCAGCTTTTCTCATGATGGAACCATGTTTGCTACTTGTTCAAAAGACAGCTCCATTATTGTAATTATCAATGGAATAAAGGATTTTAAGTAATTATTACCATTGACATTTTTCAGGTCTGGCATTCATCTCACCCAGTAAAAATGAAGTACAGGCATGATATGAAAATGTTCAGGTGGAAATATACACAACTTTCCCAGTTTAACAAGTCTGACACACTATTACTTGTCTCTGGTGTCCATTTCGGATCTACTGCCAGTCATTCAGGAGAAATTGCTGTGTTCTCGTTACAAGGTCAATTGAGAAACATGAAATGATTGTGTTTTATTAAAACGCAAAATTATTTTTTATAGATGGGTTCAATCTTCAGTGCAGAGTTGGTAATAAACCGTCTGACATATTCGGGACGTGGTACAGCGATAGTTATCTCATCTCAGGTGATTGGTACTCACTCGGCGGGATGGTAAGCACAACCGGGCTTTGGCTGAACAAAGCATCTCAGGTATGTCTGTATGAATTCTTGCCTTTATACATATTTTGAATAAAGTTACTCCGGCAGGAAACCGAATCTGAACAAACCCCAATTCTGAACAACCTTTTTCGCTTTTACAACACGAACGCAAGTTCAATTCACCTGATCACCATGGCAGATTGTAAAGAAGGCTGCAAGCTGGTACCTCTGCCTAAATTGAATCCTAACCCGAATTTGCATATTGAAGACTTGAACAATACTGTCATTAAACCATTACCATCAGAAGAAAGAAGGTATTTTTGTAAAAATAATTTATTAACAAACCTTAAATCTATTCTTATAAAAACATAGTTTTCATAGAAAATAAAATATCAAATTTGTAATATAACAGACACGTTATAGAGAAAAATTCATTTACTTCCTTAGGAAGAAAATTTCCAAGAAGTTTATTGTTTCTTATAGTTGTATTATTATAATTAATTAGAATCAACGATGAGGAAGAAAGTGATAGCGATACTGATGAAGGTAAAATAAATTGTGTTAAGCATATATTTTTAACCTTTTCATATTTAAGTAATTTCCTTGCTATGTATAGATGAGGAACTTTTGGATCAACCGGAGAAGTTGTTGATTTTCATCACTGGCTCTAAGACGTACATACCTCATCAAATTGGTATTTAAAATTGTTATCTTCAATTACATGTTTAAATTTAGTAGATGATGGGGTTTGGACTGCGAGTTGGCGATCTCATGTTGAACTGGCACACGGACACTACTGGGTCTGTCTTCACTCGCGGGAAGACCAGTAGTGCCCATGTGCCGGTTCAACATGAGTTCGCCAACTCGCAGACCAAACCCCACCATCTACTATAACACAGCCAGTCAGGCTACATTACTTAAAAGGTATGTACACAAAACTAACAAACTTCCCGTGAGTGAAGACAGACCCAGCAGTGCCCATGTGCCGGTTCAACATAAGTTTAAATTTGTTATTTGATATTATTCACATGCGCATATGTATACATTTATGTATGTACATTCATGTACAATTTCATGAAACAAATTAATGTGCAAAAGACTGAAACCCTTGGTGTACACATTTGTGGGGTTCTTGTTGGGGATAAGAAAGTCTTGACTGCATTAATATTTCATTAATTAACATATTTTTTATTATTTTATGATTGGTATGTTTTATGTAAATCAAGTAAAAACAAGAAAAAACAAAATAAATTAGCCCATTAAGTAAAATATTAATTGTAATCTAGAGGCAAGTTTTTGAATTCCTTAGCAGTACCACTCCTTGACTTTTTTTATTTTAAACTTGCTAAAGAAAAAAAAAATTATTAAAGCAAGATAGCACTTCTCTGTAAACTCGGTTTGCAATAGGCTTCAAATAAAGATGAGAGAATGACTGGAAATAAATCCATAATAATTAATTCCTTTAAAATAAAATGAGAAACGGCACACACCATTCTAATATTTTAAGTAATATTGTTGTAATCACATTGCTTGGATTTGAAGAACTGACTGGTAGATTTTCCAAGAAGCATTCAGCTTGCTGGAAGGTGAGCTCGCGAAGAAACCTCTACATGCTTTTTTAAACTTCCCCTAACTTCAACAGCAATTCATACTTGAATCTGAAAATTTATCAGTTTTCTAGCTAAATAAGCAATGAAAATTAAAAATTTCCATCGATTCACAACCAAGTGAACGTAATAGTTTATTTAGTCCTATAAGTTTAACAAAACTTATTGTGTTTTAGTCTTATTAATATTGTTTATGTATTATTTCATGTTGTTTTAATGAGTTTAAGAAAACAGAAAATAGAAACTTTACAGGTTTTAAAAAGATACCACGGGTGAATTTCCCTAAAGTGCTAAAACGAGGCTTGAGTGTCAAGGAGAGGTTAGCTAAGCAGAAAGAGAGATCAGCCACATCTCCAGGACCCAACTGGCAAGATTACAACAAAGTCTCTGATAAGTTTGATAGAATTGATCATGTCATGGATTTACATGGACACATTATCGGGATGTGCCTTTCGCCTGATCACAGGTGAACATTTTCACCAATAACACACTTACAATAAATAGTATACTCATGGATTTTTCCCACCAGATATTTGTACGTAAATTGTCGTTCCTGGCCCAAAGGCTATTTGATAACACATGCTCTTGAGCCCCCGCCGATTGCACAAGAAATCGACATCCATATCATCGACCTGGTCGAGCTGTGTGAAGTCAGCAAGATACTCGTATCGCACAAAGCACACACGCCCAACAATGAATGTCCTTATATTTATTTAGACGTCTCTGAAGAATATGTTGCAAGGTATTTGTATTTGTGCGCTGATTATTAAAACAAGTTTTGTGTGAGATTGAAAATATTGCATTTTGCTTTATATGTTTGAATTTTTTTGTTTATAAAGTTTTAAATAATATTTATATAAATATGAAAATTGATAGGATTTTAAGCATTAGCTCTTAAAAAATACTTCTTTTTACTTATTAGATTATTCTAATGTAATGAGTTATCAGCATTCAATATTATTATTTAGTTGTAAAACATCTAGTTTGATCACCTCTGATCCCTGATATATTTTCAGTTTTTTTTTTTTTTTTTTTTTTTTTTTTTCCTGTCAGGCATTTGTAAGAATTTCACCAACTTCAGTCTTTCAGTCTGTGTTATTTTCTCAATCATGGAAAAATAAATTTATTAAATTATAAGCAATAAATAAATAAAATTAGTGAATTAATTCTAATTTTACAAAGAATTTTGCACGCATACAGGAAATCATTGCCAGTGACACAACCATTAACGTCAAACAACTTATAGAACACAGTAAAAAAATCACACAAATCAACCTTTAAATATAGTGAAATGCCAACAGACAAAAGCATCGCGACTGGACAGAAGGATTACTAGGGCCAATTAAGCTTCAGGTCCACCACATCACAAAACTCAAAATAGTTTTGAAAAATTAATTTCATTGTTATGTTCATTGTTACATATAAAAATAAAATAAATTCAGCCTGCCAGGTAAAGTATCTGAAGTTAGTTTGCTTCTGATCATTTCAGACAGAAATGATTAAGCTAGTTTTTTTGTTTTTTTCCCCAGTGTTTGGAATTTGTTTAGTTAGTATTTAGTTTTTGTTGATAACAAAATTGTTTTGTTTTTCAAAATAATGTGTGGTAATGCTGTGGGATTGGTTTTTGGTGTCATAATTTTTCCAGTTATTGCGATGTAATTCCATTGTATTCAGCTGAAATATGAAATAATATGAAGTATTAATACTTTAAAATATGCAATGATATGAAGTAAACCAGTTTTTTTTTTACTATCATAGTAACTCAAAATATAGATAATTGAATGAAATAGATATTAAAACTTTTTTTTACGAGGATTCGCAACAGCAGAGGTCATAAACCTCAGGGTGCCGGTGTTTTAAAAAAAGCCCATTTGTAAGTATGTCGGGCTTGAATGCAGGGTCACTGGATTTGAACTCAGGACCTTTACCCTACAGTGATGAGCGCCGTGTCATTGTCCAAATTGTTGCGGCCACCGACGCCCCCCACAGCTTTTTATTATTGTTCATGTTGTTTAAATATTTTATGTTTTACTATCAGCCTCATATAATTTTTTTTTCTTAAGCCATGTTCACTGAAGTAGTCAGAGACAGAGGTGATAGTGCCAGAACCACAAGTCTGGTGATTGCTGCATGTAGGTAGAAGGAGCTTCTTCCTTTTTTTGTTATTTCCTTTTTCTTTTTTAATAAGAATTATTGCTGTTCCCTTTCTTGAAGATATGGATAAAAACCATATTTACATGTTTGGAACATCCACGTCCAAGACACCCTTGGTCCCTTTCATCCCACTGCCCAGAACGTCTGATGATCTTTCACCTCATTAAATATTAAATTGATTATTTTTATCACAATTAATTTATGGTTTCTTAACCTGAACAATATTTTGTAGTGGCGCAGAGAATAATCATGGTTACCTTTGGGATCGCAATTACAGTATTTGCCTGGCCAGAATGCCCCATGCTGACATAGTAAATTCTGTAGCTTTTAACCCCGTTGACTCAAGTATGCTGGTGACGACCTCAGATGACTTCGAAATAAAGGTTTGGAGATCCAAAGAGTTCCTCGATGAGCGGATCGGACGGAAAGAGAGGCATCAAATGCTTCATGCAACTCCAATTATTAAAAAGTGTTAATTCTCTTTTTTTATATTGTATAAACAAAATTTACAATAAATTATTTACTTTTTTATTTATTTTATATCTATACCTATTAATTTAATATATAAAAGGAATTGGAATGATTACAAGTAAGAGAGTGAACAAAATAATGTATTTTTTATATTCTAAATACAGTAAATTAAAAGGATCACCACTAGTTGTATACTTTTGATAATGACTCATTATGTAATGTTTGAAGAACTTACAATGATTTGATATAAAAAATTGTCTACAATTCGGAAAAAGAATACAACAGGCCTGCATATTTTCATTTGAACTTATTAATTTATAAAAAAAAATCGATATTCTTTTTGTTATACTAAAATATGGTGTAAAGATAATCATCATAACCAAAAACGACATTTACTGCACATACGTATTTTGTTGAGTTTTGATTACCTTAGTGCATTTAAAATATCCAGCTTGTTTAACTGGTAAATATCTTCTTTTTTTCATTAACTACACTAATTTAACATATATAAATAATTGGCAACTTTTCTTTGGTTCGTCGACTTCAGTCCAAGATGAATAAAACATAATAGGTTTGGAATGTTTATTAAATGGAATTATTTTAGTATTATTTTTTTTTAAATATCTATGTAAAAAGTTTAATTAAAGGAAAAAGAAATAAAGAAAATTAAGAAACGAGAGCAATGTGCGATTGTCTTAACATTAAGCTAAGTGAAATTAGTTTTTGCAATGCATCAATAAATTATCCCTGTTAGACACAAAATGAATCTCAAAGGTTTCAACATTGAATAATTTGTCATTTCGCTGTAGCAAAAACATTTCAAATAAACAAGTATACTACATAGTTTTTTTTCTACATACTTATTTTGGATTTTGCTTTTTAGAAAGAGACTGTGAATAAGAAGGCAAGGCAGTCTTAAGGCAGGAATAACTACTTCTTTTATAGGTCATAGTTATGTACAAACACCCACACACACTAATGTACTTCTTTCATCATAATTTAATAAAATTGTTTAAAAATTCTTATTTACAAAGTGTAAAAACGAGCACAAGGAGGATAATCATCCATTTTTTAAATATATTTTATTGGTTTTTTGAGCCCAATTTTATTCGTTTGAGTCAAGACTTGTTTTGACAATATTGTGATGTCAGAGGGTTTTCACAACTAGGATTGACGATCTTCTGTCCAATTTGAATTAAAACTTAATCTTAGGACTCGTGTAATTTTTATAATCATTCAATTAATTAGTAGATAGTCTTCATGCACTAAACAAGTTTTTCTTTCTTGACAAGAATTAAAATTGGTCAATTACTTTATGAACTACACTAGAAAATTGACACAGTATTGTGAAATTAATTTATGGACAAATTGTCAAAGCACCAAGCATAAAAACGATTTCTGAATAATATAAATCAAAATGGTTTACGACTATAATTTAAGAAGTATTAAATTTTTTCTTTTTTAAGTTAAACATAAACAGAAAACATTTATCAGTTTATTATATATGAAGTATTAATTTTCTACCTATATATCAAAATGTAAATGTAATCTGGATTAATCTACGGGCTAAAACTGACGTGAATCATTGACATAAACTATTTTTTTATTATTTTCACTCCAGAAAATGAACATAAAAATACATCTAGCACATACCAAAAACAAAACACCTTAGATCTTAATCAAACAATTAAAAATCTTTGTTTCAAAAATTATTTATGATAGTTACTGATACATTTAAAAAATAAATGTTAAAATAAAAGAAGTGATAGGGGAACATACTGCAGTTGGTTGTAAAATTGGAAATTGTATGAGGATGTTCTCTAACAGTAAAATTCTAAATGTGTTTATTTTATGTTATTGCTTTTTAAAATAATTACAGTGGCAAGAAATAAATAATAAATGACAGTCCAAGATAATAATAAAGTGTAATGAAATAAATCTTGGACATATACATTCATGTTTTGAAAAAAAGTTTTTTATGGTTGAAAACTACAAGTTTTGTTTCTTGTCGCATTTTTTGTAATATTTACTCATTTTTTGTGAATAATAATATTCTAATGCATAATGTTTCTTTTCATATTGCAGATAAATCAAATATCTTATTCAAAAAGTTTTAATTTAAATAAATTATTTTTAACAATTCACATTTTCAGTTGTGCATGGACAATTTTAATTTTAAAATGTATCAATGTTTTTAAAAATTTGTATTTTCTGTAAGACTTTTTAACTGCAGTGTATAACTTTTGGATTTTTTTACTCTTATATAAGTTTAATTCTCATTCTAATTACAATTTAATTTAACTAAATTCCTTTCTAATTTAAAAAATGGAGCTAAATATTAAGAATGACTCAACATGAACACAGCTACAAATTGCTTCTGTACTTTTCAATTTTCGTTTTTTTCTGTGTTGAATCCCAAATGATTTTGCCAAACAATACACAAAAACAAAACAAAAAATCTCAAATAATACAGTGAAAAACAGCATACTTTTTTTTCTCTTTTAATGTATTTGATAAGAAGAGTAGAAGTAAATAAGTATTTTGAAAATTGTATTTGTTTGACCCCTTAAATGATGTAAAATTTAGCACACATTTTTTAGGAATTACCTATAAACGGTGTAATATATCCTTGTCACAGCCTAGTGGTTCTGTTGTAGCAGCTTGCAAAAAATAAAACAATACATTTAAATTAAAATTATTATTATAATAATTGTTAAATTCAGATAATCATAATAATCAGACGGCATAAGTTCAGACCTCAGTCATCTCATATTGTGAGTCCACTTATATGTTGTGTTTTGTGTTATTGGTTCATTTACATTTTTTTCTTTTTTTAAGAAAAAGTGAAAACTATTTTATATGGTACATTCCAGTGCAGTTTCATTAAATGTTTTACCTTTCTAGAAGTCGCCTTTTGAGATCTGGTGGGTAAGTGACATAAATATAATGCTCATTTTGGCTGAGGTCATCAGCCACAGGGTAATATTCCTCTGAGTAGTGAGAGTGTCTTGCTGGAGATGAACTTGCAGTGACGCTTGTACTAGCAATGCTTGTATCATCAGAACTGAAAGGGGAATTCAATAAAAAATTATGCGTGTTCGAGGTATATTTTCAAACAAACGCACTCAAAAAGAACCCATATTATGTAGTAGCAAAGACAGATGAAAAGAGATAAGGCCATTACAAGGACAAATAGTAGCCCCCATGGGAATGGCCTCATCTCAACAGGAGAGTCTTCCCAGTATCGATCACAGGTAAGGTACCAACAAACAGCCTGATTCAATTCATCTTTAAAAAAAAAAAGTTTATTAGACAAACAAAGCAATTATTATGCATAACAATAATACTATAAATTACTTATATTGCTAGTAACTTATAGCTGAGTATTTTGTTTAAAAAACTTACTCTCAATATCTTTGAAATCCTGGGTCGAAAGATTTACCAAAAGACCTGCTATGCAATCTCTAACTAGGATCTGTGAGTAAAAGTAATAATAAGTAAAGAACCAAAAAAATGTTTTTTTTTTTCAAACTTACTTCACATCTTGTTTTTAGTTTGTGTAGGATCTCAGGTTTACAATTGGCTTTTAGCCTCTGCAATTCTGACACTCTATGTTTGTTTGGAGGGACAGCAGAGTCTACGAGGCTATCACAGGGATCAGAGCTGTTGTTAAAATCACTATCGCCCTGTGGGTTTTCAGAGCGCATACAGCTTCTCTCACTAGCACCATTGGTTGGGTTACCGTTGGGTGATGACTGTCTGAAGGCTGCGTTGTATGGTGTGACCCTCGCTAGGTCTCTCGGCCCAGCAGGGGACAGGGCAGTGTGGTATGAAGTCGCCTCCCTCCAGATTTCAATGTCTGTGTTTACGTGCATCCCTTCTCCTGGGATCGGTTCACTCATTATGTGTTTTCTAATTATGTCACATCTCATAATATCACAATAATCAGCCAGGCAAACAGCATCCTCGGCCATGTTGACTATATTTTTGTGCCTGTTGTCAAAGTGGATGTCCAAGTAGGCCTCTGAATAGAACGACTTCCCACACAGGCCACAAGTCCATTGTGAAGGCCTGTGCTGCTGCTTGGCCATCTGTTGTGGCCAGAAAATATCCCTTGAAGGATGGAAAGGACACTCGACGGGTATCTTCACCTGATACCTCTCTAGTACAGGTGTCCATTTCTGAAATAGTGATAAAAAAATTATATAAAATGAAAGCATAATAATATTAGTATTTACAACCTTTTGAATAATTCTTCTAACAACTGTGGCACTGTCACGAGGGCATGATATTTTGAAAATTGTAGGCCCAGGCCATGGTATTAATGATAGCACAAAAAGTGCAAGCACCTAGAAAAACCTCATATAAATATTGAAAATTTTCAATATAAATGCTATAATATTTTTACTGGGAAAACTAATAATTCATCTGAGATACAAAGTATAAAATAATAATAAATTTTTAAAAATTTGTTTTAAATTCATTTATTTATTTACATCTGCACTTAAATGAGCAACAGGCAAAAATGTTGAAATTATTAGTATATTGTGTGAACGGTGCAATTCAGTGATAGGAGATGTTAGTTCACCAACAGGGTGGAGATCACTTGACAACTATCCTTTACCGTGAAAGTTGAAATGTTTCTTTCCTATAGCAGTTACAGCACAATTGTTTGTTCATATACGTTAGAATATCAGTATACTTCAATTTTTTAAGTTTTGAATGTTTAAAGAGATGAGATAAACATATTTTTATATACTGAGGGAATCGGCATACTTTTGTTTGTAGTTTGTCTGTAGTTTTACAGAAAATTTTTAAATTTAATATTCTTTCAAATTTTACAGAATTTTTTTTTTAGACAACGACAGGACAAAAATAATAGTTGGCAGTAAGTTTGGTGTTTGCCAAAATGTGATTCTCACCTGGTCACAGGCTTAAAAGATAACAGGTGTGATGCATCTGTTGAAAGCAAATGAACCGCAGGTCAAATAGAAAGGCACAACCCCAATTTCAGGTATATTTTTGCCCCGGTAAAAAGAAAATTTAACAAAAAATAAAGTAAAAAATTATAAAATACATTTTAGATATGAAATTGTGTTTGACGATTACAAAAGTATTGTCGATTATGTGTTTACATCTGCATCATGTAAAGAATGTCTTTGATCAGACGGATGTCGACAACGTGTCGCACTTGTTTTTTTAAATATAAATCGATAAAAGATCAGGAGAAATAGTCATGATATGTACAAAAAAAATAAAAGAAACATTAAACTGAAAAAAAATATATATATTTGCACAAAAAAAGACAATAATTTATTGACTTAATTTTAAAAAACTAGGAAACCTATGTTCAACACTGCTTACTGAAGGGAAACTTCTGTTCTGTGGAGTTTATACAAAATATCCAAACTAAAACTGAATTTGGAAGTAAGTAATAAAAATAATGAAGTGAATAACACATTTCCCTGGGTAGTTGTTATTATCACGATGCAATAATACTCTGTATATAACACAATGTATATTAAATTGGTAGAATACAGATGTTGAACTTTTCCAACCGATTAATTTGTTTATTTGGGGTTATGGAATTCAATATAATACTTAACTATATTCAATACAACAACCAAGAAAAATGAGGAGCTGGAAAGAAGTTAAAATGATTTTTGGTTGTAGAAGCAGGCACACTTTGTGAGCGTCGTTGAACTTGAAGAATAAGTCTAATTTTCCAATAACCAATGGGATAAAGCAAAGTTTTCTAAGTAGCTTTGTTATGATATATGAATAGGAATCTTGCATTATGGTAAGTATAACTCAACACAAACTATAAAATACAGTAGAATGTTTAATGCTCCTTTATTATAGAAATAGGCCAATTTTTAAAATAGTTGGCTTTAAAATTGAATAATTAGTTCACTTTTCCTTTATTTGTTAAGGAAGTTATCTACAGAATCAAATATAATTGATTTATCAGGCTTTCAACTTTTTTGGGGTCGGGTTACAAAATACCCAAACTTGAAAATTTGGAGATATGTTATGATTATGAAAAATAAATGACGGATTAAACAATTTCCTGAGTAGCCGATATGATCACGGCGTAAAGATACTAAACCTGAAGTGAAGACGAGTCTTGCGTTATGGTATAACTCAGTCCAAATAAGCCCCAGACACCGATTGGGTTTTTTTTAAACAGCAGTTGTAAACCTCACCGGCGGATTTCGAAGCTTTACAATCTACTATTTACAACGTGCTAAATTCAAAACTACACAAATTGTGAATACAATGAAACATTACCTCAAGCTTAAAATGGTAAGTCCTCATTCATATTTTTTATTATACGTTTTACTGATGAAAACCATTGTAGGTTAAATTTGGTCCGATTAAAACGAATCGGACATTTCTGTAAAGTTCGACTTAAGTTCGGTACAAACGGCAAAAGTAAAGGTGAAGCTTTTCACATGGATGTATTCCGGATCAGGCCGACAACTGTGACATTGCTCTGAGTCATTGCTTCTGCTCCCCGAGGCCGTTTCACCCTCAGCCCCACAGACGCGCATTCGATCGGCGCAAGCAGTTTTTTCAACCCCTCTTATATCAACCTCCTAATTAGACTTTTGTATTATTAAAAAGCTAGCTTTTTATCAATTTTCATTAATTATGTGGGATTTTTTAACAATTAATTCTTGAAAAGATAGTTTCAGTTTTAATTGCATCGCTATGATTAATATACTTATAATTTCATCAGGTTGATTAATACACATAAACCAAAATCGTATTGAATACATTGTTATGTGCTAAAACACGCATAATCACATAGAACAACTGATTGTAATACGACGAAATTAAAGAAAACAGTTTCCCTCGTTTTTTTAAAGTCTGAACAAATATGAAATAACAAATTATCAGTTCTCTAAACAAATAGACAAATATGTAAGATTTTAAAATTTGTTGAAGTCGTGAGGAGCGGTCAAGAATGAGGTAGTTTAGAAAAAGACCTTTTTATTTTTTATCGACGTTTCGACCTTTATTCTTCTCTTCTTCTTCTCCAGGGCATAAAGTAAAGTGCAATTCTTGTGGTGTCATATTGGTTTTGTGTGAAAGTGTTGTCTGTAAGATTTTAAAATTTAAAATTCTGTTCTAGGCCAGAAATTTTTCAGAATAATGCACAATCCAAATAATGAACCATTATACTAAATACATATATATTTTTTTAATTGCTACCTGATATAAGTGGTTAAATTGTCTAAAATTAGCCTCCATAATTTTACTGTTAATTTGGAGGAAAAAATTGTAATTATCATCGCCGTATTATTGTGCTAAGAACGTATAAAACACACACAAATTTTCACAAAGCAAGCTACTAAAACGTATAAAATGTTATAATCAAAATTAGACTTTCTAAATTCAAATTGAACTCTTTCCGGCAAAATTAGATTTTCTAAAATCAACTCAAATATTTTCAAATCAAATTGGGCTTTTTCAACACCAAATTTGACTATTCCATAATCAAATTGAACTTTTTCCTAACAAATTTGCATTTTTTCCTAATCAAATTTAACTTTTTCCAAACTTTGAAAAGTAAATTAGACTAAAATAAAATTGAACTTTTTAGCAATCAAATTGGACTGTTTTTAATATGTAAAAAATACGTTTTTTTAAAAATCCAATTGAAATGTTTCCAACTAAAATTGGATTTTTCCAAATTCATTGAATTTTTCCTTACAAAACTAGTTCTAAAATTAAATCAAAATTTTTCAAAAACAAAATTGAATTTTGTCCAAAAAATATTGGACTTTTTACAAAACTCCAAGAAACACCTTAAATTATACCCAGCCAAAACTATTGCGGCCAACAACGACCCCAAAAGTTGTATTTGATTTTAGAACATATAATTTTATTAGTAAAGTTTAATTTGATTGATAAAAAGTTCAATTTGATTTTTTTTTAAGTTCGTTGTGATTATAAAAAGTATAATTTGGTTGTATAAAGCCCAATTTGATTTTGAAAAATTCAATTTTATTTAAGAATGTTAATTTCATTAGTGAAAGTTCAATTTGATTTATTAAAAAAAAGTCCACTTTGATTTAAAAAAGTATAATTTTATAGGAAAAAGTTCAATTTGATTTGATAAAAGTTCACTTTAATCAGAAAAAATTACAATATGGTTGCATAAAGTACAATTTGATTTATAAAAAATCTATTTGATTTATTTCAATAAGTTCATTTTGGTGTAGGAAAGACTAACTTTATTAGAAAAAGTTCAATTTAATCAGAAAAAAGTACAGTTTGGTTGCATAAAGACCAATTTGAATTAATTACAAAAAGTTCAATTTGATTTAAGTAAGTAACTTTATTTGATAAAATTCAATTTGATTTGATGAAAGGTCAATTTAATCAGAAAAATGTACAGTTTGATTGCATAAAGATCAATTTGATTTTAAAAAATTCAATGTGGTTTAAGAAAGTCTGATTTTATTAGAAAAAGTTCTTTATTTTTTTTTTGGGGGGGGGATTAGTAAAACCCTAATTTGATTTGGAAAAAATTCACTTGGTTTAGGAAGTCTAATTAAAAACTTCAATGCGATTTTCATTAAGTTTAGTTTAGTTTAAAAAGTCTAATTTTGTGTGGAAAAGTTTAATTTGAATTTGAAGAGGTTCAATTAAACCTAGGAAACCTATAAAAGCTTTATAAAATTTAATAAAATCTTTTTAAAAAATCTAAACTATACTATTTATTAAAAGTTAAATTTATATTTATTTAGCCAATAACAGCGATCTGATTATCAAGCTTTTCTCAATTCAACCCATTTAAACAATGCACCTACAATATTACAGTATCCTTTTAAACAATAAAAATAAACCAAAAGTTGTGTGTATAATGTGAAGTGCATTTTCTGTTGAATTAAATGTACTATTGAGATCAATCAATCATATTTAACATTGTGGAGAGAAAATAGCATATGCATGCAAACATTTGATGTGTTCAAATTGACGTAACTTTTTTTAACCGTTTTTTTTTTAGTACTACAATGACGCACTTGAGAAAGAGAGAGAGTGTGAGAGAGTGAGTGAGACGATCGTCTTGCCTGACGATTACTATCGAAGCATAGAGGATCTCAAATCGATTCCAATATTTCGACATTTCACTATTTTGTTTTCATGAAAAGTGAAAAAGTTATTTTATGTTATCTGTTAAGTTTTCAAAAGACAGTTTCGATTGTCGTATGTCGTAGGTTTAACTGCCCCCATTTATTCTGTGGAAAAATGTAAGAGATTAATAAAATTAGTTGTTATGTAAAACCGTTTTAAGACAAAACAAGAAGTAAAAATGCATGAAATTTGCATGGAGAAAATGAAAAGTTCCATTATGACCTACCTGTATCTAGCCCAACGTTAGATTTAAATCCTTCTTTTTGCCTCTATGGTTCATTTCCTTTATAGCTTTTTGATGTAGCCATTTGATAAAGTAGATGATGTTTTCAATGATCAGTTATGACAAGTAGAGGAAAGTACAATTTACCAAACAGTTTACATATTGTAAAAAGCCCTGTAAAGGTTCTCCTTGTTTCCAACCTTTCGGTTGGCATCGGAACGATGCGAGAACTTTGGTTGGATACAGGAACGCTGGTCAGCGTTCAAGTCCAGTACATTAAATCACCCATGGATGTTATGATTAAGATTGTCAATGAGGATGGCAAGTATGACATTTCTGAAAATGATATATGGCGCTGCTCGAAATCTGCTCTGATTCATGTGGATGAGAACTTATATCCGTTCATCCAGTCAGTGCCATCACCGCATGAAAAAGTACATTTGCTCTCGGACAAATCTCTATGTGAACAACTGGCTAACTTGAAGCTTGGTGACCGTGTTTATGTCGTTTTGGAAGATGACACACTTAACAATGCAGTCATCCTTTATAAAGGTACAATTCCTAAAAAAGGACCTGGAATCTATTTTGGAGTAGAACTCTTGGTATGACATTTTTTTTTAACTTAATTTGTCTTTTTCACTTTTACAAATTAGTTTATCACATTTTATAAAATTATCTTTTAAACAGTTATGATTTTCTTTGTTATGTGCACCTTTTAATCCAGTGGGAATTGGAAATAGATATAAAACAAGTTTATAATGTTACACTATCTCAAATAATTTTGTTCAAAATATAAACAATTACTAACAGTTTAATCAAGAATTTACAACAACAAAAATAGACATTCTTTGAGGAAAATTGTGTCGTCAAATACATAATAAATTTTAAAAATTCCCTTATAAATGTGATGTGTTAGCTGTTATATTAAAACTCTTCTGAACAATTTATTATTGATTAAAAATATATTTTCTTGTTACTTGCACACATACAATATTCTCAGCTTCAATGAACAGTTATTGACAAGGTTTGACCTGATTTCCAAGATGCTGAGGTGTATGTTGTGTATTTATTCCTTAAAATTCCAAATGAGTCACTTAATCAATTTAATGAACTAGTCATAAACTATATATTTATATCCTTTTTAACCATATAATCAATGGCCAAGCAATAAAAAAAAAAAATCATCCAGACATGATTTTTATTTTTATTACCTTTTATACTAATGCTTAACTTGTAACCCCTCCTAATTGATAATAAATGTTACCACTGTTCATTACTTTTGCATGTGCTTTAACTTATTACCTGCCACACCATTACAGGACTGCTGTTGATTTGATTATTGTGTTAATTTTTGCTTTTAAGTTGAAACTTTGAATGGTTTGCCCTATGCTTGCTTATCAAATTGTACTTACACCATATATCATACTTTTAAAATAATTACACATTTGTGAAATATTGTGTTGAAGTCTGAGAGATGATGAACCTGCAGTTTGTGGTGCATTCTCCTTGGTTTTGCCTGTTCCATTTCAGCATTTTGCCATATTCAGTGGTTGGTCTGTGTTTTATTTAGTCAACTTTATAAAATAATAAACTTATAAAAAGAAACAGTTGTCAAAATAACAAGAAGACTGATTGCAGAAGATGGCAAAATGAAACTGTTTTAGCTAGTTTTGCTCCCAGTCATGCTTCATGTATTTTAGTAAAAAGAAGTTTTGCTCAGGCAATGAGGCCAATTTTGCATTACTTTTAAAATATATTTTTCTGTTCAACACTATGCTGATTGAGGAATTGAATTCGTAATTATTTTAAATTAATTTCCAGACCACATTGAATTTTTTCAGACTAAAATGAACCTTTTCCAAATTTAATTGATTTGTTTTTAAATCACAATTGAAATGTTGAACACAATGAGGATCAAATTGAACTTTTTCAAAGTGACAATAAATTTTTTGAACTATTGAATCAAATTGAACTTTTTACATATATGTGGTGTTTAGTGACCATTAACCAATGATTATTTGGAGATCGTGAGGTGGAGTCTGGTGTGACGTAGGTTTTAGAAAAACATTTTCTTTATTATGCTATGAAAGCCTACATCACACCAGACTGCACCTGACGATCTCCAAATAATTTTTATAAATAATTTTTTTCCATCAAACTTTTTACAATTATATTGTGTACTTTCCAAATTAAATTGAACTTTTTTAGATCAAATTGAACTTTTTTCAAATCAAATTGAACTTTTTACAAATCAAATTGAATTTTTTCCAAGTCAAATTCCATTTTTTTAAAGATCAAATTGAACACTATCGAGATCAAATTAAACTTTTTCCAAATCAAATTACAGAAATTATCAAAATACAGGTTTATCACCACACTGACTTAAATAAGACTTAAAAAAAAAAAAAAAAAAAAGTGTTTAAGTGTTTCATACTCCTATTCACTAGTTAGCACAACAATTGATCACATAAATACACTACTGCCCAAAACAAAGTTTGAATAAAGCTAATGAATCAGCTAACTTTAATTAAATTTAACATTTTTTTAGAAAGTTAGTAGCTATTGGTGTTTTATATCATAATAAAACAACAAATATTAAACTACATTTGTAACAACAATTTAATGTTATTTTTACTATTTTATTATGTGACTAATATTATGCAGGTGTTTAACAATAACAATAACAATAACATCTGCAAAACATGTATACTGTTTGTAATGTAATATAAAGATGATCGGTGGTATATATTGAATAAAAGAACAGGTTCCCATTTAAAGTGGAATTTACCATTTTAAACTTTTGTCATTGATATCATTATTGAAATACTTTTATTTAAAACACAAAAACAAAAAAGTTATACGAATAACATTTTGAGGGGTAAATTCAAAATTATATGCAAATATAATGGCATGGCTATTGCTATCACTTCATTATCTTATATTTGCTTAAATATTAAGTTATCGAATTAAGAATTTTTACCATAAAATGAGGATCTAACAAAGAAAGCACCACTTATTTAAAAAAAAAAAATCATATTCATCATAATAATTTATGTGTAGAGATTAATGACCGTTAATCGATAGTTATTCAGATATCGTGAGATGCGGTCGGGATTATTCCAGGGATAATTTATTCCAATTAATTATTCTTTTTGTAAGGTAAGCTTTTATAAGGTTTTTAGTTGAGATGATATTAAATAATTAATTGGAGTAATTAATACGGTCAATTATGGCCACTCAGCAAATACGGATTAATATAATAATTTATTTTTTCTTTAACAACAATATTTTGTATATTATTTTTATACATTTTATTACATTGTAAGCATGCCTGCTTTATTGCCTTGCTTTTTTAAGCACATTAACTGAGGTGGGGTTTGATTTAGCTTTAAAACAAAAAAACCATTTTCGTTGTCATAATTTGATAATTTCACCCCAGGATGACTATTGCAAAGGGGACACAGATGGGGAATACAAAGGCACAAAGTATTTCCATTGCCCAAAAAATGCAGGACTTTTTGTAACCATAAGTCTGATGAGACCAGTCGAGAAGAAAATGTCCAAATCGACTTATACAACCCATACGCAGAATCAGAGTATGGACGAATGTTTGAATTAAATAATCTTATCACAATAAATCAAAGCTAAATATACATTTATGTTAATTTGTTTCTATTGTACGTAGACCAATTGTACTTTCAACCAGAGAATAAAAGGGACTATGAAAGGAGCAGTTATAAACTTAACAACCATGAGATCTATAGTACGGGGCGGGATAGGAGGACAGATAGTGAAAAAAGTCTGGGGACTATTGATAAAAAAGGAAAATACACCCAATATTTGGTAATATAATATAACTTGTCTCTATCCTTTTCAGTAATTGAACAAATGAAATAATGATACAATTTTAGGGGAATGACTCGTCAACACAAGTTCGTGAATCAGACCTAAGAAGAGATTATGGTAATAATGCCATTATTTTAATTAAATATGAGTTAGTGCTGATTTTTTTGTTTTTTTAGTTTTAAATTCTCCAACAGATAATGAAGATCTTATATTTTGGGATGAAAGCAAAGAAGATTACTTTAATAAAGCAAACCGCAACTTACTGTCTCCAGGTAAAAATTTCATTAGATGAGTTACAGAATGCCTCTGCTGTTTTTCTTTTGAGTTCATTACTCATGATAAAGCTTTGATGGCACCAAGAGATCTCGGTTATTTATAGTTTTCTATATTTAGGCGAACCTGTTCTATTTTTTCTTTGCAATGCACTCTTTACTTAGTAGTTGAAATTTATTTTGCACAATAAATTGTCATCCGTGCTCTGCCACAACTATTATCAAACACAACAGAAAAAAAATTATAATTTTTTTTGTTACTGTTCATTAAGGTGTGGGTTTTGATGTCGCATGTTTTTGTCCCTATTCTAATGTCGAGGTTTCGAGACTGTAATAGGAAAAATGTCAGATTGCTTTATCCCCCTCAGTGTATTAGAAATTGAAGAAAAGTATGCCCAGGAAGATTATTTCGATGAAGACCTGTTTTATGCAGATGATCAATGTAAGGTTCATTAGACTAGGAACAAAATTAATTTGTTTGGCCTACTAAAACGTTTACAGAGTAAATTTGTGTTTTTATGTTCTGTTCATTTAATTTCAAATTAAAGTTGCAAAGAAATTATGTTATTGAAATAGATGGTGGTAGCAACGGAAGTGAAGGAAATGGGTATTACGATATGTCAAGCTTTTCTGACCAAGATATTGCAGTGGGATCTGCCGTTGAGGTCATTTACAACGATGTACCTCACTACGGTGTGGTACAGTGGATTGGGATTCTAAAGGATGACCCAAAAAGAAAAATAAAAGCTGGAATTGAAATGGTAAAATATTGCAAGAAAAAAAAAATAATGGCCATGTTTTTGAAATAATTTTTATTGTGTTTTATTGCAGGATAAAGAGGATCCGGATTTTACAGATGGCAGTTACAATTTCATACAATATTTCCATTGTGCCCCGAACCGAGCGTTGTTCGTAGATATTAATCATTGTCAATTAGATTCTCGAATTTCTGAGTCAGTCCCTCCAGTTTCGAGAAAGAGTGAAGGTGGCATTTCAAAATGTATGTTATTGACTGGGAAAATGCATGTAAGTTTTTATCTTAGATTTTGGAGCCGTGGAGAGTCCGGTGGTGACAGGTTCGGTGTCACCGATTTCAAGGGAAGGAGACATAACACCTATTTGTGGGAAATACAAGGGAATCCAAGGACACCACAACTCCTGTTATCTCGATGCAACCCTGTTTAGCATGTTCACATTTACAAGGTTTAAATTGATTTGATATATTTCGGAAGATTTATTATGACCGTGGGCCTACTTTTGTATTTTACATGTTTAAATGTTTTTAGTGTCTTCGATAGTTTATTGTACCGACCAGCTGGGCCTACAGACATACCCCATTACGACCAAGTACAGAGAGTCCTTAGAGAAGAGATCGTCAATCCTCTTAGGAAAAATAATTTTGTTAGGGCAGACAGAGTGATGAAGCTGCGTAGGTTAATGGAACAATTGTCTTCCGTCTCCGGTCTTACCACTGAAGAAAAAGGTTCTATGTCACACAGTTAAAATTAAAATGTTTACAACAATAAACTTATTTTATTAACATAGATCCAGAGGAATTTTTGACATCTCTAGTCACACAGATTCTGAAAGCAGAGCCATATTTGAAACTTAGCTCTGGACAAGAAGCCTACCATTACCAACTATTTGTAGAGAAAAACGAAAAACTAGTACTACCTACAGTGCAACAACTATTTGAGCAAAGTTTTTACTCCAGTGATATTAAACTCAAAGAAGTAGGTTTATTTCAACTAGGATTAATCTTACAGTTCGTATATAAACAATATTCTAAATTTCAGGTTCCTGCTTGCCTTATTATTCAAATGCCAAGATTTGGGAAATCGTTTAAAATGTACCCTAGGATATTGCCTTCGCAATTGCTTGACGTCACTGATGTCATTGAAGATTGTATGCCATTTTAATATCTATATGTTAATTTTTCTAATTTATTTATTAATCGACTATACATGTACGGTGAAACCACTCACTTCTCTTAAAAGACATGACCACCTCTCTTAAAAGACAATTTTTACATTCCCTGGCAAAAAAAAAAAAGAAAAAAAAGAAGAAGAGATTTATATACATTTTAACTCCTATATGGTCTAAATGAACCATAGTGGTTGAAATCAAATAAATAAAATATAAATAAAACTATAACAGGACCCCTCCATACCAGTCAGGGAAATTGCTGCCATTCCCCATCAGAGTAATTCCCCCTCTAGAATGGAAATAAACAGTAAAAAAGTACAGTAAATATCCATATGAAAAATATTTTTTATTTTCATTTGGAAGTTCCATTCCTTCTCTCATTTCCCTCTTCATTTGAATTGCTTGGTAGTCCATTTTTGGTAATTACATAAGTACATTTTCGGAAGCTTCTCTTTCATGAAGGAATAAATTGTTCACAGTTAATGAGTTTTTGTTTTTTTCCCCTATTTTTTCTGGAAACTGTTTTGTCTTTATACATTCAGTTTCTTCTTCAAAATGCTCTCTTTCACGAAGCAACTAAAAATTCTCGCCCTTCCGTACTAACAAGGTTGACTACGATTGGGGGAAATTAAAATTGCCTTTTTTTTCGATCTGTAATTAGCCAAATGGGCATACCTTGGTTCTCAAGTCTCACCTGTATTTTGCATCATGCAGCTTACAGAAAATTAATAGAGCTTTTTTTGTTCATTTATAAGTTAAGTAAAAGATGAAAAATGGTTTGCCATGGTGAATGAATAAAGAATGCAACATGATGAAGAAATGTCTTTATCAATTGTTATAAACATAATAAAATTGATTTTTAAATTTTTTTTTGGTTATTAAAATAAATTTTTATTTGCTAATAAGATTCATTATAGTATATAAAATATGTATTATGTTCAACATGTTTTACTTGATTTAAAAAATCAATGTTAAAACCCTCCTGAATGATCATCCCTCAATAATGGACAAAAACACTTATTTTTTGCCTGTTATTACAGTGCATCCTAATAATTAAAAAAACAACTTTTTTACATCTAATTAAATTTGTAATATCCTTGGCTTTTTTTTTAAATTTCTACGTTTATTTATTATTCATATTAAGTTTATATTTGTATAATGCCAAAAATTCTTTACTTCAAAAATTAATTTACCTTTAAACTACAGCCTAAATATTTGGGTATCATTCATCACAGTTTAATGGCACAAATATAGACTCTAAATCTATACTAATTGTACACATTTACCAGAACCAGTTGAAAGTCACAGCATGTGAAATTGTCTTTGCTATTAAAATTTCTATTAAACCACTGTTCATGACCAGCAGTAAAGATAATCCATATAAATTAACTATATGTTAAGGTAATTTACCACTATGTACTAATCTCTATATTAATTGCAGCACCACGGCAGTGTAGTGTTTGTGGAAATTTGGCAGTGTTTGAATGTAGGAATTGTTTTGACGAAGGACATAGTTCAGAAGTTGGACTGCAAAATACTGCATTTTGTGGCACTTGCCTCAAGAAAGTATGTTTTTACTTTATTATTCATTAGCATTTGTGATATAAATAAATTTTCAGGTGCATGCACACTGCAAACGAACACATCACAGTTATCGGCGCATCAGCCGGCCTGATGATTATATCATACACGGTGTTATACCTAGGTTATATATGGAATTGTTTGCAGTAGTGTGCATCGAGACGTCTCATTATGTCACATTCGTCAAATGTGGCGATGGTTCAGATGCGCCTTGGTGTTTCTTTGATTCTATGGCTGATAGAAAAGGTAAACGATCATTTATGACTTATAACGTTTATAAATGGTACACTTTTGATATCAGGTGAACAAAATGGCTACAACATCCCTGAAGTCGTCCCGTGTCCTGACCTCCCGCAGTGGCTTTCTGAGAAGGGTGCACAGGCCCTTCAACAAATCAAAGACGATCGCCAGCTTCCAGAACATGCAAAACGGTTGCTTTGTGATGCTTATATGTGCATGTATCAAAGCACAGAAGTCATGATGTATAGATAAAACCGCTGATTTTATTAAGACTATAACAATTTAAATTGTTAGCACTTTTTAATTTACCTTAATTCTCTTATAAATGATTTTGGAATGTTGATTGTGATACTTGAATTTTTTTATGCAGTTTGACAATGTGAAAATATTTTATTTCAATAGTTGAAAACATAACGAACAACTTCCTTAAGATAAATCAATAATTAGTTGTAGCTTAATTTTGTGATACTTTTTAATTTCATACAGAATTCATTTGGTTTTGAAAATGTCTGAGACATTTAGAAATTTTATAAGTTCAACAGTGACTCAATTTTAATGTTTTGATGTGAATGTTTAATATGAAAGAAAATGGTTTACGACCTTAAATGCCTAAGAAGTTGCGAATGTCATTGAATTTGTGTCCATACATGTTATTTTGTACTTTCGCCAAGTGTCTAAATTGTTCTAGTCTAGAAGGAAACACTATTAAAAAAGTAAAATAAAAATATGTGAAGTCTATAAATAATTAAAAGCAGAAGTAAATATTGTATTGTATACCGGCAGTTTGTACATAATGTACAATAATTTAATTTTAGAAGAAAACACAAAGTTTAGGAGCTTTAAGATAACCAGACAAAATAAAAATGGTTGTGCTTAGATTATAAAGAAAAATGGCTTTTCGATTATTTTAAGTACTATGTTAATACAGATGACGCTTTACCTTGAAGTATTAAGTATTTAAAAAGGAAAAAATATTAACTTAGATTTTTAAAAAACGTTATCGGCAAATGGATAGATTTAATTATTATATATGTAATATTTTGTTACTAAAAATAAAATTATTTTGCACTGTAAAACACTATAAAAAATATAACTAGATTATTTTTTACAAAAATAGTAAAGTTGTAGAAAACATTGGATACATTTTTCTTGACAGCAAAGCCGAATTAAAATTGAGATTGTAATTTTAAAAAACTTCACAATAACAAAATGCTTTTCTTAATGTGTACTTAAAAGTGGTTACAAAAATATATTTAATAAAATAACTGTCTCATTATGACATTTTCCTTTTACACCTTTTATTCTAATGCTTCGGCAAGACTGCAGGAGCAAAATACTCTATTAAAAAAAAACTCCTCTGATGAGGAAAAATAAAAAAAAATAAGTTACCGTCTTGCCTTGAAGTATGATTTTTCTAATACCTTAACAGGACAATGAAGAAGATATAAAATATTAGCCAAATTTTTCAAACCTTGGGGACCATGCGAGTCTTAAGGAATCTTGGCTCTTAGACCCACAGCACAGAGAGGTTTAAAATATATAGAAATCCTTTTTTTTGGCCCAAGAATACAAAAATTGTTGCTGTAGTGGGGGTGCCTATTAAGAGGGGTTTTACTGTATACTGTTTAAATTTACACTGAAATAATTAAATTAATAAAACTCCTATATTTAATTTGTATTGTTCAAATATAAAATATTACAGAATAATTTTTTTTACAAAAATGTATTAGATAACAACACATCTAAGCTTATTTAATATTGACGCATTCCTCCTCCGCCACGCCTCATCATCATCGGGGTAATTCTAGAAGGTGGGGTGATGCATACGTCAATAAACTCGCCAATGTTAAACCTGCAAGAGAACAATGTTTTGTAAAAAAAAAATTTATACATAGTCGTTAGCACTTTACCTCATGCTGGCAAGCGTTCGGTTATCATCAGGCGAAGTCTGTCCTGAATATGTCGTCCCAATATGCCTGAAGCGGTATCCAGATGTCTGTGGATGAGGGAATACAAGGGAGAAATCAAACATAGTCCCCCTTGCCCTTGCATCTTCATTGACTTCTTTAACCAGTCCTGTTATCTCTCTCAATGTAGCGTCGAGCCTTGAAAATTATAAAATTATTACTTTCACTAACAAAATTATATAAATTAACAATTCTTAAAGTCTGAATATATTGATTTTAATGTTTTATGTGACCACACAACAAGGATTGAATGTTTCCAGTATCCAATTTTAATTCAACCACTCAGCATCCTCCAAAAATTAAATCCTTAGAATCAACTGTTCTGACCGGATGGTAATGTGTTATAACAAAAGTGCAATAATGGTAACTTTTAATGGCATTGTTTTATTATTATTATTTGGAGGTCATGAGAGGTTCTTCAACAATTTGGCTTTCCTTTCCCTAATTATCCCTCCTATATAATCCTGAAAAAATAATCAGGCCGAACCATTCTCCATTTTTTCCTATTGTCGGCTCCTTTATCCTCACAGAAGCCGACTCCTCTTACAAAAATATCTTTCTATTTCCGACTTCCCTCCCCACCCCTTCAAAATCCAACATATATAAACATAAAACATCAATACTTCACTGACACTCTCAACACGACAGACAAGAATGACACATCTTCACGGAAAACAAACACTTTGAGTGAGTACAAATATTTTGATTGAATCTAAAATTGTCTAGCATTGTATAAATTCATTTTTTTATCTAAAATTTTTTCATTTTTTTCACATCCTACATATATTTGTAAAATTTAAACAATGTTTATAAATCCCAGGCCCTGAAGATGATCTCAATAAAGATCGAAACGCTGGCACGATAAAGAAAAGGTTTTTCTAAAACCTACAGCACACCAGACCGCATCTCACAATCTTCAAATAATCATTAAGTAACAGTCACTAAATACCACACATTAACAAGAGCAATCATTGTATTTTCGTATTGCATTTTTGGAGGAAGGAGAGCAAGAAAAAATGTCCAGGGGGACGTCGGCATTGAACCCATGACTGTAGGGTCTACGAACTGAGAGTCTATCACACAGACTTGGCTATCATGGTCCCCACCTAAATATATTGCAAATAACAATAGATTTCCTCATAGCTACTATAGTAAAGTTATATACTTTTGTTACATAACAAACAAAAATAAGAAAATTCTAAGAAATTCTAATAACAGTATGGTTGTATCAATAAAATGGTAGGCGGTAAATTTTTTACAGATATCCCTATAAAGTTATAAGAACTAGAAACGAGTGAGTCTGAACAACTAACAAACACAATATAAGAATCTCCATGCAAGATTAGAACAGAAATGAACTTCAAAATGCAGAAGTTTAAGCACGGTGCAAATCATAATTCTATCACAGGTTAGTTGTTAGAGAACCACAATAAACCAAGGACTAGAATTTATGTAAGTCTAGAGTGATATGTCACTGTTTTTCATGTGAAGACTGTGGTTGTTGAAAGTTCCAAGGAGATAAATTAACAAAAGAAGAGCCATCAATTCTGACAACCATAAAGCATTAAAAAGCATCTACCTCATCAGTGGCAAAGTCGAGAATTATTTGGGATTGTATCAAGGCCTTGGCAGACATTGGGGATGACAACAAAATGTAAGGACCAGGGCACACAGGGCAAAGAAGAGGAAGATAAATTTGCCAAGGAAAGTTGAAACGATGAAGACACCTATCAATAGATATGTGCCTTTTTATTTCAAACCAGCCCCTCCTCTTCTAGCAAACCTAAATGTTTAAGTTCTTTCTTTACCACATAAAAAAGGCTTATAAAAGTGGAACTAGCTTCTAGCTAGTTTTTTTTTTTTTTTTTTTTTTTTGTGATGCATCTATGGATTAGAAAGGAATTCTCTTTCAAGTTTTCTATCATTTTAGACAAATGTTACCAATTTTATGTCATTTTTAGAACAATGCAATAGGCATGACCAGTTCAGACAGCCTGCAGCACTATATTTCTTCTCTAATGCAGGTGTTGACATGTCAACAGTTGTAAGTTTTATAGAGCAGAAATAAGATTAGGAAAAATAAATCGTAGTACGATTAAATGGGTGCAAAAGCAATCAACTTTTAAAATAAAATAATTCAATACGGAATCGATGCAGGTCAGACTGGCCAACAGTCAATGTATTAAGACTAAGTCCTCGGTTCAATAGAAATGTCTCCCAGGGCAAAATTATTGTAAAAAGTTTACAAGTTTACAGAAACTATCTGCAAAATTACTAAACCTATGAATTGTTAGGACTAGAATGATAGACTGGACACTATAAATTCTGGAGCAGCAGAGTATGTCCTCTGTTGGTGTGAAGGCTGAAGACTGCAGGCTGAAATTCGTACTCCTGGGAGAAGGAAAGTCAAGACCTAAAGACAAACACGCAGTCCGTGACCTAAGCTGGATCTAATAAAAAGCCTGCCAAAAGTCATACAAAAATTGTAGTTTCTGCAAAGAAGCAGAAGAGACTCAGACGCTATTACTATCAACTAATGCAAAGGAACATTTTGCATCTGTGGCTTATCATTACTGATAATGGCAGAAGGCCAGAACAGAATGAATCAGGGAGAAATGAGCAAAAATGGCCAAGATACAGATTCATCATCCTACACACTTCAATAAGAAAATTGTAAATTACTTTTAAACACCTAAATGAGCTCCATGAAAACAACAGTACCAGTTGTATTCATTGTTGCAAATGAAATGGCAAAATTAATTAAACAAACTGTGGTAAGCAGCTTGCACGCAAGTGTGACGAGTGGGTGGGTAGTGAGTGAGCTACTCCACTCTAGGTCCGTCAAGCCTTTGGTTAGGGTGCATAAAGTTGCCCAGGCCTGATGGCTAAGCACCCACCAATTCTCTGCTAGCTTGGTAAGGAGAGGTTTAGAGAAAACACAACAATGCGGGTACAATATTCAAGTCTCTTTAATTACAATGAAATAAGCGGAAATCCCCAACATATCATTGGCATCAATCCCCTAATAATTACTCAATTCAATTCTGGATGAAATCCTTCTGTCCCTAATTTACATAAGCACACCAATTTAGTCCTCTAACAAATCTCTATTCCTATTAAATGATTACACAACTTAATTCTTGGATAATTCTCTATCACCACTTACAAATTAAATAATTTAACTTAAAATAATTTAGTAATTCCATAACTAGACAGTTAATTATTCGCAACCTAAGTTGGCTTATTCCTCGAGGAGCATACTATTTAAAATTCATTCTTGGCTGCTATTAGCAGTGAGCTAGTCTATTACCCCAACTACACGGCCGCACCAGTCCTATTTCTGACACTGTGAACTTTTGCCGACTTACTGACCCCTGGCTGACTCTTTCTCACCTCTCCTTTTTGGGATCGTATTTAACTAGCCAAGCTTAGGAAGTACTGTTATGATTCATTGTGACCTGATTGCCCATTTTTCTTCCTCAGTTTGTTGTGCTTTTCCGGCCGTATCCGGGCATTAGTTAACCCTAGGTGTTGAGCAATAAGGCCACTCGTCAGCACAACAGTAAATATTTCTGTGGCAATCGCTTGGGCACTACCCACATTTACAATAATAAACGTTGTAAATGTTATTATTTCGCCAGCTTTGGTTGGCTGTGGGATTTTTGTGGAAGAGTAGGTTGACTCTCAGGATTGGGGACATTCCGATGGTCTTTCGAGCTCAATATTAAAAATGAATTTTAATCCCCATAAAAAAATTTTTAAAGATTCCTTTCTGGAACCTTCACACAAACTGACATTAAACAGTAAATAGAGAACTAAAAAGAAAAACCTATCGAATTGTGGTGTTTGGCAGCTATAGAATTGTGCAAACCAATGATTGGAGATTTCTTCACTTAACACTAAAATTGTTTATATTTAACAAAAATAATGAAAAGGCTCACAATCCTTTGGGTTAATTATTAAATATGTAGTGAAAGTAAAATATTTTACCATGTGTAAATTTGTAGCTCGTTTGTCGGGACGTTGCCTGCCCTGTACTCTGCTGGACTGTTATGCCTCCCAGTGCAGCAGAAAACTCTCAACAATAGAGGGCAAGTCTGTGAAAACAAATAAATTAGAAAAGCATTTAGAAAGAGAAAAAAAGTTCAATCGTCTCACCTTTTCCCTGTCGACCGGCTTGTCGTGTTCGCTGAACCTCTCTTCAACGCGAACAAGAGATTCCAAAGGTGCTGCAGTCATTTTTGATTTATTAATTCAAAAGAGATGACGGTTGATTTAAGAAGATTCTAGACAGAAAAAGCAAGCCTAGAACGTTCGACAACAAACGACCAAACAGTTAAAGAGAACAGTGAATGATGCTCTTTTGAACAAATAACATAAGCAAACCTCCACCAGGGAGACACTATCGTAATGTCAGAAAGTTAAAAAACACCATTTAAACAATTATTTTCTATATCAAAAAATCAATTTATAAAAAACAAATTTAAAAAAACTATAAATATAATAAAATATTCAATAAACATTTCAAAAAGCTACTAAAAAACAAAAACTAAAGTCAAATAAGTACAACGCATTCTAAGCGCATTCTACTGCCGCCTGCTAAGTTCTTACAATTGTCAGTTCGATACATTGACACTTGTTTAGCTTTTTTTATATTTAACATAAAGGTTAATTTTTTATTTTATTTTACTGTTTGAGAAACACGGTTTAATTTCGTGGCTCGAACAGGACCATAATATGTACAATCAAGAGATTGGACAGAAAATGTCCAGGTGAAGTTTTGCCTCGGAGGGATGTCAGGACGAATTATTTAATACAAGAAATGGTCAGTATTTTCTATGTTTGTTTTGTTTTTAAAGTTGTCAATTTTTTTTTTCAAACAATTAGTCGAAAGGTCATCAGTATTTTATCGTACGCTTACATGGAAGGAAGTTTTTCGAAGCAAAACTTGAAAAGTTTTGTCAGTTTTTTAAGTTCAAATCTTTATCAAGCTAATTGTATTTTCATTTTGAACTTATGAGTACTGTACTAGGCTCATTTGATTGCCACCTGCTCTATTCCCTGGTTTTGTTCAAAATAAGACTTCTTTGTAATTTAGTTAAGCAAGGTGAACGCTACAGCTTAAAAAGCTTGATAATTCCAAGGAAATTCTACAAAAATGATTAAATATAACAGGATTTAAACAATACTCATAATAACTGAAAAACAGTTTTTAAAAACGGACTAACAAAAGTTTAAATGTTCATTTTTTATTATTTTTATTATAAATGGGTGATCAATGATCCATGATGGTCTACAGAAGTTTAGGGCCATGGAAAGTCACGATCAAAAAAAAGGTAGTGGTCGACCCTATAAGTAACAACTAAAAATGATTGTTTCATTGCTCTACCCGCATTACGGAACCATCATTTTAAGGCTTCTTTGGTCCTTCACCTTAATGTAAGGGTGAGCCTTAAACATTAGAAAGCTTCGTGATATTAGCCTAGTCTCTAGACATCTCACATCAGGTGCGCTACTACTGTTGATAAATCAGCATCTTGTTAGTATACTTGAACAACTGGAGCTGTTCTCTTCTCAGAAGAGTGCCAATTTTGTTTATGGAAATCAGATGATAGGTAGAGTGAAGAACGCTTTGCTTAATGTGCCATACCTGAGTCACAGCCTTTCCAGACTGTCGGTTATGGTATAAGGTGGAGCCAACGTTGATTATTGTACAGAATGGATCTTTGACTGTACTAAGGATTGAGGAAATTCTTCTGGAACTGTGGTCCCATTCGCTCTGCAAGGTTTATTGGGCACAACTTTGTGTTAATCATGATAATGCTTGACCACATGTAGCTCGAATTGTCACCCATTACTTGGTGAATATAATGTTCATCACAATGATTTCAGCATGTTCTCCTGATATGAATTCCATAGAACACTTATGAGACATGTTAACGAGATAGATTGGAAATACTAAGGTTACATTGAAGAAGTTCTGGAAGCTGTAGGTATACTTGTGTTCATGCTCGATTGCATGTAGCTCGAATTGTCACCCACAACTTGGAGAATGTAGGAATTACCACAATGAATTTGCCAGCTGACATGAATCCTATAGAACATTTATGAGACATGATAGAGATCGGTTAGACATCGTTTGCACCTCCAATAAGCATTGAACATCTTCAAACCACTCTTGTTGTAGAACGGGATTCTGTTTCATAAGAAGAAATCCACTCATTTATTTACTCAATGCTTAGGCGACTTAAGCCGTTCCACGAGGCCAGAGGACGTAAAGCATGCTATTAAAAACAAAACTATGTAATAAATTATTAGTTAAATTTTAACCCTTCACTAAATGATTTTTCGGTTTTTTGGTTAATTTTCTTTCAAACCATCATAATTAAATATTTTTTATTAAAACTCATTAATTTCTGATCTTGTTTAATTTGGTTTACATTAAAATAAGTATGTTGTAATTAATATAATGAAAAATACACACAACATAACATTACACACATAAAGATGGCCCCAGATATGTAGGATTCGCCGAACATCTGCCAATTTGTGCCAGTTGCCACCAATGACAACTAGTAGGGATGGGTGCTCGGTTATTCGCCAAGCAACAATAGTTGGTGCTTGCCTTGCTTGGCTAATTGTTGTTTTTCTTGTCCACTTCAAAGTGCACGAATATTTGTAAAGTAGCTGAAATCAAAGCATCCACACAATCGTAAATCGACTGTACTGTATGGATATCGACTGTAATCATCAATCAACACTGCTTTTTATGATTGGTTGTACAAACTACAAACCCCACATGTATGGATACATAGGCATGCTTGTTGAATGCCAAGACAAGCATCTCGAGACTTAGCAAATGTTCAGCAGAAATCGGCATTTGGCGAATACCGCATGTCTAGAGCCACCTTAACACCAAACTATATTTAAATGTGAGGTGTTTAGTGACCTTTAGCGCCAATGATTATTTGGAGATCGTGAGGTGTGGTCTGGTATATACTATATATTTATACAGTATATACTATATATTTATACAGTATATACTATATATTTAAACTGACGAACAGATTATCTTGGTTTGTACTACCAACAAATATATATTTTTTGATCTGTTTAGATGAGTTGGTAAACCTTTTTATCATTTTGATTATTTACACTAATCATTGACCTATTCGTGGTTTGATTGTACTTATAGCTTGAAGCACTGGGTAGGGCAAATTATTTTGTTTCCTTAATGTGAGTGCACATGCGTTAACTGTGGACTTGAGAAGCTCCGAGCACTAAATTTTTTCATTTAATAAGTTTGCAAGGAACACAAGGTCAATCATTCTTCTCCTTTTTCTCTAGGGTTACATTGCAGTCTGTTAATGTAGGGTCATAGTTGTGGGGTTCTCTAAGAATCTGAAATTTAATTGAGATTAATCTCAAAAACTTATTTTATATTCTCTCAATGTCTTCTGAGTGGGATGAGAAAGATGGAGATCAGATTACACTCCCATATAAGAAATTTGGACCTAACAAAATAAGTACTTCATAATTTCCTCAAAGTCTAAAACTGTTTTTATAACAAAGCCTAATATTTTATTTTTGAGTTTACTATTTTGTAAATGTGTGAACAAAAATATTAATTATTGAGCCATAATTATTCCTAATTTTTTAATTTCTGTTAATCTTTTATTTAGTTATTTATTTAAGTACACGTTATAGGATTTTTTATTCTGTTTAAACATTACACTTTTACATTTATTTAGATTTAAGACCATTCCATTTGATTTGAATAATTCACAGAATGATTTTATGTGTTTTTGTAACTGTAATAATATGTTATCCTTATTTCTGATTGTTATTTAGCCTTTAACATCTCCTTTACCACTGCCTGAAAAAGATGTCAACGAAGACATCGAAAGACGCTTGTGGATCGGAAACTTGGATCCAAGAATTACTGAGTGAGAATCTATACATCATCTAAAAAATCCACTTCGCAAACCATGATTTTAATTAATTCACTTTGTCTTCCTTTTTCTTTCAATGGGTTTCAACTCGTGAAAATCCTCCAAAAATATGGACAGATTGATAAGTTCGACCTGCTGTATCACAAAACCGGCCCACAGGCAGGTCAACCGCGAGGTTACGCCTTCGTTACTTTTGTTGACTCGATGAGTGCCAAGCATATGATGGCCGATCTCGACCGTAAAATCGTTGGAAACAAGATGCTTTCAATAAAGTGGGCTCACAACATGGGAAATGTAAGTAATAAACATTCATTTTGACTTAAACATGCAATGTAAACATGATAAATTCTTCTAGAATGACTTTACAAAGCAGAAAAACGATATTTCAATACCAGCCCTAGGAGTGAGAGACGAGAAAAAAATCAAGTAAGCTATTTTATATGAATTTTCTGTTTTATTAAATAGTGAGAGAATTTTCATTTTAGCCGACGTTCTCAAATCTTGGCGATCGAGTCAAAGCTCAGGATGATGAAAGAGCTTCCAGCAGAAGAGTTCCAGGTCTCAAATTTGCCGTCAAGCTCTCGGCCGAGCATGTTTAACATGAATTCAGTGAAAAACAACGGTACAAAAAATCTCAAGCTAAGAAGTCAGAAAGAATACACGGCCAAGAGGAGTAAACCATACAGAAAATTATAACAAATTATCCGACCAGAAAGAGAGGATACTTTTACTCAAGAGTGAAACTAATTTTCTTTTGTGATAAATAAATAATTTATTAATATTTTCTGTGTAAAAAATATAAAATTAAAAAAAAAAGCCCCACAAATATATAACCTGTCTTTCCATGTTCTGTAATGATCTTAAAACAAAACTTTCTTGACCAATTAAAACAATAAATTAATTGTTTCAACGTCAAAAAGTTTTCTTTCCATTCTTATGTTTATTATAAAATTTATTTTCATCATTTTGTTGACTACAAGTGCCAGTGGTTGCAATGGTTAAGGCGTTGTCACAGCTACTCAGCACTTAGGGTCCATATAGCCTCGTAGTTGAACTCTCCCCCCAAAAAATTATCAAAGCAGGGCATTTTTTAGCCAAATCAGACCCTTTAAAGTTGCGCAGTATGGATTTCTCAATATCTCAGCTGAATCAGGAATTCTTCAAATTTGTGGAAAAATTGGTGCAGCTGGTTGCATAGTTACTTTCATCTCAAATTACTTCTCTTAAAGACATGATTTCTCCATACGATCTGTAGGGTGATGAACATGTGGTTTGATCTGAATAGCAGTTAGGACCTGCGCTAGCTGTTCTGGATTCGAATCCCCGCAGAGTCCGTGGTTTTTTTAAGGATTACTGTATGAAAAATGTATTGTAAACTGGTTTGACCCCTCGTCCAAGTCACCCAACTTGTTTGTTAAGCTCTCCTGTATGACTGGAATTATTTTGGAGTTACAGGAGTTTCTTTAGAGGGGGTTTAGTTAGGGTGTTATTTTACTTAATCGACACACCATTTCTTATGATAAGACAGTGAAAAACTGAAAGAAGAAACCAGAAAGGAGAAGCAGAACAAAATAGTTGGAAATGGAATAAGTACTTTTAAAGTTTTCCATCAGAATTAGTACTGGGTTGAATGTTGGGAACTTCAAATTTCTTGGTAGTTTCCAGGTTAATTTGAGGATCAGTTCCTCTGGTTTTAATTTTCCTATGAAAGCTTCCTGACATTTTCGAACAAGCTCAAAGCAGCACATTTTAACATGGAATTGTTACACATCACAATATCACATACATGTTTCAAAACACATACATCTGCCTTTAGTACATCAAATGTATTAAAATTTATTGCCTTAAGTTGGTGCTTAGATCTAATTTTTTTTCAGCTTGGCCTCTGAATGTTTATTTGTGTGTTAAAAAGTCTAAAACTTCACTGAGCTTCATAAAGTAAATTGAAGTAATTCCTGTCAAATGAAGGATTAATGTTCAACTACCTAGTGGGTGTCACTGACGAGGGATCAACCCACTTTATTATAATTTTTCTAAATTAATATTCCAAGATTACCAACCCAAAACTGCTAGATTGGCGAATACAAGTCTGTGGCTGTAGCCATTTTTGCCACTGTTTTCCCCTTTATTTTGGACGAAGGCAATACAAGTATCACCTTACAAGATTGGAAAAGAAAGAAATTTCAGAATGCATGAAATAACTCATAATTATAACCGGTACTTGATAGGGAATTGGAATAAACCAAGAACTAAAATTCATAATGCGTTAAGCATTATGCCAGTCTTTCAGGCTTACAACTTTACTGTGGCTGTTGAACATGCCAAGGCTGACCATAATTAACAAAAGAAAGCCAAATACTCAGTAAACCAAGTAGCCTAAAAGCAACTACCTCATCAGTAGTAAGTCACCGTTTGGAATTGCATCAAGGCCCTGGCAGTTATTGAGAAACAACAAAATTGCCCTTGTCTGGGTACCAGGGCTCACAGAGATAATATAAATTGACCAAGGAAAGTTTGATGAGGACATCTGTCAGCTCTGAATCCTTTGTGGCATACCAAATCACCAGTTGATGACTACAGGTGTCAACTAATTGTCAACATCCTTTTCAATTAATTTTATATTAAGCTTTTTCTTTATCTTGGGTGAATATAAAAATTTCCAAATGGCATTTGGATTTTGACGCAGAACCTGGCCCTAGTGGTTTATCTCAAAAGACCAGCTTCCTTATCATCTGCCATATTTGTCATGTATTTAGAATTAATTAAGGTTTTTAGTTGAGATAAAAAAGTCAATGGCACGAGCTGGATTCAAACCCACGATCTTTGGCTAGACACGCTGCTGCTCTACCACTTGAGCTATCGTGACCTCGATCCACTCGGACACTAACCTCCCATCTCAACCACACCTTTTGAATTTTCCCTCCTTTTTGCCATTTTTCACCTCACTAAAGCTCTCCGTGGCCATTTCATTTGTTGCCGAGAAACAAACAGATTACACGACATTTGAAAAATGGCAAAAAGGAGGGAAAATTCAAAAGGTGTGGTTGAGATGGAAGGTTAGTGTCCGAGTGGATCGAGGTCACGATAGCTCAAGTGGTAGAGCAGCAGCGTGTCTAGCCAAAGATCGTGGGTTCGAATCCCGCTCGTGCCATTGACTTTTTTTATCTCAACTAAAAACCTTAATTAATTGTAAGATATTAATTGGTCAAGTGGACCATGAAACTAGTGAATATAACATAAAAATAAAACTGCATATTGACTTTTTCTTACAGAGTAAAAATGTTATTTTTGGAATCGGCCAATGCAGTCTCCTTTACTTAGCTCCATATAATCTATTTGTCCTAAACAAAGAAAAAAACCAGGTATATTACAACCTAGTAAATTTATTTACAAATAAAATACAAAATCTAAAGTTTTAATTGTTTTGTTAATTGTTGCTAGTCTTTCTTGTTAATAAACTTCCCCCTCATGTGTTCCGGTAGAGGTACTATCCTAGGGCAGGGTACCTGCCCAGGTAACTCGCAGATGCAATGCCTCTGGCATCCGTAGCCAAAGTTGGCCGGGTTGTCTTTCATCTCTTTGGCTTGCTCTTCGGAACGAAGGACTTCTTTCGATTTTCCTATAACTTTTAGCAGATGCTCCATAATGTCTTCTTTCTTCTTTCCGAAAATGTCCACGAGCATTTCATCTCCAGTGTCTGTAAACAGACGATTTAAATTTTAATTATGTATTCTCATAGGTTTTTTTTTTTTCATCTTACCAAAATAAAAACGAAGAAATGGCGTAGGCGTCATGTTTTTAAATGTGATTATTTGTACATTCGGGTTCCTGTACTGCAACTGTGGTAAATACCAGAATGCAAAATCCCTGGAATGATTAAAATCATGCTGAAACAATATCATGGTAGGGAAAAACTAGCTGCTGGAAAACTAATCAAATCATAACAAATTCTGATCACAATAAATACCATTACAAGATAAGATTTTTAAGTGTCAGATGAGTTTCAGCTTCTCACCATCTTCAGCGGAAGGTTTTAACATTAAAAACTGAATAGGGAAAGCATTTGCAAGACTGACAGGCCAAAATAGCAAGGATGGGTAGAGTAAAAGTTTACATATTTTACACAAATTAATAAGTAAAAAATTAGTTCCTACTGAATACCTGTGGGTTTCAAGGGGGGGGGGAGGTTTCTAGTCGCAAAATAATGCTGTAGCCCAGAGAGCATGGCAAACTCTCTAAAGCACAAGCTGTAATTTTATACTGGTGAAAGAAATTGCCAGTGGGCAAACGGTGGGTGCGCAATCAGTCTCACATGAGTCAGTGAACCACATCTTGTGTGAAAAGATTGGGGACAGAGCATGGCAAAAAGAACTATGGGGACAAGCAAGTCAGTTCCAAGCCCACAGCTTGCTATGGGGTTTGGATTCATAGTTGTTCGATGGTGAGGCTCCTGGTGGGTAGTCAGGGTTTGATGCTGTCGTTCAAGTAGTGTTATTATTAGAAAGCTTGACCAAACGGTGGTTAGCATTCTACTTAAAACGAAAGCTAGTGCCAGCTTGTTCAGAAGCTCTTAGCTAAGGAGTCCCTCTTGGGTGCTAGTCAGGCACATCAATGGAGATTAGCCTGTCAGAAGGGGCAAATGGGGAAGAACCTCATCTTCAGCCATTTTTCTACTTGTGAACATACGAGGTATCATTCTCTCATAAGCAGAATTGTGTCATCTCCTCCTTATAATGATAAGGCCAGGTGCAGACGAAAAAGAACCTCTTCTCTCAGATGATGTGACCACTACAGGGAAATAATGTCCCATTTGTAAATATGTCGAATGCTTCTTCCGGGCCGCTGGATTCGATCCCGGGACCTTTATCTTACATTGATGAATCACTGTCTCAGTGCCTTAACCACTGCCGCCATAAAACCCTAACGTACACCTTTAAAATGTTCGATAGAGGCAAAATGAAAGTTTTCACCCTGACTACTCTTTTCCTTTGAAAAAATCACTGTGAGCATGATACAAAATTGTTTTTATACCTTCAAAGGAGAGTCTAATTGAACAAATAAAGAAAGTAAAACTGTTCTAACAATTGAAGAACAAATATATGTTTGAAATAACTAGTTATTTTCTTCTTTTTCTCTTACATTTTATGCCTTCTGTCCAACTAAGTTTCAAGTTTCAGATTCAGCTAGAATTGTAAGTTTATTATATTTTAAAAGCTAGGATTCTCGATATATGCAGAAAAAACTGTCAGACAGCATTTTATCGTTATGAAGAAACCAGTTAATGTCTTCTGCAATAAAAAATCTTAATAAAATGATAAATCAGTCAATCATCACTGGATGGCTGTTGATCAAACTGGTCATAAATGTTAACAGCACACTGCACTGTAAAGTGAAGATTTCCTTCTATGTTATGCTTGAAAAATGGTCCATGAAGTCACATAGAACAGCTCAAGTCATATTTGCACAAAAAAAACCACTTCAAACATACTAAACAAGACCAAAGTAAATTCTTGTTTTGCGATGAGTAATTTTAGCCTGAGAGCGAGCCTGGATAAAAAAAGAGAAGAGCGATGTACTGAAATATTTTCATTCCCTGTTAATGAGTTGTAGGAAAATGACCAGGGTTATCTAAGGAAGCACACATCGACTCAATCATCGCAGAAGGCATGGATCATTTTCAAAAAATATTTTGACTTAAACAAGATCAACTTTTAACAACTCAATTAATATTCACATTGGTATTAATGTTCAAACATACCTAGCACCTTCGTGGTGTTGTCCAGAAGTGTTGTAATTAATAGAACATATTTTCACTCCTTCCTTGAAAAACAGCCTTCCCTTTTCTAAATACTTGAGGGTCCTCCTTACAGGAGCCGGCCCTTTCATAAAAGGCATTTTAATTTATAGCGAATTGTTATTTTCTATAAATTAAACAAATAAAACTTTGAAAGGAAGGAGGTAACAACTGAAAAAAACTGTTAGTATAACACTAGTACACTACTCTTGCTGTAGTCTCGTTGGGGTTTTTTGTGTTTTATACCAAAGTGGGAATTTCATTCTTTATTCCCTAAAAAAATATTTTAAAAATATTTTTGAAAATTAAATCTATAACAACATTTATATTTAATATTTGCTCATAGTGTAGTATTTAATGCCGGCACCGCTATAGATTCAAAATGCCATGTTTATTATTAAGTTCAAAATATTCGTGTAAAATGTAATATGTATTTGGAAATAATTGCTTCTAAAAGAATCTATATTGAACCTTAATATATCTGTATATTCAAATTGTAAAGTATTTTCTGTGATGTGCTATGGCGCTTCAACTTGTGAAATTTAAAATTTATGATTATCTTGCAAATTTTCAAAGATTTGTTTTACATTAAAAAACATCATTTTTATGTTATATATTTTGAGAGATTAGAGTCGAACTTAAAGAGTACTTTTTTTTAGAGAGAGAGAGAGAGAGAGAGAGAGAGAGAGAGAGAGAGAGAGAGAGAGAGACAGACAGACAGAGAATAATAGTAATTATTAATAATAAAATAATACTAAAAATTATATAAAGTGAGTTTGGTTATATATCATTTTCATTACAGTCAATTCATGTAATTTTTAGAAAGTAAATAATTATAAATGAAATAGTAATTTAAACATAGAATTTAAATACATATAATATATTATGCTTTATAAAAACAATATCTTATTTATGTGTATTGTTCTCATAAGAACTAATAGCAAAAGGAAAAAATGCACAGACAAAATTGGTAGAGAAATAATCTAACAACATAAATTAAAGTTGAATTAGAATTTTTTTTATAAATTACAATTTTATAATTAAAATAAATTTTCTACATCCTTTCCTCAAATATTTTCTACAAGAAGAATACTTTCTTTATGAAATAATACATTTTAATGATTTACCTCATTTTCAGGAGTTAAGATGTTGTCTAATTTAATACTATCATCTAGCTTTCAGGAATTTGTAATTTTGCAAAGAGTTGTTTTCTAAATAAGTTTTAGGATTTATAGTGGAGAATTATTTGGGTCATCGAATCTTCATGACTTTTGATACAGACAAAACAATGGGGACAAGGGTATAATTCAATTTTGATGAATTTGTTAGGTAAAGCCTGGGAAACTTTTTGTTGCTGTTCTGGCTTGACCTATAACCTTTATGTACATTCAACATACATTTGTTGAAATTTGTCAATTTCAGTGATATAAACCAGCAAGTACAACACTATGAGAAATAATTTGTTTGTTATATATTAAATTATTATTTGTTAAATTATTCCAATTTTATGAGAAATATATAAAAATAATGCTTAAAAAGCATTAAAATGTGTACAGATATTCACATCCTTCAATTGTCAAGCAGTTGAAGGCTTTGAACTTCATCTTCAATCCAAAGTTAGCCCGGGAAGCCTAAAATATCTGCAGCATCTGGGAAAACGTAATTTGATAAATCTGGGGCCTGCATCATTACATGAGGGCATTGAAGAAAATGAATAGGCTGACAATCTATGACAGTCAGTTTGGATTAATATTATTTTCATTAGAAAATTTATGTTGTAGGGCTTCAAAAGTTTTTTTTATTGTATACTGAATAAATGTTGTTCAAGATGTCCTATGAGACTGAGAGACATAATATATAACGTACATATGTATATCACATTTTGTTCCTTTTTTAATAAGTATTTTTATTTTAATTATTACGGTCAATTATGACTACTAAATGAATATATAGATTAATTTATTTTTATTAAAAAATTGATGGTGTAGGGCCTAAAAATTTTTTTTTCCATCTGTTTACTGAATGAAATGTTGCTCATAATGTCCTTTGAGATTGAGAGACATATTATATAATGTATGTATACCACCTTTTCATACTTTTTTAAGAAGTATTTTTATTTTAATTATTATGGTCAATTATGACTTTTAAATTCACATATAGATTAATATTATTTTCATTGGAAAATTGATGGTGTAGGGCCCTAACTGAAGGTTTTGCTAAATCAAAACTTTTTTTCAACTGCTTACTGAATGAAATGTACTTTTTTTTCGTATCCATTGCATTTGTGATTTTCTATGTTATATAGGATATTTATTAATTTCATTTCTACTGTCCGTTTATTATTATTATTTTTTTTACTTTCCTAGTTTATTGAATGAACGATAATATATTTCGACACTGATGTATTGTTAAGTTAAGACTAATTTATTGAAAAATATTTTTTTTTAAATTGTTAGTTCGTTTTTGAGGAGGGGCTCAATGGGATCCATGCGTTCGTGGGGAGCGCTCGTCCCCGTCACAGCTGGAAGCAAGCGCAACTTGGAAGCAAGACGAGCAAGTTCTCAGCTGTCAACCATCCCCCACCATTGCAGACCACTTAGGGACTCGGGAAGTCGGGACAATTTTATCTTCGCCTTTCATCCGTTCACGAGTAACGCACCGGTCTCGTCTTTATCTAGTCATGTTTTAATCTTCGACACTTAGGCCGAGACGTGTTCCTCTTTTTATTCCTCTCTGCATCCGTTATTCGAGGCCAAAAAAAATGCTGAACAACGTCCTGAGGGACAGAGGGATCCTGGCGTTGATCCTTATCAGCCACATGACTTTCGAAGCGACCCCGGCATCCCCGGCCCACATCCATACCCATTCCCACTCGTCCCATTCCAACAAGGAAAACACGAAAGAAAGGATCGAAGACGGTCTCGGGTTCCTGCCTCGCGACCGGGGCCACATAGTCGACGGCGAACACCACTCCGAATTTGACCACGAAGCTATTTTAGGTATATTATTATATATTTTAAACTTTAAAATAACTAATTAATTTATAATTTCGTTAAAAATTAAAGTTAAATATATTTAAACAGGGGTCGCCGAGCCCCAGAGGTCGTTAAACCGTCTTGCCGGTACTGGGCACCAAACTAGAACTTTTGTTTTGGTAGTAACTTTTTAGTACGAAATTTTAGTTCATTCTTTTTCCTTTCCAGAGCTAAAATCTCTTTAATTAGAATACTTTTGTTTTATTTTACCCCTTTTAATCAAATATGAAGAAAGAAAACATTTTGGATTGGCAATAATCAAATGTCAATAATTAAATGAACTCAAAATAAAAATTACTTAAAAAAAAATTGTTTATTAAGCTACAACTGTTCAGGCGGAGCTTACAGTAGAGAATGATTAAAGATTACAATAATATGTATAGTAATCAGTGACCTTAATTAATGCTTATTCGGAGATCGTGATATGTCGTCTTGTGTGATGTAGGTTTAGAAAACAATTTCCTTTATTGTGCCAACTTTTTGATCATCTTCACAGCACAAAGTGTGTGTTTTCTGTGTAAGCGTTGGCACAATAAAGAAAATGTTGTCCTATACCTACATCACACAAAACCACATCTCATGCATAGCAAGAGAAGGGTTTTTTAGATTAGTTATCAGAAGACATATTGTCAGCAGTGTCGGATTACAGGTTCCTTTCTTGTAACGACTCCTTCCTCAGGATGAAAGCTGTTCTCAGCAATTCACTATTTTTCATGGTCCGCTTGACCAATTAATATCATTCAATTAATTATGGTTTTTAGTTGAGATTAAATGTTCTCAGCGTTCAACCGGTAGCTTGGGGTCCAATTTTGATGTTGTGGGATGTTTGCTTATCTCTTCTGTTTGGTGCTTAGTCGGCTCTGATGATAACCACTGTTTTGTAGAGGTTGATCAACATGTTGGGTTTTTTTTTCTGATGAAGATGATGATGATACTGCATATCTTCTGTAATAAGGTTTATTCAGCCAACCAGTCTGTTGTCGGGGTGAAATACCACGAGTTGTTCTGGAGTTCCATGTTGTTGAACCCGGCGAATTAAGAGTAAAAATTACTTTAAAAAAAATTATATATATATTAAAACTACAACTGTTCAGATGGAGCTTACAGCAGAGAATTATTAAAGATTGCAATAATAAGTGCTTATCAAGGGAAGAGGGTTTTAGATTAGTTGTCAGAAGACATATTGTCAGCAGTGTCGGATTACAGATTCCTTTCTTATAACTAATGATATAGTATAAAGGTTGTTTACACAAACAGGTCGAAGTTGGAAAGAGCCATGTTAGAAAAAAATCAATTTTCACAACATAGCTTCAATATTGTACACTGATGGATCAAATAAATGCACCACCCTTAAATTATAATGTATTGAGGTTTATTCATATTTTGCTGATATAGCATAAAGGTTGTTTACACAAACAGGTTGAAGTTGGAAAGAGCCATGTTAGAAAAAATCAATTTCCACAACATAGCTTCAATATTATACACCGAGGATAAAATAAATGCACCACCCTTAAATTATAATGTATTGAGGTTTATTCATATTTTGCATACTACAAATTGGTTCGGTTGTACATATAAGACATTTAAAAATAAAATGTTTATTACCTATTCTAAATTTAAAAAAATTCAATGAATTTTTAATTAAAGTTTTGGTTGAGATATAATGATAATAATTTACACCTCTGACACGAATCACATCCGTTAAATGGCTTTGCATTCCTTGGAAAAGATTTCTGATCAAATCAAGAACAGCTGTTTTCAACTCTTTTAAGGTGTTAGGACCTGGGTTTCGCTGTTGTATTCGTCTCTTAAGTTGGTCCCAAATGTCTTCAATCGGGTTCAAATCTGCACTTAGAGTTGCTCACACCAAGCACTCATTTCCAACTTTGTTCAGGTAGTCATCCACAATACGTGCTCTATGAGGCCGGGCATTATCCTGCATTAGCAAGAATCTCACTGATGTGGAGGCAAATGGTGCTATATGTTCTTTGATTATGCCTTGAAAGTAGCTCTGTGAAGTTCTTGCACGACAATCAATTCTGTGCATCCAAGGAATTGCCACCGAGAGCATCAATGACCCCCCTAACAGAATCCCCTAATCCACAATCATCTACCGTACGACCTGGTAATAATATTCTGGCTGTTTTAGCCATAACCACTGACTTAATTAATATACCCAGGATGTTATTTACAATAATAATAATTCTATTTAATATTAATAATAATATTTATTATGTTATTATGTATTTATTTATAATAATATTACAGTTCTAATAACTGGACATCCATCAAGACCAGAAAATGTTATTCTCCCCGGCATTATTCCAGAAAATAATTGTAATAACTGGACCTTCAACAAATAGACACAGATAATTTTTAGAATTTTCAATAAAAAATTCTCTTTTAAGTAGAACTTGATTACAATTAAATTAACAAATCAGGATTTCACAAATTATGATGCGCAAATGCGCTTCCTGGTCAGTTCTCAATTCATTTAGTCATTTCTCAGATTGTGATTGTGACAAACTGATATAGAGATGAGAACAGGGGGAAAATTCTTTCCGTCAGAGAAAAGGTAGAAGTCATAAAATCAATCATGGAAGGGTAGTATAGATCATATATCATAGATCATATATATAGATCATATATCATAGCTAATTTTGTGTAGTTCTACAAATGGAAATTAATGGATGTCTTGCTTTAAACTTGTGTATAAAAATCGTTGTTTGCAATTCTGATGGTTCCATTTTGATGATCATTTTCTGTTTTCAGTAGATTAATTTTGTATTTCATTTACAACTTTATTTTGAAAAAAAAATGTTGTATGGTTTGCAGTGTCTTTGATGTTTTTTCATTTGTTTTGTCCTGATTAGGTGTAAACATTGGAGGGCTGTCTGTAACATTCAAAAATGCACAACATTTACTGGAATTTTAATTTATTATATAACAAAAAGTTGTTTTATTTAAATTCTTAATAAACCATATCTTATTCTATATAGTATTAAAAATTGAGTAATTTTGTACATTGGAATTAGATTTAATAATGTTCTCTACGGTAATTTAAGCATGAAAATCTGTAAGGATCGTGTCAAGGAAAAATAATTTTAAATTATTTCCAAATGCACAATGCAATTACTAAATAATTTTAAGTTTGCACAGAACTAGTTTAAAATAAAAGACCCAAATAAGTAATTACACTGGTGAATCTATAATGCTGAATTTACTGGGGTATGAATATGGGCATGGACTCAATCTAGTGTTTGTTTTAATTTGAGCAGAATATATAAAAATAAAATCTTATCATGTCAGATAGCCTAGAAATGATCAGAGGACTGAATTTGCAAATCAGCTTGAAAAAAAGTTCTGGTATAGTCCCAAACAAGACAAATTGAGAACACAAAAAGATCCACCCATCACTGCATTTAAGTGCAACACAAAAATTAAAGGAAATGAGCAAGGGGAAGGACAGATCAGCAATAATATAGATCATCAAAGAATGTATTAAAGCTGAAGAGTGAGAACTACATTTCTCACTGGACATAGTCAATCCACATTCTCCATATAATATTTTAAAAGTAATACAATTCATATATGAATTAGGGCACTATTTTCGCTTAATTTGACACTAATAGTGAATTTGGTCATGAATGATAATTAAGTTTGTTGATTTATTTAATGAAAAAACAAATTGCACTATCATTGTTTTCATAGCTTAATTATATGTGTCTAATGATGTTTCTTTTAAAATTTTATGCCATCAATATTTATATTTGAAATTTTTTCAGGGAGTGTAAAAGATGCAGAAGAATTTGATACTTTATCGCCAGAAGAATCGAAGCGAAGGCTCAAAATCCTGTTGGTCAAAATGGACTTAAACAAAGACAATTTTATTGACAGGAACGAGTTGAGGGCATGGATTTTGAGATCATTTAAGTACGTTGATAACATTATCTAGTTATGCCTGGTTGATTTTAACTAATTATCCTGTATAGAAAAGTATTTATATTTTTTTCTCTCTCATAGAATGCTTTCAGAAGAGGAATCCAATGACAGATTTGAAGATGCTGATGAAAACAATGATGGGAAAGTTTCATGGGAAGAGTACAAATCTGATGTATACGGCTCTGATGAGGATCTCGAACATGAGCTGAATTCAGAGGAACAGACTGTAATTTTTTTGTTACAACGATCAATTTTAATGAATAAAGCATTTAATTAATTGTTTTGTTGTGTCTTAGCTGTTGAAACATGACCAAGTAATGTTTAAAGCTGCCGACAAAAATAATGACGGTTTTCTTGAAAGACACGAGTTTGTACCATTTTCCCACCCTGAAGAAAGTCCAGAAATGTTACCGCTAATTCTCCAAAACACCTTGGAAGAGAAAGATACAAACAAGGATGGAGAAATTGATTTTCAGGAGTTTGTTGGATCGAAAGGTTTTCTTATGTTTTATAATTATTTTGATTAAAACTTGTTTTTTATTTACTTATACATTTATTTATTTTTTAAAGGTGAAATGCATGATAAACAGTGGCTATTATCAGAGAAAGAAAAGTTTGACAGTGAATATGACAAAGATAAAGATGGCAAACTTGGGCCAAATGAAATTCTTTCTTGGGTTGTACCGAGTAATAGGTAGGCAATAAAATATAATTGTTTTAATTTTTATTGATTATCTTCACTTAAAATTTGAAGTATTACATTAAATTGATATGAAATTTATTGTTTTAAAATATTAAATGAAAGGGATTACGACTTTTTTCTGTTGACAGTCTAGAAGTATTGAGAACGTATTAACCGAAATTTTTATTAACATTGTTCTGTTTGGTTGGTGTCTAGCGAAATAGCCGAAGAAGAAGTTGAACATTTGTTCGCATCATCGGATGATGACCATGACAATCTGTTGTCATTTGAGGAAGTCCTCAAAAACCATGAGACTTTTGTAGGAAGCGAGGCAACCGATTATGGTGAACATCTCCACAATATTCACCATTTTGAAGATGAACTGTGATCCACCTCATTATGTAAGCATTTCCTTAATGATTTTCAATCTTTCTAAGGGATAATTTGCAACAAAAAAATCATTTTACAGGTCATCATTATTAAATTTTTAAGTTATGGAGGATTGTTTCTATGAAAGGAATTTTTGTATTTATGAAACACAAAGAATAAACCATTGTACAAAATAAATTATTGCCATAAACTATTGTATTGTGTTATTTTTTATTTATTAGAATAGTATTGTGAACTGTTTTTGTGTGTTACCTTTAAAAAATAAATTGTTTGCCAATTTTTGTACTACTTAATGAAATAAAAGGTTTTATTTAAATATGGGTATGAACTATAAAACCTGATGAATATATCGTATATAATCTGTATCCAAGGGGTTAACACGTCAAAAATTTAAAAAATGCAAGATCCATCCATTTAGCTTTAAAAAAATATATGTACTTTTTTATAGCCAAATGTTTTTTCTGGTTGGATAAAAAAATGTAGCCAACATATGGAAAATTAAAATCTTTGAAATATGTGTTCTTGACTATATAAAAAAAGGTGATTTATTTTGAGTTAGAATCGATCCTCTTCTTGTTGTTGTAAAACACGTGATTTCAGGTGTGGATATGATATAACAAATTGCTATAACATATATGCTGGATTGTTACTGCAAGGTAAAAAATAAGACAAATTGTAGCAAAAAAATGGGATGAATATTTGAAAGAAAGAGAAAAATGATATCTATAAACTCTGATTCTGCTGCGTCATGTGATTCTGATGTGACAGTCCTGCGTATCAAAAAACCAGACAGGAGGAAGAAGAAAAAGTCAAATTGGCAAGAACTCAGGGAACTGAGTTTGCTTGATGATGGAGAACACCTGAGGGAGTCACCGTCTCTGGTAAACCTGGTGATCGCCGTGGGAGGTGATAAGTTGATGGAGCATGAACAGAGCCGAGAAGAACAAGGCGACACACTACTGCCACTGTTCTCTTGGGATTCTTCTCCAAGTGACAGCCTAAGCTCTTCCGATGCAGACGATGGTGGTAGAAAAAATGTCAAGTTAAAGAAGAAGTACAAAGAAGCAAAATGTGAAAAGGTAAAAGATCATCCTGAAGCCACTAAGGGCCAGGTCAAAGAAATCAAAGATGACCAGATTAAAGCGAAAATTCTGTCTAATGATCAGAAAGAATGTGAAAAAACTGAGTCAAATTGTGATGCAGAGTCCACGTCATCAATACAACTAGATAAAGAAAGAACGATCAAATCAGCATTTAGAACATGCTTCCCATTTTTGTTCAAAAAACTGTAAATGTATTAAATGCATAAAATTTCTTTTTATACATTTAATGGATAAGCTCTGTCTGATTATTTTGTAACAATAAACTGAATTGACATAATCATGTACTGTTTTATTTGATAAATGAAGTTAATATTTAATACGCTAATAAAAGCTTGTATCATATTGCCATTTAGTATTTATTCCTTTACAGCAAAATCATTTACTTATATTTTTTAACAGAAATTAATAGATGCTTTAAATAATGTCTAGATAGTTTTTTTACAAATCTAAATACTTTTCACATAAAAAATAAAATCTCTAATCGAGTTTTATAAAAATAGGGTTTTTTATGTCCTTAGAAAGAGATTTGAAGAAATACTTTTGCATATGGTATGCTTCATCATTAATTTAAATAATTATAAACATAAAAAAGTTTCATTACAAAGATAAATTATAATAATGTAAGAAAATTTACACCTCTTAATAACTAGCATGTAGTTTACATACATATGTTTAAAATACAATTTTCTATAAACAGCAATGTTAAAATTTTCAATTTCAATTTTCTATTCAATTTTTAGATAAACAAAACTAAATATTTTACCTAAGATCTGTTTTAGTTTAACATCTGTTTTATGAAACTGTTTAAATTAATTGTAATAAATTGGTGCAGTCACTAGTTCTCAAGTTTGAGGTAGTTACATTCTCTCCAAGTATTCCTTAGTTGTAATAAAACCAAAGAAATATAATTCTTAAAATAAATAAAAATTCTCAAATGAATTTAAATCGTAATATCTAATCAAAAATAAACAAATAATTGTTTTATTCGAAAACTAATGTTTCTGCTCCTTTAGCTCTTTTCAATACGCCGTCCCTTTGTTTTTCGGCTTCAAAACAGTCTTCTTTGCACTTTAAAAGTCTGAAATAATAAAAATATTTTATTTTAATTGCGAAAATTTTGTAATTCTCGATCAGGCTAGTTACGTTTCGAGGTTGAACCAAAGATCTCTTTGCTTGGCCTTTTTCTCCTGTTGCTCTTTAACGATTTGCTGCTCTTCCCGAAGTTTTATATTTAATTTTTCAGCTTCTGCGATCTTGTTCATCATTTTAACCCTAAAAAATTTACAACAGTATGTATAATTCTGTGTTCAAACATATATTTGCAGTAAAAAAGCACCTGAGCGATGGCCTGTCCTCTGAGATGATTTTCCCTTCGTTTTCTGCTCTTTCGAGAAGAGCTCTCATTATATCTGTTTTAGCTTCGAGTAAGGCAGTTTGTGACTTATCCGTCTCCTCTTCCCTGCTTAATTCCTTCACCTCCTAGGAATCCACATAAAAATAATTAATACATACACATCACTTCATCAACTTATCATTACTATTTTAATACTGACATGTTCAAGTTTTGCAATTGAAGCACCTAACGTAGCTGCTTTTGTGTCGTAACCTTTTTTTCTTTCAGTGTACTCTTCTAAAACTTCATGGTACTGATCTTTTGTCTGTTTTAGCTCTATAAATATATATATTTATTTAATGTGAAAAATTCAATATATTAATAATGTTATTTAACCTTGAAGCTGGGGTGCAATTTGTGCTTTGTGGGAAGATATTTTATTGTTGATGCTGTTAATCTGCTGAAGTAATTCCTCTTTTGAGATTCCTTCAAGGTTTTCATCATTGCCTGGATCTATCGGCTCTGCCTTTAGAATTATTTTAAAAAAAGTTTTTTTAATTTGAATGAAGAAAGTGAATTTATAAATATTTTGTATATTTACTGTGGGTATTGATTCCAAATTTTGTTTGAGAATATCAAGGGTACGAGCCAAAACCCCAGATTCCGCAACTAACGAGGAAACCTGCGCTTTTTTTGCCTTGTACAACGTGCTCCTCACTTTCAACTTAGCAACATAATCTTTGTACTCCTTTTCTGACAAAACTTTATTATCACTGTGTTCATCTTTTCTTGCCTGATATAAAGAATCATTATAATAATTACAACAAACGAATTACATGACATGAACCTGAATTTTCGCCTGAAGCCTGTCAAGTAGAGTTCTGGCTTCTGTGAATTCTTCTGCAGCCTCTTCTTTCCTCCTCGCTATGATTGCTGCTTGCTGCCTAAAAGGGGCAAGATGATCTTCAGTGCCTTCTTTGGCAGCGAGTCCTCTCTGAGCCAATTCGCTGACTTCCTGGCTAATCGCTTCTATCTGAAATTTTTATTTTATTTTTAATGTTATGATTCTGTTTATTTATTTATTAGTTATCCAGAAATCGTGAGATGCAGTATTTATTAGTGTTTACTAGCAAAATTAATATGCAAAAGAAAATTTTCTTTCCTTTTGTTAATTAATTTTCCTAGTAAACCATAAATAAATAAATATGTAATTAATGTTTAGAAAATGTACAGCTAGCATTTTTGACTAAATTCACCTTTTGCCGAAGAGTGTCAATGGTGGCTTGAGTTGGAGGGTGAGAGTGTGCTATCCGTGACATGATCTCAACTTCTTTACGTTTCATGTCAAGCTCTTTTGGCAATTTCTCCGATCCGATGTACGCAGTCATTCGTAACTCTTCTTCGAGGCTTTTAATCAGCCCTTGGGGAGTTGTGCCAAATCCTGCTTGCCTTATTTCCGTCAATTGCTGACTTAGACGAGCTGATTTCTGCTGAAGCTGTTGCATCAAGTCCATCTCGTTCTGCCTTTGTTGGATGAGCTCTTTCTGCCTCTCCCTCTCCAGCCTAAGCCGTCTGGACGCTTCCAGGACTTCTTCTTTGTTCTCTAAATTGTCCAACTGAACTTCAATGTAAATAATTGTTCTTCACAGATTAAAATGTTATGCAGTTACCTTTCTGGATAGTCTTTCAATTTTTTTCACCACAATTTCCTTCTCTTTTTCCATGGCTTCTATATCAGAACGGAGTTCGGATGCAGAGAGGCCCCTTGCTTTAAGAGCAGTACTCTCTTTATGCGCCAATTTAAATTCTTCAATTAGTTGTTCATACTATTAATTAATTAAAGGAAATTAAACATCATAGTTTATAGAAAAGGAGTGCAATAAATAAAGTCCTTAAAAATGACCATTCTAAGTTTAAGCTAAAAAGCCATACAAACACTTCAATTAAGAATAAAAAATAATTTATTAAAATTAATTGTATCTAGACTCCAGTCAACCCTGTTAATTGTATTTTTTAATAACTTGAAAAGCAAAAATAAATTTAAAAAATTTATCTAAAATCTTAAAATCTTTTTGTTTTGATTCTTGATACAGTTTATTTGTTTAAAGACAAAAGTATTTTGCTGGCTTAAATTAAAGAGAAATTGTTTGTTAAAAAGTTCGTATTGAATCACGAAATAATTAAATGATTTTATCAAATAAAAAAATGAATAAACCATAATAAAACACCTGCTCATAAAGTGTTGCAATGTCAGTATCTCCAAGCATTTCTGTTGGAATTTCAATTTTGACCAGGTATTTAGCGAGATAAGCTCTTTTCTTTAGATCTTCCAAATTTTTAAGCAGCCAGGCTAGAATTGGATGGATAACATGTTTTTCACCTTGGACGATTCCTTGCCGGAATCCAACACTTAAAATGAGAGAATGTCACCGTCAGGCAGCTTAGAAGCGATATTACACATGAAACATTCTTACGGGTCAGAGCCTGGATCATATTTAAGGATCCTTAGCATGGACAGCATCCTTATGGTGGTCTCTTCCGGCTCTTCGCCCTTAATGTCAACTTTATTGTTTTCATCGATAAGGGACAAGACATCGTTCAATACCTGCAATGCGGTTCATTAAATAATCTCAAACAATCGACAACGGAAGATTTACCTGCAAGAGTTGTTCTGGTGAAAGTGAGTCGAAGGAAATCAAGTTGTAATTTTTATTGAAAGGAGGCTTGTTCAACTGTGCAATAATTTGCTTTATAGTTTCACTCATTTTTTTGACAAGGATTAAACGGATTCAATATTCAAACTGCCTTTTGACTGCTAACTTGTTGTAACAACCACCCTAGCAACAATGTTTGTTGTAACAACCAATGTCATTCACTATTTTTAATCTTTATTCTTTATTTGTAATCATCTGAGAACTAAGAACCCACTACACAGTTGTTTTAAAATAATATTTTGGACATTTTCTAAATAACATTTAAAATAATTAATCAACTAATTATATATCATTTTTACAAACAAAATATAAGATTTTTTTATAATGATCAAACACATTTATCCAAATTATGATAACTATCTGACTTTGTTAGAAAACTAAAAGACTTACCAGCCAGAACCAAGACTAAAAGTAATTCAAGAGGGAGTTAAAGTCCAACAACCAGTTATGTGTCACTCGACACGAGGGGTCAATCCACGTCAATTCTCAATTAAAAGGCCATGGGCTGTGCCGGGATTCGAACCCAGAACCACTAGTGTGGCAAATACAAATCAGGCACCTTAAACACTCGACCACCGCAGTCTCCTAGAACCAAGACTAAGAAGAGCCTAATATGATTATTTTCATAAAGCCTTTCCATTAACTAATTATATAATTATACATAATGTTCTTATTAGATGAATTATTGAAATAAATCCACTAAAAATAGTTCAATTTACCTTTTTTCACATGCTTGAGGGGGGAATCTTTATAGGGGACTACAATGGCTGAGATGTTAGGGCGTCCAATTCTCATATTTGCCATGCTAGCGGGTTCAAATCCCAGCATACCACATGGAATTCCATTATTTGATATAAGTATTTTAATGGTTTGATATTAACAGGTGGGCATTTGGACGTTAAGCCTTCCTGTATGATAGGAATTACCAGGTAACCAGAGAAGTTTGTGCGGTTTTTAATTTTTTGTTGTTTTAATGTCGTTAAACAACAGTTGTATTTACTTAGGAGGATTAAGTCTTTTCATCAAGAGGATAATGCTCAGTTCATAAAGAAAATGTGTACTAAACAGTTTAATGTAAATTATAAAATATTTTCTTTCTCATGGCTTCAAAACCTATAATTTGTGTGCTTATTGTAAGAATTTTAGCTCCGTTCTAGGGTGGGAAACTTGTAAAATTGAACAGTTTTTGGTGATGAAACAATAAGTAAGCCTACTGTGGTTTAAAAAGTGAAAACTCAACCAAACTCAAAGCATCACCTTTTGTTGGTGAATATTTGGTTCTTAATTCAATTGTCATTTGGTAACAGCCAATGGTATGACCTCCTGGTGTTGCTATACAGGATTTTTATCAACCGGTCAAAAATGCCTCCAATTTGTTAATTCTACCAGAGCATGGTTCATCTTCCACCTGCTCATACCCAGAAGCAAACTTGTTGGCAGTGAACCTCTTATTGTACCTACTCATCACTGAATGCAGTGCAAATTTTATGAGCTGCTTAGGCTACCATAGTACCAAGTTAAAATTCATATAATAAACACATACCAACTACAAGTGTTGAAGTCATGGGAAAGAAAATATTCTTTAAATTTACAATGAACAGTTCAAAACACTTTTTATTTATCAACTAACACATGAACTTTTCTAGTTACGTGGTACTTACTTTTTCTATGGTTGGGTATTTTTATATCAAAATTATTTAAAAAAGGTTATGAATGCAGTCTTTCTTGAAATTCCTTATTTTAGTCTACTGTATAAAGTTCTTGTATACCACGTAGTACATCCTATATATACGTATATAAGAATACAAGTCTATTTTACATAGCATTAGTTTGTAAATGTACCTAATTCTTTTTGCTTTACCTGACTCCATGATTGTGAAGCCAGTGAGTCATGGTTAATTAAAGGATCTCGAGAAACTGCAGCAATGTATAAAAATATATAAATTTATTTCAGAATATAAATGTACAATGGAAATTATATTAAACATGTTCACTTCTTTGCACAAAAACATCGCCAGGTTTAGATATAATATTGAGAGATTCCATGTAAGGAGGTAATATAGGCCTCTGCACCGGATCCCTTTGTTTGTACTTCTGCGGAAGGGACAAAGGGTATGCTGTATCTGAGTCAAAACTGCTCAAATCTCCGCATGCCAAGAATGGCACGATAAAAGAATTAACTTCGTTGGCCTTCATCATGTTAACAGATGTGTTTTCCAATATTGGGTTGACCATATTAGGGACGTAGCCTTTTGGGGGGTTGTATCCTTCACAGAGAGCGAACGCTTCAATACTAGAGTTCCTAGAGCTCTTCGGTTTCACCATGGTGACCCTTTTAAAAAAAATTCTCAACTGCGAATAAAGAAGGGAAACTTCTTTACCCCTGAAAATCTTAGCGACGAAGGTACCATCAGGCTTTAGAATATGCGTTGTTATGTTGAGAGCAGCGAGGAGTAGTTGTGACTGTATGTATTCGTCAATGTCGTGTAGGCCGGTAACATCAGGTGCACCGTCGCAGACCACAAGATCCGCGAACTCTCCGTGGAAGTGTTTTATAATTTCTTCGGCTGTGGTTTTCTTGGTGATGTCTCCCTGGATCTGAATAACTCCTGGTAACGGTGACATCGCCTGAAGATCCACGGCGACTATCTTGCTCTCCACGCCTGGAACACAGAGCTTTTTGGCCAAAACCTGACTCCAGCTCCCTGGAGCGGCACACAAGTCCACAGCTTTTGTTACTCCTTTAAATATGTTGTAATTCTCGTCTATCTGAAGTAACTTGTAAGCAGACCTTGCCCTCCATCCTTCCTCTTTCGCCAGTCTATAATACACGTCTCTTTTGTCTTTTGATGTCTTGCCCATTTCTTCAACTGTGAAGGGATTTTTATCACATCGTCATACACTTACAAATAGAAGGTAACAGTCTATACAGAAATAAGAAAACACCACCTATTGATTACTAAACATACTCACAGCTTTATAGAAAATCCACTAGATTGAATGTAATTGTATTATACAATGTATGTAAATTGGATAATTGTATATATACACGTATTTTGTTCTTTTAGTTTATCTAATAACACAAACGAAGCTTTCAGTTTGTCTGCGTCCCTTGTTGTTTAACACTTTCTTAACATTATTTATGTGGTAACAATTAATGTTAGCATTGAACATTTCCTGTTTTTTGAATTGCAATAGTCGATCAAACGACTGGAAAAAAAAATGTTAGTTTAACATGTAATATATTTTTTCTTTAATATTTGTATGATAAACATTTTTTATATATTTGGTTTTAATTGTTTAATTATTCTAGTTTAAACAATTCAAATAGCTCAATTAATTATACTTTCTATCTAAGGTCTTGGTTGAGGTGAAATAGTTTGTGTCATTAGTGGGGTTCGAACTTTGCAACCTTTGGCTCAATAGCCGCTGCTCTAACCACTTGAGCTATTGTGACTTCAAATGGTTAGAGCAGCAGTGTATTGAGCCAAAGGTCATGGGTTCGAATCCCGCTCTTGACACAAACTAAAATTATTAATACAGTCAATTATGACTACTAAACATACATGAAAATAATTCAAATAGTTTTACACTACAGTTGGTCCCAGGACATGATCCAAAACCTGGATCTTGGGTACAAGGACACAAGGGAATTTTGGGTAACAAAAAAGTAGACTGGCAGAGGAAGATATATAAGACTATATTCATTGAGAGGCAAAAAAAAAAAAAAAAAAATGGCCATCCTTAATATTTTTAGTTATCTCTTAATTATATTCTGGCAGCAAACAGAATAGTTCAGTTAAGTTTCCAAGAAATCAAATCAATCTGTGCATGATTGTACTAAAATCTAGTTGTAGAAAATCTGTGTTTGGATAAAACACAGATGTTCTATTATGGAGTTCCATAGCTTGGACAGTACTACTTTAGACATTAAAATCTAGTTTTCGGATGAGTCAAGGTTTTGTTTGAGGTCTTCTAATGGCCAAGAGAAGGTTTGGAGAAGAACAGGAGAGCGTTACATAACATTTTCACTCGAGAGTAGCTATGGAGGCAGTGTTATGGTCGGGCAGGCATTTCTATGAAAGGTCGTAAAAACTGGATCTTCATCAAGGGGTCCCTAACAACTGTATGATACGTTGAAGATGTTTTATTAGTAGTTGTGCCTTATATGCCACTAATTGGCGATGGTTTTATTTTTACGCATGGCAATGAAAGGCCTCACACAGCAAAGATTGTTGATGACTTCTTGGAATGAGCTTCAATTCAATGTTTGGAGAGGCCAGCATGTAGCCCCGACTTAAACCCTATTGAACACCTTTGGGTTGAGTTGTCAAAGAGGGTAAAAAGTCACCTAGTGTTGCTAGAGAAAGAAAGTTGCAGCATCGGTTGGCCGATCAGCAGAGTTCTTATGTATCAAGAGCATGTCAATATGGTCCTCGGATGATCTGACTTGCAGAAGTGTCATCTTTACCCGATTAAGGATAAGCCATGCAAGGTTGTTCGCACAATTACTTTTGGCCCAAAGGTCACATAAGTGACCGGCTTGTAGAGAAACACTGTTTGTGTCCCACTTAATCAAAAGGTGCTATTCCTTGGCTCCAAATAGAGACCATATAGGAATGCTGATATGAAATTGTGCTTGAGTATGACAACGAGAATTTAAGTTACCTATGCTGATACTTGGAGAAAAAAGGGTTGTTTTGTTGTATACAATACTTGTATTGTTTTTTGTCCCATATTGTATGTTGAGAGTAAATGTATTTATTGGTGTGAATGTGTAGTATGAGAATGCTTATGGCAGAATATTGAGTACCTCATCGACCCTCAATTGGATTGGTTATACAATAGATTGTGATGAAGGAATATTGAGTACTCCACCACCCTAACTGAGTGAATGTATTTAAATGGAAAGAATTTATTTAACACTGAATGAGTTTTGACTTGGATACTGATTGTATTGGGTGCTGAAATAACCTAGCTGTTGATATCTCAGTGGCTGGATGGTTGACCCCAGACTGCCAACACCCTGGGTGGGTACCCCCTGGTAATTTATTGTAAATTAGGCGAACTGGAATTGCCATTGAACCGCAAGAATTGAAAGCTTAACACTGTACGTACATGTGTGTACTACACCATACCCATATATTTAAAGAATAAATAAAAAGCCGACTAGAATAAATTTATTTCAATCATTTACAAAATTACATTTTAAGAGGTGAAAGCTGTTCTAATCTTCCTGTAGAAACTTCATCAAGCATGTTACGGAAAGTCTCGATAGACACATTTTCGACTCCGTCCCGTCGTTCCCCTTCTGCCCACAACATCTCAAATATATTGCCAGGAATATCCACTCCCACTTTTGCCCACAGGTCCCTCAAAAAGTTCTTAGTCCTTGGCTAAAAATTGAATCAATCATAAATGAAACAACGTATCTACAAACAATTATAAGAGATATATAAACCTGAAAGAAGTCGCGATGGCTAAGGCCATACTGAAGAAATATGTTTGGTCGCAGCAATTCAGAAACATCTGTTTCTGAAGGGAGATCATCATGATTTGCCTTGCACATACCAGCAGGAATTGTAATTTCTCCAAACTTGAGCGGATTAGACGGTAGTCCAGCAGCAGGTTCTGCACCAAATAAAAACAAATCAAATTAATTTTTTAAGTTGTTAAAGCAATTAAATTGTTTAAATATTTCTGTATTTAAACTGACGTTTTTCATCTTTGCTTTGAAGATCACTGCACATAGACATATACTCTGAAGAGTATGTTGTTTCCCTTGATTTTGCTATATAAGAAGAATTTATAACATAATCTTTTATATAATTAATTGTAAGGTTTTTGACATACGTATCACTTTTCCAAAATTTGGTAAATCTTCTGCTGGATTAATCAGTGCACAAAATTTATCATAGTAAACCCCTTTGCCGTCATCAGTGTAAATTTTCAACTTTTTACAAATAGGGTCAATTTTTTCTCTATAAAACTGCAATCCGTATGACTTAACAATATCAAAAAATTGACCTTGTTCTAAAATGCCTGTCCCCTTAAAAATTAGTTTATGTTTTGTACATGCTATTGTCAAATGTTAGGGTTTAAACAGTGATATTTTACTTCGACATCCAGTTCTCTTAAATTGGTGAGCAGGGGCAAAAAATTGAAATGCTTTTTCCTCAAATTAATTTTCATGTTGTACACAAATGCTACTTGTTCCGCCAATTCTAACGATGGATTTTCTTCAAAATCTTTTTCTTTTCTCTCGACTTTTCCAAATGTAAAGCATTTATCAAATTTTTTGGGTATTCCAATTCTATTTAATGTAAATTAAAATAGTTATTATAATTTATTTAATTAATAAATAAATAAGCCACCTTTTTAAAGGTTTGCCAAGCTCATGATGATGACGGTATCGGAAAAATGCCAAGCTCTGTGAAGTCGTTGAAACTTCGTTTTGGTCTATCCAGTTCATGAGTGTATTTACACCCTTGCCATCATAAGATGCCAAAGTTGTTTTACCAAAAATTAAATTTGGAGGAAACTTCATCATTGGATCATGTCTAAAAGTAATAACTTGATTACTTGAAAATAGATTGATCTTTTTTGGTTCAGCTCAACTCAATTACAGTTAAAATTTTCATAATTACTGTTCTTTAAAATAATAAATACATCAATAAATTGAAAATATTACTTTACTTGCTCTCCTGGTAAATAAGCCTTATGTGAAATCTTGTATAATTCTTTTCCTTTCATTGCCTCCTTTTCCACAATGTGAGGACACTTTTTTGGATTAATGAGGTCTCCAGCATGCATGTCTGAAATTTAGATATGTGATTTTTTCTTTTTGACAAAATTTTTTGATCAGGTTTACAACTAGCTTGGTGGCTGGGCTTTCCAAAAACAGTAGTGTACATATTCATCCCAACAGGCAAGTTAGCCGTTTGATCCGGCAAAGCACCCAGTTCATTGAGCCAGTATGACTTGTATGCCGTCTCTTTCAATTCGTCTTTCAACGCTGCAAAAAATGTTTTCTTGGGTTGCACAAGCACCTTAGAAATCTACAAAACTGCAAGGTATAAACAACCAAGGAAGAAAAAGTAACTTCGAACGGCTAAGCCAGAATAATATAGTTACATCTGAGTTGAAACCAAGGTATATCGGTAAAGGTGTGTATGGAGGATTTTTTGGGGGGATCCTAAATGGTGGCTTCGGTTTAGGCTGTGCATTAATAATGCTTTGAACAATTTCATCAGTACTCAAATGGTGGACACAATTATGCACAGTGTCATCTGCTACAATCTTTGTTTTAACCCCTGCCTGAAATACATAAAATACATAAATTGGTATACTCTGAATTTCTTTACCATACTCCACATTAAAAAGTGAAATATTTCTAACCCTAATTCTAGTATAGCCTACAATGAAATAAAGGACTCTAAAATAAATCAGTCAAGATTATAACGATTATAATTTTAGATTTAATCAAATTTTACTTTTGAAGACAATGCTTTTTCATTGAAAAGCTCTTGGACAATGCATATTATGTAGGTTGAGCTAAGAAATTAAAGCCAACAGTTTCAATGAAGTCTAAATTCAACCATGATCATCATTGATCATCTTGGTCTACTTATTTTTGCTAATTTTGTTTTTCTCAGGTACATTCCAGGTTTTAGCTATCTTCAGTGAATAATCTGGTGGAATTCAGAAATGATTTATATTTGTAAAAGTATTCAACTTTTATTTTTTATTTTTTTATGTTGTTACCACCTCATTGCCTCTTATTTAGCTTCAAAATGTAAGAAACTGTTGAAATTTAAACATCTGTTTTTGACTTACAGCCTTTACGCCTGGGCAACGGTCGACAAACTTTCCAAATTTCCTGTCTGATGCCATGTTGCCCTGTAATTTCCCAAAGAACCGAACAAATAAATTACGCAGTGAGTATACTATCAATAAATTGCCTAGTCGAACTCTAAAAATTCTCTACAATATTTGCATTCCAGAAACAGATGTTGCACTAGGGAACATCTTTAAATCAGAAAATTTATTCAGATTCATGTTCAATAATTTCAATTTATTATTGTTATTGTAATAAGAGGTTTATATACATTAAACAAATTTAGATCACATTCTGTATAGAAATACATATTACATTGAGTCACTGTATCACTAAATTTAAAGGAAAATTGTGCAACGATTTGGTCAGTTTTAATGCGTAGCTTAAAAACTAGAAAAAAAATTGTTTTCTCTTGAGGCAAAATATAAAAGTAACTTCAAATGTGTAGTATTTTTTTAAAGTTAATAAAAAAAAATTAAGTTAAAAAAATTCCTGATGTATTGAGTGCTTTACGCCCAAATGGCCAAGAAACGAGATGGCATTATCATACTTGCTTAAGTCAACATAAATTAGACTAGAGTAGAAGTGACTTGAAATTTTGCCATTTAATCATCAAACTTAAAAGGTCTTTTAAAGGCAAATTTCTTCTATAACAATCTTTTAAAAAATTGTGAAACTGTGTAGAGAGGATTACAAGATGGTAAACCTATTGTTTGATCATCTGCGATCACCTTTTACAGGACCAATTAATTAATTAGTGAATATGGTGAAATGCCAAAAAATTTTGACAGAAAAAAAAAGACAGACAAGGATGATCAGAAACGAACTTATTGCATTTCATCACATTGTATATTTCAAAAAATAAATAAAAACTCAGAATTTAACATAAATGATGTTTAGTACTCTTCATATAAAAACTTTCTGAAAAGATAAAAAAAATCAACTACCACAACATATATTTATTCAGAAAGAGAGGCCAGAGCCACAATTCATAGGCTAATGCAGGTCCAATAGATTGTTTGCATGACAAGAGGAAGCCAAAGTTTTGGGGGGAGCTTCAGGTGAACAGAGTCCTGGACCTTTTGACGCCATGACCCCTAAACTCAGATTTCATTAAAAATTTCCAGTTAAAATACCTGGTAGAGCAGGCTGAGAGAAAATGATCTCAGTTAATGCCGGCCAAATATGGTAGATGATGGTGTTTTTTCCTCAGTAATAATGTGCAATGTCGAAACTTGTTTGAATAACTCAAAGAAAACAGACCCAATAAGTGGCCATGTGCCAGTTCAACTGACCATATATGGCATACAATAGCACCAAAATCAAATATGGGTCAGGTGGTATTTATGGAAATAAACCAACAACTAGAATCATACACACTACTCCACTGTCTTTCAAGTGGAGACTGTGACTATTGAACACTGTTGCAAGGAGATTAAAAGGCTCGGTATCATTTACAGAAGAATAGCCATCTATTCGGACAGCCACATGGAACTGAGGTTAATTGCCGCAATGGTAGTAAATCTAGAGTTATTTTGGATTGCATTAGAACCCTATCAGACATTGGGAAAAACAACAAAATTACCTGTCTGGGTACCAAAGAACACAGCGAAAAGGGACCACAAAGATGCTGATAAATTGGCCAAGGAAAATTCAACGAGGATACCTATTGGCCTTTTGTGGCATACCAACTGCCGAAAAAGTGGATCCTTAAGACAATGGATTAAAAATAAGTCCTTCATTCAATGAGAATGTAGCCCAAGTCAGAGGCATGTAAAAAAGTTCATCAAAGAATAATTTCAGAAACTAACAGCAGAACTTCTCTAGGATTTGTTAGGACTAGAATAATATTTAGTAGGACTGCTAACAGGACACTGCAGCCTCTGGAGGCTTATGTATGCTTGAAGGGCCTTAGCCACATGCCTGAGCAGACATTGTCATCAGGAAGAAGACATAGCAGAACATGTCCTCTGTTGGTGCCAAAGGCTTATGTAGGCTGAGATTCCTACCCCTGAGGAAGGAAAAACCCTGACCAGAATTATGCACATGGGAGTCCTTGAAAAAAACTTTGGGATCTGATAAAAAGCCTTAAACTTAATGAGGAGCTCTGGACAACAATAGAGATGTACAATAGACGGACGCGGGCAAAGGTCGTAAAGAAGCTGACTCTTACTCTAATATCTTAATTTGAACCCTGAAATATAGGAATATCTCCCGTGATATATTGAGGCTTTTACGACTTTTCATGGCAAGCCATGAGAATCACCCACTATGGTGGTTTAATGGGCCAGGTCAGACCTCGGTGTTATTCTTACCACTGTCAAAATTAGACTTCAGGTGCTATTAACAAAAGGTCATTTCATCTTTAATGCATGCTATTTTAACCTATACACATTCACTTATTCTGGAATAATTTTTTTCTTATTTTACATACCATTCCTCCATTGCCTTTTACATGGGTCAGTAGGGTACTCAACATTCTGCCATGTTTTATATATATATATATATATATATATATATATATATATGTGTGTGTGTGTGTTTGTGTAGACTATATATATATATACATACACACACATACACGCACGCACACACACACACACACACATACATTCTTACAAAACAGTTAACACAAAATACATCTATCTCCGAACTTTTTATATAAATTGTACAGTAATAAAAAAAAATGTATTCGATTCCTAACTCAAGCATGAATTTCATTCCATACTTTCAAATTTGGTGGTATGGCTACTCGCTATCTATACAGAGCCTAGGATTATACAGGACCCAACAATTAATCGAGCAAACTTTCCTCTACATGCCAAACCATGGTTCAAAAATGATGGCTTTCGCACAAAAGTAAGCGGCCGGTTTCTGAGTCGAGTTAGGATGATCCTTCTTCTTCAAGTTAAATTATTTCGGTGCCACCTATCAACTGTGCACTTGATGCACAAGAGTTTTTCGCATGATCAGGTCTACTGATCCTGCCACCTTTTCTTTACCATATTCTTTATTGCTTGTTTATCATTGGGGGGGGAGGGGTTGGATTGCAATAGGTCTGGATGATGGGCCTGCTCCATATGTAATTGCCCTCACGCTCAACATTTTTGGTACTAAGCTGTTAAAAGTTTGTTTGTTTAGCTATAAGTGAATGTGTTTTCTGATTGATTGTCATATCAAATTTATTGATCTTTGATGATCACTTTATTTATCAACAGGCCATCTTGCAGGCAAGAAAATATTTATTTCCCTCCTTCCCTGCAAAGTGAAAGTGTTAGAAATAAACTCCAAATCAAGTTTGATTATTATTTTTTCATATAACAAAATACACAATCTAGCAACTTATGTTTTTACAGCTAAAAACTGTGATGTTACATAATATCAGGTATAATAGCTACTTTCAAAGCTATAAATTGTTCAATTATTTTTCAGTAAATGCTTTATCTTTTATCTATATACACAAAAAATGAGAGAACAAAAAACACTTGCAATGCGTACATAGAAAACATTTCTCTTAAAGAATGTTTTATTCTGCAACAAAATAAAATTATTCAAGAATAAAGTATAGAAAATTCAAGAATAATGTGATTTTGAGTTATATAACACGTGTATATATATTTACATTACTTTCTCTGGCAAAACTGTTTCATATTTACAGACAAAAAAAGTAGCGAGAAAGAGAAAAAGATACATATTTACATTATAAATTACAGGATGTACAAAATATCTTGTATTTTATCCAACTATAAATACTGCAACCTTTTCATTTTTTTTTTTTTTTTTCAGGAGAGGAACAAGATTCTGATGTAAAAAATAACATTAAAGGAAAAAAATAGGAACAAAATAAATATTTTAAAGAAGCGTCATACAAATTATCCATCATTGTGATTCATAAAGACAACATTTTGTTTCACATAATCAAAATATACAAGAGATAAATCCATTATTATTGAATATTTATTTAGTTATACTATACTAGTCAATAGAAATAAAACAAAGGAAACTTAAAAAAAAATGAATAGCAACAAAGTCAAAAACAAACATGAACATATCAAGGATCGAGAACCCATGCAAATTGAATTGGAAATTACCAAAGTAAGCATATTATCTGAATTTAAACAAAATGATAACAGTTTATGTGAAAGTTGGAAGTAATGAAAGGATAACAAATTAAATATTTTTATAGCAAGCAGAAATTTTTAAATTGAATGTAAAACCCATATTTTAACCAAGCTTAACAGCAATCCACATTTAGTTTATTGTCTTTAGCCTAGGATTTTAAGCTATTGCATTCCATTGACAATACTGAGGAAAACAATGATAATAATTTAGTCATGATTGTCGTCATGTATTTATGCATTTCACTTACAGCATATATGTATTTGGAAATGAAAATCAACAATTTAATACAAAATAGCAGGCCAAAAATATTCATACCTTTATGTTAGGATCAAATAAATATTTTTAATCATGACTAGACTGAAATTATTGCAAGGATCATCTTTGATTTTCATGTTTTAACATTTCATGAATCACGTTTGTATCAATCACCATTAAGCCTAAATTATTCCAGTCTTAATAATTATTTATAAACTTTTTTTTAAATGTGGACAAAATTTAAGACATGCGGTTATTGCAACAAACATTTTCTGGGCAGATTTCATTTTAATCCTCATGTAAAAAAAAAAAAAAAATTAACAAAATGCAATGGTAAAAACATTTCCAATCAATTTCAAACCAATTTTTATAAATAGATGTATATTTTAAAATTAGAATTAAATATAACTTATTGGTATTAGAGTCTCATTTCCAAATCCACATTTTAATTTAAATCACTCGAGTGAAATGTTCGACTATTATTTGTAGCTTTGGGAAACATTTTTGTAATGCTTCCTATAAACACTTCAATACTTTTATATAACTATATATTTTTTTAAAATAAACTAAACCCTGAAAAAAATCTAATACAACAAAAGAGCACACTTTTTAAAAGTATATTCTTTGTAATAAAATAAGCAGATCTATTCTCCATGTTGACTTATAAACTAAAATTAATTTTAACTATATTAGCATTATATCAAGTTTTGCCATTGGTAAGTAATATATAAATTAATATAATTATCACTTTTTTGCAATAAATACAACCTTCTCCTAATAAAAGGAATACCTAAGTTTTAATTTTAATTTTTGTTTGAAGACCTTTTTGCACTAACATTTATTTTTTAACATATAAGGGCAACAACTGATATTAATAAGTAGGTTAAAAAAGGATAATGTTTTAATCCAATCTTATTTGTCTTAAAATAATTTTATATATATATTCAGCAACATTTCGTTTTTTTATTATTTTATTTTAATAAATATGAAAAACATAACATGCAATTACTTAATTGAAGGAGTTTTTCCTTGTTAATTAAAATATAAAAAAAATTATCTGATAGAAAATGTGTGATTTCTTCTTTCTCTTACTTACACTATCGAGTATCACAAGTAATGCAGAGGCGTGAGTGGGGCGTGATGCAGTCGTCATGACAAAAGGCACCACACTTTACGCAAGCGATCATCGCTTTGAGAGAACATGGGCAAGAAGAAGTATTTTGTTGTGGAACTATGAGATGGTGATAAGACGGTGGAGGTGCCACAGGGGGCGGTAGGGGTGGAGGTGGAGGCGCCGACTCAGAAGCAGGAGGCCTTGGGCCACCGACACTTGCTGGCCGCCCACCACGGTGCACCAGACCACTTCCAGCAGAATCGACATTGGATGGTGGAGCAGAATTGGACCGCCGTACCTGCACACCTCGCTGTACCATCATATATTCACCGATCTAAAAAAAAATTAAATTAAAAAGTCTAATATTTTCTGTTATTTTTTTAATTAATTAAATTTTTTTAAAATGTAATTTTTGGTCATTTTTAAACTCAATTATAATTATTTTATATTTCATCTTCTTTGTAAAGCAGGTAGAAGAGTAAAGTAATTCTTATCATACAGGAAGGCCCTGTTGGGTGTCATGAATGAGGGGTCAAACCAGTTTACAATACTGTCTTGGTATTATTCACAAATAAAAATTCATGAGCTATGTTGGGATTCAAACCATTAGCATGGCATATATAGGTCAGATGCTCTATCCACTTGATTACCAAGGCCTCATTTTAGGTAGTAAGTTTAATTGTATTCTGAGGGAAATAATGGAACAATATTGTCCTTAATAATTTTCAACCAACTTTAAAATAAGTATAAAGTTTAAACTAACATACTTGATTATGTTGTGGTGGCAGAACAGCCATGTTAACTGGAATTCCATGAGACGACGTGAAAACATGTTTCAGCAAGACTTGATGCTGCTGTGTCTGCCTTACACCCTGACGAACTGTGTGACGGTTCGTATTGTTCCCTGTTGAGTTCCTGACAACATTGGACACACTGGTCCCACCCGATGTTGATTTGTTCAAAAGCAGTGATGGAGGGGGCTTGAGCTGGCATCTAAAAACGTACGGTTAAAATTTAGAGGAGTACATTTTTAAAAAACAAGACCAGGTAGAATTTTTTTTTAAATTACCTAAGTTGATGCCTGTTCGGAGAATTCTGAATGACAGCTTGGCATATCTGATAACTCCTTTCTAAGTTAACAGCTCCAGGGGGCGGCTTATTGGAATTACGTCCACCTCCACCTCTCCCACCACCAGAACCAGCTCCGCTCTAATAGACAATAAAATAAAATTGACAATCGTACAAAATTTAAAATTGTGCCAACAATAAATTATACGACTTTACAGACAGAAATGTATTCCTTTTCAAGTTAGCAAATATATTACAAACCAATAATGACCTTTGAAACAGTTTTAGTTGGAAGAGCTCTGACAGGTGTTGAGGTCGTCAATGCGATGAATGGGATCGCTGAACTCGACGTGTTGTGGTTCTGTGGTGGAGGCCGAATCGGTGGTGCAGTATGTGTATTAGCCTGGGTTGAAAAAAGAGGAGGTGGTGGAAGACAAACGATCGTAGTCGGGGGGATCACAGTTACGTGTGGTGGGGGCTGGGCTTGCTGGATGGACATGACAGCCTCAGCTGAAAGACCCGTCTGCGGTTCCTCTGTCATCATCTGAATGGTGGAAGTTCTTGTGCCTGTCTCCCCTGAGCTTACGACAGGGCTGCATCTATCAGAACTGCCACAACTTCCCATTGAAGGTAGCTGCTCAACTGTGGACGATACTTGGGAATCGACCTCTGGGGTTAATGTCACTGAAACAACAAATTCAAGTACAAACTGGGCTGAGCATACAGAATATGTAATTAAGATATTAAAATTTGATTAAATTAACAAAATGTTTCTATACAATTAAGCCGAGTAAACAAAGCCAAAACTGTAATACTTATTTTAATTAACAAAATTCAAAAGAAAAAAATTTAATAAAAATTACCTTCTAGTTCAAGTTTCACATGCCCATGTGGCTGTTTGCTCTGAGAAGAAGTGTATTCCCACTGAGGAACAGGCAAGGAACTTTCTTGTAACCTAACTTCCAGTTCCTCTTGACAAGGTATTACAGAAACCTAGAAAAATATATATAGTAGTAATCATCAGGTTAATTAAGCTGTTACATAATATAAAGTAAAATTACTGGTTGATTTAAGTTGACGTCTTGGAATTCTGTCGAAGATCCAACGACATCCCACGCTGCTGCCAACAAAGCAGCCTCATCTTTCAGTGTCTCTTGGTACAAAATATCTCCATAATAATTTTGGTTTTTATTCCTATCCAGGTCGTTTGATGTGGATGACATCAGGTCATCAGCATCTCCTGGAGTAGGAAGCCCAGAAGAGGTCTCACCTTCTTGATTAGGGTCTACCTTGATGATCTCCCATTCTTCTAAGCTCGACTGGGCCTTTTGAAGAGCTTCTGCCTTGACTGAAAGTTCGATCCGGTCTGCAACCTCTTCCTGAAGAGCCACCAAATCGCCTAAAGTTTTCTCCTCGGCCGTCTTGTCTTCATCATCCAGACAGAGGCGCTTCTCATCTGACACGCTTTCAGTCTCAATATGCAGCAAGTTTGACGTTTGTTGTCCCTCGTCTCGCATTTGCTGTTCCACTTCTTCCACAACTCCTCTAACCACTTCTTCGACAATTTCATGTTCAAATTCAACGATTTGTACTTCATGCAAAGGCGAACTGCACATCTCGATATCTTTCTTTTCTTCAACCCACTTGGTATCCACTTCAGAAATGTCATTAGAAACCACGGTTTCTTTCACCTCGTCTGGTTCAACAGTTATTTCAATTACATTCGCTTCCTCGTCTTTACAGCTTATTTCTATTTGGTCGCCGATTATCAATTCCGTTATTAGATTTTCATCAGCAACAGATATGACTTCATTTGCTGATTCCTTGTGAGTTTCCTCGACCTCTGTCCCGACTTGATTTATTTCAGGTTGGGTTTTGACATACAGTTTTTCATTTTCTAATCTATTAGACTTTCTTCTTTCAGGAATTTCATCGTTCTTTTCAAGTTCCTTATCACTACCAGCATCACCTTTGGAGAATTTTTCTAAAAAAAAAATAAATAAATAAAAACATCACAGCAACTACTAAAGTATCATTTGTATATAACTATTATATTAACCAATATTGACATATACCTTGAGGACGTGTTCTCTTATTTGGTCTGTTTTGGTTTGTAGAAGATTCCTCTGCTAGTCTCTTTTCCCTGTAGCTTGTCACCGCTCGTGTGACAGCTCCGACTGTCCTTATTATAGGCGGCGGCTTGTGCTCTTGCTGTTGACTATGATTGACTTTTGAAGTGACATTGGCTTTTGAGACCAGTTTAGAAGACGAGTTTTTAATATCATTTGGAATTTTGGTAACAACTGAATTCGGGCTATGGTGGTTCTGTGTGGAAGTCCTTGTCACAGGAGGATTTTGAGGGATAGGGGCTCCCTGGGCTGCCAGGACACCCGGAGGCAAACTCGGCCACTCCCGCAAACTCTCTCCCCACATAGGCTCGAAATGCTTCAACTGAAAATTTAAAATAACATATATAACAAAAATTAAAAGTTATATAAGGCACAAATTTAAAAAACAAATTAATTTACAGATTTCAGTTTGCCTTGAAGACAGAATTTAATCAACAAAAATTTACTCAAGTAATTATTTTTAATTTCAAAAACACTACAGACAATTAATTCTAACACAAATTGTTTACAAATAATGCCAGATTAGTGAATAATATGCATATACTTTTTCTGGATTAAATATGTGTATTTTAAATGTTTCTGCAATTTTTGTTACTGAATTGCAACTATTTAATAAAAAGTATTACCTTCCATGGGTCTAATTTGCTTTTTTCTTTTTCTTGCTCTGCTTTTAGTTTGGCTTGATTTTCTATCGTAAATTCACCTTCTGCTAATCTTTCTCTCCAATCTAGGCAAGCTCGAGCGAAAAACTCATTGTTAAGTCCTGAATTACTCAGCCTGAAATAAACAAATGATTACTAATAATATTAAACACCTTTGAGAGGAGGGTAAGCATACCTAAACATCGATTCTGATTGAACGGGGACTCGGTCAACATGAGGTAAAAGTTGCAATAATTTATACTGGTAAAGAGGTGGAAGGGAATGGAATGTATGTTTATTGAGTAAGGACCTAAGATTAGAATTGACAAGGATAGAATCTGGGGTTTCCAAATCGACACAGCCTTCCTTCGTCTGCTCTAGTTGTGCAGCAGCGGATAATTTCTTATTAGATCTTTTCCTCGGCTTAATGCTAAAGCCAGGAATGGAAGAAAGAACTTCAGCCATAGTCGGCTGTCTGTAGCATGCAGTTTCGTTACTAATTTCTTCAACTGCAAGAGAAATTAACAATAAATATTTTTTCTTTCTATGTCAATGGTTATAATATTTACGTTCACAATGAGGTGACAGGGACAACCGTTGAATAGGGGCTGAATTTCCAGCAGCTATTGTAGTGTTCTTTCTTCTTCTTTTGGCCTGTTGCCTTAGAGCATGTTTTATAACTTTTTTCGAATGTGTTGGTGTAACTTTCACCTCTTTGAGCACCTTTGAGGGTGATACATCGTAATTCCATGACTAAAACATAAGAATCAAGTTATTATTATTATATTGTAAAAAGTTTGTGATTACTTTCTTCACAAAAATGGATTATTACTTATAACACAGCTTTTTATAAAATTTAAAATTTTCTTTTTCTTTTAGCCCACTTAATAAAAATCATTTGACATAATATGCAGTGGCTTATCCATGGAACCAAATTTTAGATAATTATTAAAATAGTTTTAATCTCATTAATGGTGCACATAACATGTGTGAAAAACATAAAAGATGGCTTGCCCCAAAGCTAGTTAATAAATTCTAGATAGAAGACATAAAGTTAGCAATGCTTAATCCGATGATGGCTATAAGTTGAGGAAACATGCAAGTGAATTTTAAGTTTCACAAACCACTGAAAGCTAACACTTACAAGGCTGCCAATGGTTAATTCCTAAGAGATCCCTCACAAATAATCACATCAGAAAGCAATTTCGTTTAAACCAGTTTGCAACCCCAAAGCCGATTCATGTTTGAATGTTTGGTGGAATTTTTAAGGAGTGATTCACTATTGGTTGGTTCGGGAAATTACAGAGATATCATAACTCGATTCACCCAATGCTTGAAAGGATACATATTGTCCAAGCCGAAAATTTTTGTTTTTGTTTTGTCAACTATAAACATGTTTTGTGACATGATAACGCGAGACAGCATTTTATGACAAATCTCATAGAAATTTATTAGCTGCCTGTTAAATACTCCTTTCATACATCATTATTACTTATACAGGTGCTTGGATATAACTTTTTTGGTGGAAAAAAAAAAAAGGAAAAGCTGGTTGAATTAAGTATATTAATTGGTGAATTATAGATAATTAAAAATAATGGCCAATATTCCATAGAGTAGCTTCAGATTAAATAGAATTACAATTAAATAAAGTTTTATTACTATTTAAAAACCCAGATAAATAGACACAAAAGTGGTGAGGTCTGCGAGATGATGGCGTGTTCTCAGATTGTCTCCATGCCATAACATGAAAAGTTATAATGAAAATATTTATTTGGAGAATGTGAGATGCGGTCTGGTGTGACGTAGGTTCTAGAAAAACATTTTCTTTATCTTGCCAATGTTTCAATCTTTATTGAGATCTTCAGGGCCTGGGATTTATAAACATTGTTTAAATTTTACAAATACATGTAGGATGTGGAAAAAAATGAATTTATTCAATGCTAGAATTTTTAAATTCAATCAAAGTATTTGTACTCACTCAAAGTGTTTGTTTTCCGTGTAGATGTATCATTCTTGTAAGTTGTGTTCAGAGTGCCAGTGAGATATGCAATGTAAACATTGCTTTATTTCTATGTTAATGTGTTTATAATAACAATAATAATAATAATCCATATATGTATTAAGTAGTTATAATTGACCGAATTGATTAGTTTAATCAATTATTCTTTTTACCTAAGGTCATGGTTGAGATGAAAAATCTAGTGTCATGACCTTACATGAAAAGAATAATTAATTGAAATAATAATAATAAAGGTACTCTGTTATAATCAACTAATATACAATAAATTACAACTACTAAATAAGTAACATTATGGCATGGAAAATTCCCTCTGCCGAAGGTGAATGAAAATATAAACAGGGCAACAAAATGTGAATTGGAAAAAAAAAAGAAAGAAAGAAAAAGAAAAAACAACTAAAAATGTGAATAAATAAAATAAGAACAATAGTAATAATATAAAAAATTGAAATTAAATTATACAACACTGCATATTCATTGTATTAATATAAAAATATAAGTACTGCCATGTTTGTCTACAAAATCCAACATGTGAAGGTGGCTCATAGTTTAACTTGTTATTTAATTGGTCTTAGGGAAAGGGAACTACAAGTGGAGCTTGCGGATTTCATTTAAGAAGAAGGTGCAATGAAATGGAAATTATCGTCTCTGATCTTAGAGTTGCGTAAAGTGCAGTGTAATTTAGCCAAAGCAGTTCATATCTCATTTTAAACACCTACCAAAGGTCACTCAGATTTGCGTACTGATTAGATTTAGACAGGAGGTCACAGTGAGAAACATAATGATCAAGATCCCTGTATAACAAAAAGCTAGTGGATGCCTGTGCAAGCCCCACAGACTCCTCTCAACGAGTACTCATTGTTGTAAGGCGCGAGTCAAAGCTAGCATTCCATTTGGGTATATTATTAACATTTAAGCTATGCAGAATGTAATATTTTTAAAAAATAGATTTTTACCAATATATATATATTTTTTTTACATTTATATGATTTCAATGTGTATCTTTCGTTCCAGCGGATTCTCCATTCATATTTTAGAAGCTTTAATATTTGATCTTTGAAAATCCTCTGGACGTACAGAATGAGTGGGGTGGCTAACTTATCCGCTTGTTTGTTCCCAGTTATACCAATGTGCCCAGGAATGAAGTAATTGCACTATTCCATTGGGCGGTATGGGAAGCCTCTAGCCAACTGACAGTTCATGAAAAATTTCGCGAAAATGTAGAGCCTTATTTCACTTATTGAAACATACAGATTTTTCCTCCGCTGAGAAATTCTCCGAGTAAGTTTATATAACCAGATAAGCCCCTTATTTTCGTTCGGCTCTTTTCATTTTTCTTCTAGTCCAGTGTTGAAACCAAAAGGCAATATGATAATTTTTTGTCATGGATGTCACACACTTTTCATACTAACATCAATAGCAAGAATTGACACACACGAAGGAAATAATATGAGAAACTGGATGAAAAACTTAACAGTGGCTTTACACACTCAGCTCTGTTAATCGTTCGGTTTACTCAGGTTAACTGACAGATAAACTGAGTGTAGGGTGAAGATAGAGGAACTAGAAAACATGCTTGGGATATAGTTACATTGAGAATAGTATTGTTAAGTGGTGCTTACCGTCTCAACATTGTTATCGATATCGATCTCATCGCCAGAAGCACCTGATGGAAAATAAAAATGCATTAGTTGTTTTTTAAACAGGACTAGGGTTTCGCAGTGATCTGGCGCTACAGTACCTTTGGCATTTTGTGTTTTAAGAGGAGACAATATTTTAACTGATGCAGAATCAGGTTTCTCTTTTGCCTCCTCCATCCCAATTACTTCACCTTGACAATTTCATTCGAAACCATACCTGTAAAGGTGGAAACAAGGATTGAAACCAATTGGTATGACAGAAGGAAAATAAATTGTCCCGAGTTTATAAAAAGAGTGAACGGGACTCACTTGAGCTAGCCGGTTTCAGACTATCCTCGTCCCGTCCGTCGAAACATCGGTGCAATTTATCAAACGGGACGTAAAAATTTAAGTAAATTTAAATTTTCGTCTCTGAAGAAAAACCTTTTTGATGTTTACAACTGTAACGCCAACCAAAGATGTGCCATTTGTCGAAAAACATTCCAGATCGGTCCCTATCGACAGACACTTTAGACAAAGCGGAAGGCGAAGCTTTTCATTGAAGATATTTCCAAATTCAATTTAATCTCTCCTTTTTTAAACAATATAACTTGAAATTATCTCAAAACATCAACCAAATACCCAAACAAACGCCATATTCATACCGCTCTCTGGATCTAAAACAAAAGAGTTACAAAACCAAAAATACCCCTTGATACAGTTTATACCCTGTATCTAACTGATTTATTAATTAAAAAATAATATAAGTAAAAACATAAATATGTTTTTAGCAAACAAAACTTAAAAGAGGGCAATTTTTCAACAAGGACAATTGTTATCTCTCAAGAGCGGCAACGTCATTGTTCCAAGCGTGACCTGAAGAAATAACATCCAAGAAATATGAACAATTTCATAATAGTTTTAATTTTAATTTATTACATTCAGTTCATTTTGTAATTATATTATCGTAAATAAAAAATTATCAATGTTTTTTCAATTTATTTTACTGATTTATATAAGCTTAAATCTGCACATGCATCTTCTCGCAATTTCATTTTTTGTGCAATTTACAATACATTATTGACAGACCTCAAGAATTATCCGTCCTGGGTGTTGGTCGTTCGGGTTCAGACCTTGGTTTTGTCCATCCAGCCACCGAGGTTCTCCAAGGGGCAACAACAGTTAATGCACACTCAATAATGACATATCTACACAGAAAACAAACACTTTGAGCCCTGAAGATGATCTCAATAAAGGTCGAAACGTTGGCTCGATAAAGAAAATGTGTTTCTAAAGCCTAACCAGATCGCATCTCACGATCTCCAAATAATCTATTGTTTAGTTTTGAAATAAACCTAATTGCTTTTCTTTGGGTAGCAAAAACTTTTGAAAACATGGAAGCACCCATCATATGCTTAATATTTAGTGTTTCACTTGATATCTGTGTATCTAGGTATTTTTTCCCAGTTAAGTGTGCGGTTTATTTTAATGGCTAATAGACTGACTAGAGACTAGGCTAATAGACTAAATAAGGATTTAGGAATAGACTAAATAAAGGTCCTTTAGCCTTAATGCAAGAATTTGAGTTTTATTTTTATTATTCAAAAATCGTGAGATGCGGTCTAGTGTGATGTAGGTTTCAGAAAAACATTTTCTTTATCATGCCAACGTTTCGATTTTTATTGAGATCATCTTCAGGGCCTGGGATTTACAAACATTGTTTAAATTTAACAAATGCATGTGGGATGTGGAAAAAAGTGAATTTATACAATGCAAAATATATTTTTTACATTCATTCAAAGTATTTCTACTCACTCTCTTTATTTTTATTGAGGCACAATCCATTTTCCTCAAACCATTTTTTGAGTTCATTCAAAGTATACTTATTAGCTACAAGTGCCTTTTCTAAGGATTTATCGGACACTGTGATGTTGTCATCTGCAAAACCAGTCAAGTGTATAAATTAAGCAGATTATAGGACCCAAATAGTCTGACTCCATTATTATTATTATTATTATTATTATTAGCCATACAAGCCTATGGAAAATGTTTAAATTATGGAACAAAATTTCAAAATTCTAATTACAGAACAGGAATAAATTTTATAATTTTTTTGTGTGCATAATTTGACCTTCTAAATTAAGTAATTTAAAAGGATATATTAAAGCTTTGGATGGCAATAGAATAGATTAGATTATGAGTGAATGTTTGGAGTCAGAGCTTTATAGCTATAAAGTACATATAGGTACAAATTATATTATAGTATATAGCTGACTTAAGATAGAAATTTTAAATATATTAGTTAGGCGTGAATGACCTTAGCCATTAAAGCACCCTTAAAAAAAAAAAAAATAATAATAATAATAATAATACCAAGCAATACTTAGTACTTCTCACTATGGTTGTTTATTTATTTAGCAAAATTTAATGTATAAAATGAACTATGTAAGATTTTAAAACCAATGATGATTAACCAAACAAATGATTGTTTGTAATTAAAATAAGGTACAAACAAAATTTACAACAAATTAATATTAAGTATATTCTTAAATTAAATTTTTGTAATTAGAATTAACTACATAGACCAATTTAATAAAATACATAAATATTTTTTGGAGAACAAAATTGTTATCCTTAATTAATCATTTTAGTATCATTCAATGACGTCATTATGCAAAGTTTTGAGGAATCGCACAATCCCTTTTATCTTTTATCATAAGTCGTTTTATTTTGAAATTTTATATATTTTTTTTGTCGTTTTAAGTAAAATTAAAAAATAGCCATGATTTTGAAAAACACATTTAAAATATTAAATAACAATGCCCGGAGGCTTGTTCATTACGTGCAGGGGCAAACGACAGGAGAAAAAAACAATATTAGGGAATACTTCTACTACATTGACCATCAAGGAATGGTTGAGTATATCAATAATTTGAGGCAAAAACCAAATTTTGAATTTACTTTGGGTTTTTTATTTTAAACTTTAGTTATTTTTAGATGACTCGAAGATGAAAAACTTCACATCTTGCTTCAAAGGTACTGGTTTAATCGACAAGATATAAAAATATCAATATTATGTTAAACAAAAAGTTCCCAAAGATGAAATTGAATAGAAGAACCGTAAGAAAGCATTAAGATCAAAGATTATACTTAAGGGGTGTCTGTAGTCGCAACAGTTTAGGTGTTGACACGACGCTCATCACTGTAAGGTAAATAGTCTTTTTTTTTCAGAAACACCGGCTCCACGAGGGTTCATTATTATAGCTTGGTAGTTAAAGTTTACAACTTACAATTCCAGCACAAATTTTGTAATATTGCATAAATTTTTGTAATGAATTTACTCCAGTATTAATCAGTTGTAAATGTAGTCGTAATATTCAGGGTGAGTTTTTGCACCCTTGAGAGCTATTGTATTTCTTGTTAAGTACTTATAGCACACTGGTGAGTCCTAACTCATCAAAGGATTTGATGCATAGGTCTTGTTTCGGTTGAATTTCAATTATGGTTACATTGTACATTCCAAAGCACTTCCTCCTGGCACCACAGTTTGTTAGTAGGTGTGTTGGTGTCTGTTCTGCAGAATCTAAACGTGCCATGTTGGGTTATGTCATTCTTCTTCAGATTCCTACTCAGTCTCCAGTTTACTGTGATGAAACCTGTCAAGATTCGGGGTTTTTTCTTGCTCTCTTTGATGCATTATGTTGTTTCTTTTCTTCTAAAATTTGCTAGAAGTTTCTTGGATTTTTCTGCTCAATGGGGGAAAAGCAGTCCCTTTCCTCGCAAGGGTGTTTGCTCTTTTGTTGCCCTCTACTCCTACATATCCTGAGACCCAGCAGAGGGTGATTTTATTTTGCATACCTAATCTAGTTAGTGTAGTATTGCAATTCAGCACCATCTTTGGACTAATGTTATTTGATCTTAGTGCTGTGATGGCTGCTTGCAGTCTGACATTACATTCTATGTTTTTGTAAATTCTCTGTCTTCTCAATTCCATGGACTTCAGCCTAGAAAATACTGGTGAATTTTTTCATGGGTTCTGAATATTTGGTTTCGGTATGTATTAAACAGTTACTTATTTACTTCAAAAATTGTCTTTTTTTTCCAGATAAGGAGTTTCTTGAGTTCTTTTTCAAAAGGATTCGTCCTAATGTGACGGAAAGATATCTAGATTTCCCTTACATATCTCTTTGCGGAAGGGAGAGGAATTATATACGTGTTGACGATACGCCACTCGTCTATTCCCAGATATCGTCTAGAGATGGCAAGGACGTCCTGCTCTACAATCACGCTGGAGACAAGTTGTTCAACGATTTCGTACCCCAGAATCTTTTCATGTCGCCCGCCACTGGCAGGATTTACCATCCTTGCCAGGAGAAGTATGGCTCGGTTGGCCTAATTATATCGAAAATTGCAATCGAACTTAGTAAATTATTCACTTTTGAAAACGGCGAGGACAAACCGCCGACAAAGTTTGAGTGGAAAGGTGCAATTCATGAATTAGACTTCGAATGGTATTTTAAGTACAGGCCTCAGGAAAAATAATTAATTAAAGGGAAAAAATATACAGATACATCTAGCCATACATTAGGTATTGTACAAGTCATTTTTAAATCAATAGTACCTATAAATCACAATATTCCATCATAATGTCTAAAATTATTAATCAGATTAGATTATTAATTATCAGTTAAAATTCAAAAGAAAATTAAATATATTGTAATAAAATTATTAACTGTTTTCTAGACTAAATTGTATTGAAGGTGAGGGTTTAATTTGTGCAATTGATATTTTTTTACAGACATTAAAATATCAAATTTACTTCAGTAGTACATGCTAATACCATGGAAAATTTCATATTCCTATGAATGGCAGAGTCATATTGCTTTTATCATTGATAGTTTAAGTAAATTGACAAATTTTTATCATCAATGATACAGTGATAAAATTACAAATTTATAAAAACCAATTGTTTCAAGCTGTGGTTTATCAGTTGACTTGTATAACGTTTGGCTAATAAATTTTGTATTTTGTGCATATTTCCATGAAAAGGGATCAAATTTATTATTAAGTGTTAAATTTTTATGTTTAAATAAAGTTAGAATTTTATTTGTAGATAAGTTTTGTTTTAACTATTTTATGATTGATTCTCTCTGGAGAATTGCTAATGCAAATTTATGTATAATGTAAAATAAAAGCATTGTACAGATATAAAATTTGTTTTATTAAATTTATTTTTATAAGAGCGATAAAATAAAGCTTGTTTGAACTGTATTAACTTGATTAATCATGTCTTAAGATTAAATAAAAAAACTATTGTTTATGAATGATATACTTAAACCAAAGATTTTATGCTGAAAATATATTAATATTCTATATATGCTCTAACATATTTTCATATAAAATGCAAACAACATGCACTGTAGAAATGCTTCATTATTGAAGTCATCTTTTTAACTTAAAAAAATAAATGGAATCTTAAAGATAATATAAGAATTGTTAATTAAACTGCTTATTAAAAAATAATAAATTTCAACAGAATTCTGAGGTTTAAATTTTGTTAATCCTCAACAGTATGTAAACTATTGATAAAGCCAAAAGGAAATGGATATTAGCCTTGATAATTGGAAAATTTTATATCAACTGATTCATGTCCATACTGAGGCGTTGTTGCATAAGTCTGATTTGCATAGACTTATTCCCTTATGAAGAGCAAAAATTAGCATGTTATATTACATAATGAATGATAACATAATGAAATGATGTTATAATAGGATGAATATTACATAATTAATTAATGGAATAACAGTTGCAATGTGATTTTTTTTGTAACATTATTTTTGTAAAGAAACAGTGAATCACAATAGAGTATTAGCCTTCTTTGATACACTCCGGCTTTCTACGAATTCTTGCTAGTCAGGATATAATAAAATTTTATTTTGATTTTTTTTATTATTATGGTGTTTTTATGTTAAAGTTTAAAAATAAATAAATAAATTGGACAGTGTAGGAAAAATTGTAACCAAATTTAAAGGTACAAAGAAAGAACAATTTAGGCTGAATTTTGTGTCAGTTGGTGTATCCCAAGGCTATATTCTTGAGATTTTACTCTTTTCCGTGTTTCTAAATGATTTTCCATTTTCTTAATTTCTCCCAATTTCATCTTTATACTGACGACACAGCTTTACATTCCATGTGCTACAAGCAATATCTCTTTGCTCAACCTTGATCTTCATTCTCTCAACCAATAGTTAAGAAATAACGGTATTATTTTAAACCCTAATAAATCCCAATCCTTATTCATTTCCAATAAACCCATTAATACAGATTGCCTGTTCCTTCCTCATATCAACAGCTATTAATTTTTGTCCTAAAGTTAAAAATCTCGGTGTTATTTTTAACTCCAAGCTTATATGGCATGACCATGTGAGCTCTATTATTAAAAAGGCCTACTCAGCTTCCATTTTCTTTGATTCCTCCCTAGCTTTTTCACTCTACAGAAAACTAGAGTTCGCCTTATTAAATCCCTAATAATTCCATTATTCTCTTACTGTAGAGCTATTTTTTTTTCTTCACTTTCCTTAGACTCTCACTTTGATCATCGCCTTCAAATTGCTTATTATTCCTGCATTAGATTCTGTTATGATTTTAAGTTAAGAGATCATACTTCTTCCTATATTAACGCCTTCAGCAGCCTTAACATTTTAAGACTTTATAAACTTAGAATTTTAATATACATATTTATAATTAAATCAAATAAACGTCCTCAATATTGATCAACTTTTTCCCTCGCATTCATTATCCAAATGCCCCAACCATATCTCAAGCCTTCAACATTCCTATAAACCTTTAGCCTTGTCCTTCAGAATTGCCGAGTCAAAACTATGGAATTTGCTTCCCTGGGAAATATGTTCTGCTTCCTTGCCGGCTTTTTTTTTTAAGGTCGATGGCATCTGAGTTTTTAAAAACAACATGAATAATGTCCTTTTCTTCCCTCCTACTGTTCTTTTGGCTGTTTCCTTTTTTTCTCTTTCTGCTTTTCTCTCATAATGTGGTTGCATCACTACATCACTTGATAAATAATTAATATTTTAAAGAATATTGACATGTAGATTTTATTTTATGGTTATTATTATTATTACTATTATTGTACTATAGTTTTAAAACTTAATTTATTTCTAATATATGTACATGTAAGGGGGCTTAAAGCCCTATTTACCTTTAAAATAAATAAATAAAACTCATTTTATTGGCATATCATTGCCTAGATTAGATTATATTGGAGCCAGCCTCTTTACAACCTGTGTACCGTGACCACTATTGGTCTATTGTACATCACCATTTTTTTTTAAAATCTAGAGCTCCTCAGTAAACTTGATGCTTTTTCAAGGATTCCCGTCTGTATCTCTGTATCCTTCAGGTCCTGACTTTTCCTCTCCCAGGATTAGAAATCTCAGCCTACATGGGCCTACATGTTCCGCTGTTTCTTCTTCTTCTTGGCAATATCTGCTCAGGCTTGTTTCTGCCACTCTGAGTCTATACATATGCCTCCAGAGTCTACAGTGTCCAGTTAGCAGTCCAACTATTATTCTAGTCCTAGAACATTAGGATTTAGTAGTTCTGCCATTAGTTTCTGTGGTGGTCAGTTGATACATTTTTTCACGTACCTCTGTCCTGGGGTACATTCCCATTGAGCAGAGGACTTATTTTTGACCCATCGTTTTTTGGCAAGCCACCAAAGGGTTCAGGGTTAATAAATGTCCTCATTGAACTTGACCAATTTATCGTCTTTGTTGCCCCTCTGCCCTGTATGCCCTAGCACCAAGACAAGGTAGTTTTGTTATATTCCCCAATGTCTGACAGGGCTCTAACGCAGTCCCAAACGACTGGACTTTACCGTCGATGCAGTATTGCCTTCAGTGCCACCTGGCTAGCCGAGTAGATGGCTATTCTTTTGTTGACAATCCCCAGCCTTTTAATCTCCCTGGCCCAGTGTTCAATAGCCATAGTTATGCTTGAAAAACTGTAGCATTTTGTTCAAGGCTTGTATGAATTCTAGTCCTTGGTTTGATTGCAGTTTATTCACTTTGAAATCAATTAAAATATTAATATTTTAAATATAAAAATAGGTAGCTTTCACTATCTTAAAAGTAAAACAATTGAAAATGTAACATTTTATATTTTAACTAATTTATATATGTAATTGATCCTTAATTGAGATTTAAAACGCGTTCTTCCCTCCACGAACAGCATTACCCCCTCCTTCAAAACAACATACAAAGTTCGTATAATACACAATATGTGTAAATAATTTAATTTAATCGCTAAAACAATTAAAACAAAGTTTCTCGGAAATGAAAGGATAATTGGAAACATGGACATATTGGAAAAAAAATATGTAGAAAAAATGGGCAAGTCACCGTATCCATTCGGCCGTGGTGGCCCAGATCGTTCCTCAGAACTGTGCACTGTGCAGTTCCTTGTTTTAATGTTGTCGACTCAGTTTCAGACTTCAGTGCAGATTTCAGTCCTTCGCTGACCGTTGACCATCTTAGACTTGTCAACCCGAAACAACATCGTATTTAATTAAGACAAACACCTTTTTTCCAACGGAATCAATTTCTAAAGGAGAGCACAATCTAATTTGACGTACTCCGCCGGATCGTAGATTGTTACAGACCAGATTTGACAAATCTTTCAACGATGAAGTCTTCAATTTTCTCTTTCGTCTTCATCTCCCTCATGGCGCTTTCTTTCGGCCAAGGTATGAGATTATTTCCTTTATTTTTATTATTATTTTTATTTTAAATAATATTTTCTTTTATAGAAATATTTTCATTAAGGCCCATGGCGGAAATACGGATATATTTCCGTTTTTTTTAATACCCTTGAATATCGACGTAAATTCAAGGTTGTTCCGTGTTTTTAAGATCCTGCAACCCACTTAATATATCTATTTATCGTCGTTTTGCCCTTAATATATTGGTTTCTTCCTGTTTAATTTTGCATCCAGTTTTATGGGGAACTTTTAAAATATAATTTCAAGGAAAGGTCATCACTTTTTTTGTTTGTTTCATGATTTATCTAATCGGACCGGATAGTGATGAATAGCTAACAGTACTGACGTATTAATAAAAAGGAACAAAAAAATTCTTTCTAGATCTGTTTTCTATATTTTTTAAAAATAACGCTTTACCCCTAATAAATTAATTAACCGATGAACGTAAAAGGATGATTTTAAACAAACAAAAGATTAGGTTTTTGTTTTTTATTCTATTTAAATTTCATTTGTTTGCGTAGTTGTTGAGTTGGATCAATAAAATCCAACAAAAGTGCAAGGCACTTCGAGTTTGAAATTATAAATTTAATAATTTCAAATAAAAAAAAAGTGTTTTGTTGAAGTCGTGAGGAGCGGTCGAGAATGTGGTAATTTAGGAAAACACCTTTTTCATTTTTTTGCGCGTTTCCACCTTTATTCGGGTCATCTTCAGGGGCAGTTTGTGTGAAACTGTTGTGAGACAAAACCAATATGACACCACAAGAATAGCACCACATTATGCCCTGAAGATGACCACGAATAAAGGTCGAAACGACGGCAAAAAAGGCGTTTTTCTAAACTACCTCATTCTTGACCGCCCCTCACGACTTAAACAAATTATGAAACAATAGGTCACTACGAAACAGAAATAAAAAAGTGTTTCTTTTTATGGTTTGAAATCCCTGTTGCAAGTCACAAAGAACTCAAATTGGTGCTATTTTTATGGGTACATGGGACACCAAAAATTATAAAATCCACTACTTTTTTAAATAAAATACACTCAAGGACAAAAAAACTGGACACTAGAATAGAAAAAAACGAAGGTGGGGTATGTCGATTCACTCTTTGTAAAATATGTTTCTTACTAGGTTTTGCTGTTTACAACCTCATAACTTGTTTATCATTATAGTGTTACTCATTCAATTAAAAAAGAAACAAAAAATCAGTTCAATTTCATCCTTTCCAGGGTCAGCTTATCGAGTGAGTTAATTGGTTTTTTAAATTGTTTTCTTTGATGAAATTTTTTCCTTAAAACCGCAGTTTTAAGTCAATTCATTCAGGCAGTTGCTTTGCCCAACAATGGACTTATTGACCGCTACATAGCACAAGTCCTATGTGATATGCTATAACATCCATGATGGTTTAGGGGTTTACATACCGGGTGTCCCAGTTCCTTCTGATGAAACTCAGAGAATCGATTCTACTCTTCATTTGGAGCAAAAAATACCCAGGAGAAAATTTTCGGAAAGTTCTCTATTTTGAAGATATTAGTCAATTTAGGTTTTTTCAACTTTTCACTACCTTACCTCATAAAAACGCTTACAACTTGCAAAATGTTGAGACTTCAACAAATCGAATTACACCATTTGAAAGAACGCTAAATTTGCTGTAAGATACTTCTATTTGCAATAATCTGAATGACATAAAATGTTAGCCATTATCAGTTGGAATATGTCAAAATTACAAAATTTAATATTTTGGTCATGATTGGACGTTCTACTGAGGTTACAAAAAAATACCTACAACTTGTCAAATTTCAAATAAAAATGACACATTGTGCACACTTGTGCAAACAAAATCACGTTTCAGTAACACACCCTACCTGATACATTCTGTGATGATTATTTTTAAACTTCGATCCCATCCAGCATTTTTCAGAAAACCAGTCAAACAAATGTCATTTTTATTTTACAAAGCGAGTTCTAATTGATTTATTTCTACCCCCCTTCCAATTTAATTTAGCTCGTTTTCGAACATTCAATTGTTATTTTTCAACTCTACAAGAATGTTATTTAAAAACTTGGATATATCAATGTAAAGCATATTAGATGAATTAGTTTTTGTGAAATTTGACAAGTTGTAGGTATTATTTTGTAACCTCAGTAGAACGTGCAATCATGACCAAAATTTTAAATTTTGTAATTTTGACATGTTCCAACTGATATTGGCTAACATTTTATGTCATTCAGATTATTGCAAA